CACGGACAGCCCTTACAGAAACCTCGAGAAGTCCAAGAAATGTTCAAGATAACTGTTTGCCAACCGTCACTTGTTTCCTCCGTGCACAATGCATCTTGTCTTTCCGTTCACGTCTGAGCCCAGAAAAGAGGTAAAGAAGTAAAGAGGTGCACTATGCTTGTTCCGTGTTGCATCATCATGGACTTCGAAACTGAAAACAGTTCATGAGTTTGACACTTGGCTACGCACTCGCACTTCGAAACTCGAAGCACAACTGCTAAGTTTGACACTGGACATGGGCACGATTGTCGCCGAGACCTGCAAACTGAACAGTGAAGCTTGCAATGAACACGTCAAAGCAACACATTTCAAAGAAATCTGGTACCGTGAATTCCCGACTAAAACCACATGTTGTTCATTTGAATAGACGATTTCCCATACAGTTTGCCAACAAAAACAAGCAAAAGCCGGTACCATGATGCTATAAACTACATCCGTCATCTTCATGAGTTCAAGGTAAGCGAGCATCACGCACATTCAAATCCCCTCAGCAGCATAGAAGACTCTGCAGAATGCCAAGTCCTTCAAAAGACAAACTGTGACAAAAAACATTAACAACAGACATGGCAACGAAAGACGCACATGCAATTTGTAAGTAAGGATCGAACCACGTTCAGAAATCTCAAAAAATCTCGAGAAATGCCAGAACCGTTGGGGTGTCTTGTCAAGCATGCCTACACTATTTGCTCATGCTGCATGGTATTTTGTTTCCCCATGCGTGACTCTTGTCTTGTCCATTTGCTCACATCTAAGACAAGGAATGATCAATTCACATCTATAGAGCAAAGAGGTCAACATGGTCTGAACGTGAAACAGTGAATTAGCATGGACCAACGCAAAACATACTCTGTGAAGCTCGAGACTGGGATCGCAACTCCTGAGCTTGCGATAAGAAGACACCATCCTCTGGAGAACGACCTGCAAGCTCAAAACTCAGCTGCTGCTTCCCGAACAACGTCTATCAAAGAATGGCAAACATTCAAACAATACACATGCTATATATAAATACATCAACCGCACTGCGAAACCAGCATCAGATCATTTTCATTGTCAAAAACCATGCGTTCCGATCATCACTTGTTTCACGAACATTCAGCGTACATATGGGAATAAGAATGTTCACTCTGTGCACAAAACAATCATCATGGACATGTCCACAAAAGAACTGAGAATGCCACTCATGAGTTTGACATGGCAAAGAACCACTGTCGCAGAGTCCTGCAAACTGAAGGCTGAACGTGTCAACAGTGAAGCTTACAATGAACACATCAAATCATCAAACCACATGTTATTCATTTGCATATAAGGTACCGACTTAAAAATGGCGGCATGTCGGGATCGGCCCGAATAGTATTTTTTGTCCACTGCTCATGCATTTCCATGAAAACATTACATATATTTTTTCGTGCTGTACTTACATAGATCCACTGCATCGTAAACAAACACTGACATTGTCACAATGCAATTCTCGAGATCTCAGGGACAGCCCCCACAGAAACCTCGAGAAGTCCAAGAAATGTTCAAGATACCTGTTTGCCAATCGTCACTTGTTTCACGAACATTCAGCGTACATATAAGAATATGGATGTTCACTCTGTACACAATGCATCTTGTCTCTACGTTCACATCTGAGCCAAGGAAAGAGGTAAAGAGGTAAACTATGATTGTCGGTGAAGAGTTGCACAATCCACTGCAAAGGATTTGTTCGCTGCCTTCCAAACTGAGAATGCCATCACACACAGACGCTCCTACACGCAGATGCTTATTAAACACGCACACACGCTTTCACACACAAACGCTTTTACACACAGACGCTTTTACAACACGCAGATGCTTTTTACACACGCACACACGCTTTCACACACAAACGCTTTTACACACAGACTCCTTTACACACAGAGTCCTTTACACACAGAAGCTTTTTACACACAACACTTTCACACACAGGCGCTTTTACACACAGGCGCTTTTACACACAGAAGCTTTTACACACGGAAGCTTTTACACGCTCTTACACACAGACGCTTTTACACACAAACGCTTTTGCACTTTTACACACAGAAGCTTTTACACACAGACTCCTTTACCCACAGAGGCTTTTACACACAGAAGCTTTTACACACAGGCGCTTTTACACACAGAAGCTTTTACACACAGAAGCTTTTACACACAGAACTTTTTACACACAACACTTTCACACACAGAGGCTTTTACACACAGAAGCTTTTACACACAGGCGCTTTTACACACAGACGCTTTTACACACAGACACTTTTACACACAACACTTTCACACACAGAGGCTTTTACACACAGAAGCTTTTACACACAGGCGCTTTTACACACAGACACTTTTACACACAGACGCTTTTACACACAGAGGCTTTTACACACAGACGCTTTTACACACAGAGACTTTTACACACACAGACGCTTTTACACACAGAGCCTTTTACACACAGACGCTTTTACACACAGACGCTTTTACACACAGACGCTTTTACACACAGACGCTTTTACACACAGACGCTTTTACACACAGGCGATTTTACACACAGACCCTTTTACACACAGACGCTTTTACACACAGACACTTTTACACACAGACGCTTTTACACACAGAAGCTTTTACACACAGAAGATTTTACACAAAAACAAAACTTTCACATTCAGACGCTTTTACACAGAGGCTTTTTACACACAGGCTTTTACACACAGACGCTTTTACACACAGACGCTTTTTTTACACACAGACGGTTTTACACACAGACCCTTACACAGACACTTTGAAACACAGACGCTTTTACACACAGACGCTTTTACACACAGAGGCTTTTACACACAGACACTTTTACACAGACGAAAGCGTTGCGATTGACACTTTAAAATTGGAATTTTTCCTCAGTTTTTGACGTCCAACGTCCATTTCGTGCGAAAGGGTTGCGATTGACCAAGTAAAATCGCAATTTTTCCTCAGTTTTTGACGTCCAACGTCCATTTCGTGTGTAAGGGTTGCGATTGACAACTCAAAGTCGCAATTTTTCCTCAGTTTTTGACGTCCAACGTCCATTTCGTGCGTAAGGGTTGCGCGGGACTAAGTAAACTCGCAATTTTTCCTCAGTTTTTGACGTCCAACGTCCATTTCGTGCGAAAGGGTTGCGCGCGACGGATGACAATCGCAATTTTTCCTCAGTTTTTGACGTCCAACGTCCATTTCGTGCGAAAGGGTTGCGCGCGACGGATGACAATCGCAATTTTTTTCCCCAGTTTTTTGAGACGTCCAACGTCCATTTCGTGCGAAAGGGTTGCGATGGACACTTCAAAGTCGCAATTTTTCCTCAGTTTTTGACGTCCAACGCCCATTTCGTGCGAAAAGGTTGCCGGGGACGCTTCAAAATCGCAATTTTACCTAGGTTTTGGACGTCCAACGTCCATTTCGTGCGAAAGGGTTGCGTTTCGTGGCGCTCCGGCGGCACCGCCCCCGGCTTAAGAGAGAATAGAAGAAGAGCGAGAGGAGATCTGCAGATGTGAAGGTGTGAAGATCTAGATCTGCAGGTGTGAGGGTGTGAAGATCTAGATCTGCAGGTGTGAGGGTGTGAAGATGTAGATCTGCAGATGTGAGGGTGTGAAGATCTAGATCTGCAGGTGTGAGGGTGAAGATCTAGATCTGCAGGGGTGAGGGTGTGAAGATCTAGATCTGCAGATGTGAGGGTGTGAAGATCTAGATCTGCAGATATGAGGGTGTGAAGATCTAGATCTGCAGATGTGAAGGTGTGAAGATCTAGATCGGCAGATGTGCGGGTGTGAAGATGTAGATCTGCAGATGTGAGGGTGTGAAGATCTAGATCTGCAGATGTGAAGGTGTGAAGATCTAGATCGGCAGATGTGAGGGTGTGAAGATGTAGATCTGCAGATGTGAGGGTGTGAAGATCTAGATCTGCAGGTGTGAGGGTGTCAAGATCTAGATCTGCAGGTGTGAGGGTGTGAAGATGTAGATCTGCAGATGTGAGGGTGTGAAGATCTAGATCTGCAGGTGTGAGGGTGTGAAGATCTAGATCTGCAGGTGTGAGGGTGTGAAGATCTAGATCTGCAGATGTGAAGGAGTGAAGATCTAGATCAGCAGATGTGAAGGAGTGAAGATCTAGATCAGCAGATGTGAAGGTGTGAAGATCTAGATCTGCAGGTGTGAGGGTGTGAAGATCTAGATCAGCAGATGTGAAGGAGTGAAGATCTAGTATAACGGCTGCTTTTTTACGAAGAACCCTTCGCAGGCGCTCTCGGGAAAAAAATATTTCTGGTGAGAAAAAGGGACAAAAACAAACATCACCATCTTAAGCGATTCAAACATATATATATATGCAAATCTATATATATATGCAAATATATATATATACATATATACTACATATATATATATATATATGTATATACAATACATATATATGCTCAGCACCATATTTATATATATATGTGGAGGGTTCCAGAACTCCAACAATAGATGGTTTATAATGGAAGCTCCGATTAAAATGGATGATTTGTGGGTACCCCCATTTCAGGAAACCAAGGATCCCCCATTCACTTCCGAATGGAATGGATGCTTCCCGTACATTTTCAGAGACCAAAAACCCCTGAGATGGTTGGTGATAACCATCGAGAACCATACCATATAGTAAACGTTCACACAACTATGGAACATCACCCTTTTTGATGGGTGAATCAACTATTTCTATGGCCGTTTTCAGTAGCCAACTGTTAGTTTACAGCAGGTAAATCTTCGTCAAAAATGGTTACGGGTCAACATCCTGACGAAAATAGCTGGTATAGCTGGATGCGAAAACACTCCCAACGGATACGGTTAATGGAACCTAATGGAAGTTTATCCTGGCTAAAATAGCTGGTTAATAGCTGGCGAATGGTAATTTCATAGGTAACAAACGACCCATCTGAAGCAACTTGGCCAAGGTTCTTGTCACACATGGTGGAGGGAAAGTCACTGCAACACTGCGAGGCTGGCCAGGCCATCATGTCCTGGATTCTACGCATTTATGATAGCGTGTGTATATATATCTATCTATCTATCTATCTATCTATCCCATCCTATCCTATCCTATCCTATCCTATCCTATCCATCTATTTATCTATCCTATCTATCTATCTATCTTTCTATCTATCTATCTATCTATCTATCCATTCCATCCCATCCCATCCCATCCCATCCCATCCTATCCTATCTATCTATCTATCTATCTATCTATCTAGTCTATCTCTGTAAATGTGAATATATATATATATGTATACATATATGTTTATGTATATGTATATGTAAAAATATATATCTGTATATGTATATACATATGTGTCATTTACATATACATATAAATACATCTGTATATATATATGTATAAACATATGTATATATATATATATGCATATATAGACATATACATATACGTATACATATACATATACATATATATATATATATACATTTACAAATATCTATAGATATGTACACGCATAAAAACATATGTATGTATGTATATATACATATATTTATATACGTGTATACATATATATATATGTATATATTTATATATACATATGTACATATGTATATATGTATACATATATGTCTATTTACACACACATATATGTATTTGCATTTATATATATATATACATATACATATGTGTTTATATATTTATATATGCATGATATAGATGTATACATAAATAATATGGATTTTACAGGAAGCAGGTCTTGATGCCGACCCCAGAAAACCTGCAAGACAGTGAAGGCGTATGCAGCACATCCAGGAGGTGTGAGCACAAACGCGTCACCAACCCGAGCCTTGGCCCTCCAGGCGTGTTCAAAGATGGGCTTCATGGCATCCATGAAATTGAAATGCATCGGCTGGTCCTACCGGGGCCAGGTGCGTCAGGCAAGCTGGTTCAAGTTCCCTGTCCCGTGCCTGGGGCAAGAGAACAAGCTCTTCTCATTATCTTCATCGATGTAGCGCTCGTCCATGTCATAGAAAAGGGCACCCTGCAGTGGAAACAGGGTTTGACATGCAATGCATTGACGCAAGATATGGCACCGTGCCTGCAAGCATGGTAGTCCGAGCAGCTCCTCATTGACGGCCACCCAGTACTTGCGCTCCACCTAACATCACAGACGCCCACACAACCACGACAGGTATCAAAGCATCACGCCTTCCCACTCCATTGTATCAAACCAAGGCCCGTACCGCCCGTCGCCATAGCTCCACGAATACAGCCAGAAGAATGGCATGAAGCCCGTTCATCTTGACCTGGGCAAAAACAAGTGTATATCACCCGGAACACAGGATATTTTAATAGACAGCAGGACATGACGAAAAGCATCATTTGCAAAACAGATTCCCGGATTTTTCTGGTAGTCAAGGTTGCTGCCGCTCGTTGGCAGTCTTCGTGCCCAACCACGGCAGTCAAAGGCACAGACAGGGATGATGTTACCCCAGTATACCCGGTCAAAAGAAGTTTCAGCGCGACAAGTCGCCACGGTATTAGACAGCTTCGCTGAGCCTGTATGGGTGTGTGTGTGTGCATGTGTTGTCATGCCTGTTGCAAATGTTTGTAGTCAGCTTGACTCAGCGATATGCTCACGCGGCAGCGGTGGTGGATACAACATTCACATGCAACAGTCCACATCTCCCGTTGAGAGGCACCCAGCCCGTCATGGCAAACCACCAACATTGATGCCAAGAAAACATGCGCTGGTTATTCTTGACACCGATGACCACAAACCAGCAATTCTGCGATAGGCTCAACAAATTGTTCCGAAATAGTTGTTTGGCACCTGACCCCTTGTTGGAAAATTATTTTGATGGGGTCCGACCCCGGTAAAATATATTTTTCAGCCCCGAAAATATTTTTGCATGGTTTGACCTATGCCAGAAGTATATGGTTCTTGCATGCTTTTGGCGCCTCACTCCCACAAATATATTTCTGCTTTGCTCACTACTGTACACACAAACACTAACTACAATGGACAATAATTATGATGCGCACACGAATATATAGCGATTTCACACATAGCTATTCAAACTATTGCAGCTTCCGGTCAAACAGCAAGCAGCTACAGCACCTTTTTCAATCCAAAAACAGATGCTGGTGGTCTAGATTCAATAACAGCCTGGCACCAAGCCTCGGCCAAGGCGGAACTTGTGCTGGTCCCACTCGGTGCCGGTGAACAGGCTGCTGGCGAGGCGGCCGGCGAGCACGTCGTAGCGCACGATGAGCGGAGGAGGATTGAGAAGATGTTTGCAGTTGTTCTCCTTCTTGCTACAGCTCACCACAAAGGTTGCCTTGTTGCCCCAGCCCCCGTCGCAGCAGTCCCATGTATCATAGTCTGCGGGATCGCGCTCAATGTCCGCTACCAGGGGCACTCCGTCCAATTTGTCGTAGATTTTGGTGCAAATCCTGATGCCCGCTTCCCGGATCTTCTTGCGCAGCCATTCTTCTGCTTCGCCTTCCATGATACTCGCCTCCTCTTCCTCCTCCTCTATCTCGTTGTTGTCCATGGCTTGCCCTTCATAGTCACGAAGACGGCGTAGTCCTCCTTGAAAGCTTCCATCTCCTGCAGGCATGTGGAGCAATCTTCCTCGCTGTAACAACGGGCCCTCGTCGAACGGAGCATCTTTCCCAACTTCTCTTCCGCCGCTTCATCCAAGAAGGCAGTGCTGCGCTTCATGGCGATTGCGCTTCAAGAAGAGAAGCTACGCGCGAGAAAATAATTCAACCAAGCCATGGGCTACTGCGTATATCATGCAGATTGGTAGTCTAGCAGGTATCATGTAATGAATCATGTATATTATGCAAATTAAAGTTGTACAGGGGCACCTGGTTTTTCACGCGCTTTTTCATGACTGTAGCCAATCTCACAACGCTTTCTGCTCCACTGAGCCTATTGTAGGGTGCATCCCAGGACATGTAAGTGGGGAACAACCATATATATATATTCAGTCATATACGGGTTCTACGTAGGTGATGTAAATCTATATAATTCTAAATGGGTAGAGGCGTGAGGTTCCCCAGAAGGCAATTCAAGTTCATTAATTCAACTGTGATTTTTTCACAGTGTTTTACAATGTTTTGTCCTCTTCCCATAACTTGAGAACACAAGGAATCAGTTCGACATGCGGACAACATATCTGGGACATGTTGTCCGCTGTTTGAATGTGGTTTTTATCTTTTTAAAGTTCATTTTATGTTTTTTGTGGATCCCATAGGAAATGCGTGTTTTTTGGAATTTCAGGTTCCTTTTGATTGACATAAAAATGTCATAATCCACCAGAGAACCATGGGTGAAATGCACATGAGGTTTCATCTCTTCACATCCACAAAGCCGTTTTGAAAGCATTTGTAACAACATCTTCAACGTAACAACATCTTCCACGTAACAACATCTTCAACGCAACAACATCTTTAACGTAACAACGTCTTCTGATGACGCAATGCAATGAACGTTAACATCCCCCCATCTGTATGCTTATATCTATCAGAGAGAGAGACTCAAGGTTCCCCCGTGCTCCGGGGAACCTCACGCCTCTCCCCTAATTCTATATATGTGTTATTTTTGGACTTTACATGGCTTATACATGGGTTATATATGGCCTTATACGGCTATGTATATCTATATATATATATATGGTTTCTACATTAGCTATAGATGGTTTATAGATGATTTATATGGGTTATATATGGCTTATACATTTATAGATGGTTTATATAGATGGTTTACATGGGTTATATGATTTATCTGGGGTATATACGGCTTATATATGGGTTATACCCTCTGGTAATTTAACATAGCTATAGAAAATCACCATTTTTAATAGGTAAACCATCTATAAATGGGCCATTTTCCATAGCTATGTTAGTTTACCAGAGGGTATATGGCTTGTGCATGCTTTAGAGGCAACTTACATCCAGTCGAAAAATCGGCGGCGGCGTCCTTGACCTGATAGCCCCAGACTTCCTTGCCATCGCAGTCCCCATCGACCTCACCATTTGGCCAAAGCCACCGAAAAAATGGGAGGCGCTCAATTTGACCCATATCCAACTAGAAAATCACCATATTCCATGGGCAAATCATCATGGTTAACAGGGAAATCATCATGTTTAAGAGGGAAATCACAATGTTTAATAGGAACATCATCACTATGGAAAATCACCAGCTTTAATAGGGAAATCATCATGTTTCATAGGAAAATCATCTACTTTCATGTGCCATATTCCACAGCAAAGGGTTAAAAGTACCAGAGATTATGGCAACAACTGGATGATTTTCCCATTAAAAATCCACTAAAAAGCTGGATGTTCCCCATGTTTGATGACCCCAGAGGGTAATATCCCTATCATTCTCCCATTCTATCCCTACTAATAACCCATTCATATGCCATTCGTCTTCCATTGATCTTCAATTACCAACTGCTTACCATCTCCAACTCAGGGCTTCGACGCCAGGCGCTCGCGCGCTGCCCAGGCACGTGGGCTTCGATGACCTTTTCCATGTACTCTCGACTCAAACCAAAGAGTTCCTCCCGACAGGTCCATCCATTCCTCGTCGGCGTTGAAGGCACTGGGAATATATGGAGGTGTCCCAAAAAAATGGGGGGTACCCAAGTTATCATCCAAGTTCTTGCTGATCAATGGGCAAACCCAGGGTTTGGGGTAGCCATGTTTCAGGAAACCACCATGTTTGTGGTGTAATTGAACGCGGAAAAACATCAGAATCGACTACTTATATTAGATGTGATATGATACATAGATCTGACGAAATGGCAAAATGGCAAAATGCAGCGGCTGGGCTCAAAGACAAAAACGACGCTCGAAAAAGGGTACCAATGAACCTGCAAAAATATGATCACTGTAAACCTAAGAAACTTTGGGGGATAAAATCATCCCTTCTCCCGATATTGAATACCCCCGAAGCCCTGGTTTCGTATTGGATCTCTTTATAAATTTGGGGCCAATCATGGGGAATGGGGGATAAACATGGAGGGTTTGGAGCTAAAATCTTCAGCCAGTTCAGAGACCAAGGAGGCCAATCATGTCCTTTTGGTCAAAATTTACCGGGGCCGGGAGCTGGGGGAAAATCCCATCTATCATCAAACAAACCTGTTGTTGTTCAGGGCTAAACCTTCAACCCATTTCTATTTTCATCAATCAATGGGAATTTGGGACATCTATCTAAGCCAAGTTTCCAAGTAGCACCCACTGCTCTACAAGCCTCTGGCTCATCACACTGGCAATAGCCCCTGGTAAATCTGCAGCCCTCAGTGGCTTCGCAAATCGCTTCTCCGGGTAGGCTGGCCATGTTGTACATGTCACACCAGCCACTAATGTCCTCAAGTCGTCACCCATGAATCAAGGGGGGGTTGGCTCCCCATGAAATGGATCCCCCACTTGGGATATCTTGGGATATTTGGAACATGAACTTCAAAAATGGCGCTAAGCCTCTGGTAAACTAACAGTTTGCTATTGAAAATGGTCATTGAAATAGTGGATTTTGAAAATGGTCATTGAAATAGTGGATTTACCCATTAAAAATAGAATAGTGATTTTCCATAGCTATGTAAACGTTTACCAGAGGGTAAGCTAACAAATACAGATGCCGCTCAAAATCAACGTTTTGCATTCTTTTCGTATGATACGACTTCAACCACAAGCATTCACCTTCCCCAGTTCTCAGAGCACTGCTTTTTTTTGATATTTCCCAGGAATTTCTCCCACCCCTCATCCCGTCCTTGTCGGGAGTAAAGGCACTTGAATCTTGGCAGGGTGTGATCCGCCGATAGTCCTCTTGCAAAATCACATGAGGCCGGGGACCCATGGAACTCTGCAGCAGGGCTGCTGACTGGGCAGCACAGGCACCTTCGGTGCATGTGTCAGTCGCAGTCGCGGTCGCCGCTGGAAGAAAGATGGAGAGCCACATCCACATAGCGCGGAAGCGGTTTTTCAGGGGGCAAGATGAGATTTGGGTTGAAACACCTGCGATCACGAAGCGATTGAATAGGGCAGAAGACGCATAGACTTCATAGACTTTCCTGCTTTCACTCCAAGATTCTGATGATTAATCACGTCCGAAAATAGTAGTTCACTTCATCCTTTTTGCACAGCTTATCAAAATCATTAACCCAAAATTTGGATGGGTTAGGATCCCAAATAACCAGTCTTAGGCGGGTTGTGTCTCAAAAACATCTCGTTTTTTAGTGGTGAAAAACCGCGCAAAAACTCTAGATTGCTTTGTCTTGGCATGTGTGTCTCAAAAAAATGGGTTGGAAGGCAAATCCTACCCAAGTGTCCACCCGAAATCCTCTTTGAAAAAAGGGATTCACAATCCTACACTCTTGGTAGTCTTAAACTCCCTTTTTCAGTCCAAAAAAAAACCATGAGCATCCTATGGAAACTTGCTATGTTCGATGAAAATCCAATGGTTTCAAGCTGATTTTTTCTCATAAACCCCATGAAAAATTCTGCTGAAATCCCATGAACATCCCATCAAAACTGGATGAACATCCCGTAAATTTCAGGCAGGACATCGACTAAAGCCGCCCAGTAGCTGTGACAGGTCCAGGTCAGTGATCTCCTTGAAATTTGGGGCAGACGTTGATGGATGTTGACGGCTAGAACTAGGGTAATTGTTTCGCCATAAATGGAGATATGGGGTGAATCACATAGTGATATAGTTGGTATATGGTATACTACGGTCAGATATCATCGCAAACTGCTTCACTGTATTTTTTTGGTAGATGTTTCATATAGCATTAGGTGGAAGACTAGCAACTACATCATTTCACATCTTTTTCTATGGTGACATCCGGTCCTGTCGTTTTTTACCCCACATCGCCACAGATGTCGACTGTCATAGGATGAAACCAACAGTTCAACTTCGCCTTCGCTGGGAAAGAACCACCGTCAGCATAGGTGATTTCCCATGATTTTTCCAACGATTTTCCATAGGTCCCCACATCAATCCCCATATTTCACCTTCCCAAAGTATTCCATGATATTACCATAGTACTGCCGTTACATGTCCATTATATCTATATATTACATATATATATATGATATAACCACTACTGTAATCAAACCTGGCCATTGAGAATCCCTCATTCATTGATTTTCCCAGCTAGAAACCGCCACCTGCTTCGGGGATTTCCAGTTGCGACCATTGGTTCCCCTAATTTATGTCTATTTTAATGGGAAAATGCTGACAAACTAACTATTGGATTTGGGGTACAATGTTTTCAGACAAACCCATATATATAGTATATAGTATATAGTATATAGTGTGTATGTATGTGTATATATATAGTATATATAAATATATAGTATATATATAGTATATATATATATGTATATATATATATAGTATTTCTATATATACTACAGTATACATATCTCCAGATCAGCTTTTCATCCCATCATCGATGTTTTCATCTTCGAAAGCACGCTCCTTGGCTTCTTCGCGATCCTTTCGGAGCCCCTGCCATCGTTGTGAAAATCTTCGAAGATATGTCTCCCGTTGCTGCCAAAAAAAGACCATTTGGGGATGGTTCATACTATTTCATAGCACCAATAAGTTGGATAACCAATAGTGACAGGAAACATATTTGGCTTTGATATGACCAATATTTCTGATATCCAATCTTATTAGACAATCCTCTCTTAGTTGCTGCTTGGTGGAAAAAAAAACAGTTGGGATGATTTTCCATTCCATTCCCACTCATGTTCCGTGGTTTATAGCCTATGAAAACCACTATTAACCACTATTAACCATTATTAACCACTATTAACCATCACATAATCCATTCATGTTCCATGACACCAACCAGTTATTTGGTCCCAAAAGGTCCCATCTCTCCAAATCAAAGGCCCGCTCCGCTGCTGTGATAATCCGAATTGGGAAGTCCTTAATTAATGTGGTTATCCCAATCAATTAACCACATTATATGGATGATTTTCCCAGCTAGAAACCCAACAATGGATATGTTAGTCATAACCAGATGCTATCTATATGGATGATAACCACATTAATAATGGGAAGTCATATAGATAGCTGTTCCATGATGCTATCATCCATAATCCATTTATAGATAGCATCTGGTTATGACTAACATATCCATTGTTGGGTTTCTAGCTGGGAAAATCATCTATAAATGCTGGTAAATATAGATTTGCTGATAAGATTTGCTTGGTTATTGATTGATGAATCAAGATGATGTATCCCCATAAAATGCTCATAATATCCAAGATGTACCATCTGGTTATGACTAACATAGCCATGGTTAAAATCCCAGCCATAAATGGAGGTTTCTAGCTGGGAAAATCATCTATTTCTATGGGCCATTTGCCATGGCTATGTTAAATAACCAGAGGGTAGTATGAGCTGGCAATGGTTTAGTATTCAAGTTGCAAACCAATATTAAACCATTCCCAGCTATTTTCTTACTATTGTTGGACCTGGATGAGTTCAAAAGATGTAAAAATGACCGCACAATTGGTGGTTACCCTCTGGTAAACTAACAGTTTGCTATTGATAATGGCCATTTATAGTTGATTTACCAATTAAAAATGGTGATTTTCCATGGTTATGTTAGGTTACCAGAGGGTATACTTACTTTCGGTTGTTGCAGTTGTTTTTGCAGGGAGTGGCGTCCTCATCTTGTCTCGCGTACAGTAGATCGCACATCCGTGCGAACGTTGACCACACAAAAATGATGAGCATTTCTGCAGATGCAATTGTGGATTCAGAACCCCGTCATTCTTTACATAAAGGTCCCACTCCATATAGATATATATATATACATATCGGATTATGGCTTCTTCCCCCATAGAACTCGATATTCTTCGGAGTTTCCCATAAGGATTCGATTCCCTTTTTGATGCCCTTTTTTTTGCTGACCTCGGCTTCCACTCGAGCTTTCAGCTCGGTCATGCCACTGTTGCGACGTACCAGGCCCTGCCGATTTCTCCAAAGGATTTCATGCTGATTTTATGGTAGTATTCCATGGTACCCTCTGGTAATTTAACAGTTTGCTATTGAAAATGGTGATTTATAGTGGATTTACCCATTAGAAATGGTGATTTTCCATAGTTACGTTAGTTTACCAGAGGGTAATATCCATGGTAACTACAGCTGATTCATGGTGAAATAATGTGAAATATTCGTTGGTGAAGTCTATTCTATGGTATATTTTTGATGGAATTTACTGGGAATATCATGGGATCTTCATCGAATTGCCCATTGATATCGTATTTTTCATGGGACAATCAATGATAACAATAGGCTTTATTAAATTGGATGTGTATATCTATAATCAAGATGATGTATCCCCATAGAATGCGCATAATATCCAAGATGTACCATCTGGTTATTTAACATAGCCATGAAAAATCACTCATAAATGGAGGTTTCTAGCTGGGAAAATCATCTATTTCTATGGGAAATGTTCCATGGCGTTGTTAAATAACCAGAGGGTATAACCAACAGTTCTGTTAGTTCAACGACCCCCATTCACTCGTCGGAGAGTTTTCACTATGAGTTACAATCCAACTTAGAAATTCCAAACTGGGCTCATGACCCATTATAAGAGGGCAATTATTAAATAATCCAACTCTGGTAGTTATAATAATCCAGCTTAGAAATATTTAGAAATTCCAACTTAGATTAACCATCAAAGCATTGTCATTATTACCCTCTGTTTGTTTCGTTCTAACATAGCGAACTGAAAAGATCCTCCATGTTTCCATGGGTGAATCAACGAACTTTCGCAATTTTAAAGTTAGCAAACTGCTACAAATTACCAGAGGGCAACTATAGAGATATATATATATATCCACAACCATATTATGAAATTTTTAACCATCTATAAATGCTGGTTATGGTTATTGCCAAAGGGTAACTATAGATAGATATATCTCCATAACCATAAATTAACCATATATGAACCACATATATTAACCATATGTTTGTCCATCCCCAGGATGGCCATAACCAGAGGCAACCCGTATAGCTATGGTCATCACATCATGGGAATCCTCAAAAAGTGGGAGAAAAATCCTGAACGAATCTGGTTGGTGGTTGAGCCACCTACCCCTCTGAAAAATATGAGTCAGTTGGGATGATGAAATTCTCAACATATGGAAAAAAAAAAAAACAATATAAAACATGTTCCAAACCACCAACCAGTAATAGATGGATTGATGACCGCTCACTCCAACGAACGTAGATGGGCGAACATCTACGCTTAGCCCGAAAATTCTGGTGCATTGCATCAGATTTCCGACCGTGAAAGTGCTAGAAATTGAGGCATCCCCCCATTCTTGGGAAAGCTGAAATAGGTTCGTTTCTGTGCTTGTGGCCATGATTTTCTGGAAGGTATGACTGGGTCTTAAAAAGATATTCCCATGGTAAGAAATCAACCCCGCTGACCTACTCTTCACCGAAGTTTGATCATAGAGGTAAATCCCCCCAGAGTCTGACCATCGAAAAATAGCATCAAAGACTTCCACCAGTTAGTCACCCCCATCTTTGAAGGTCAGATCATCATAGTTTTTCTCGTAAAAATCCACATCAATGATCAAGAGTTCACTTCAACAAATGGCAGAATTACCATCTGGTTATTTAACATAGCCATGGAAAATCACCATTTTTAATAGGTAAACCATCTATAAATAGGCCATTTTCCATGGCTATGTTAAATAACCAGAGGGTATCATAATTCATCAGTTCCTTGATGGCAAAATCGCCCACCAATCATCCTTTTTGATTTTAATGCTACCCTCTTTTGTTGGAGGTCTCCCACTGCCTGGGACGCCGCCTTTGGCGCTGGAGAACGTGGGGCCTCAACGAGTAGTAAAACGTTGAGCTTGGAAGATTTCTTTTTTGGGATGTAGGGATAATAATAACAATAATAATAGTAATAAAAATAATCATAGTTATCTGGATCATTGCTATATAGCTAGGATACAATAATTATAGTTATTAAATTGAAAAATGATAATACCATAGTTATACTCGCTATATACCAATAATTGTTATAACTAGTTAGTAACTGGTTGGTGGTATACCTACCCCTCTGAAAAATATGAGTTCGTCAGTTGGGATGATGAAATTCCCAACTGAATGGAAAAATAAAATTCATGTTCCAAACCACCAACCAGTATAATAATAACAATCAAATAATATCATAATAGCTTTTACTAATGATATAATAATTAATACTGGGACCATATGGGAATATTGTGGAATACTAATATCAGATGGAAATTCTATATCGATGGATTCTCCAAATTTGTTGATGGAAATGACGAGAAATTGGGAATGTCACCCTCAACAAATAGGGATTGCTTGGGGAATTTTAGAGGAGTTTGTGGAAGCGTAAGCATCCGTGTATTGCAGTTTTGCAGCAATTGGGAAAATCAAGCTTAATAAGAGTTCGTGCAACTGTTTCTGGTAAGCAGAATCAATCTAGTCAACGGATTTGGCGCCGGAAAATGGTGATCGACCATAATCAACCATAATCAACCATGGAAATTGAAGCCAGAAAGCCATGAGTTTTATGCCCTCATGTGTTGTGAAGCCCACATCAATAATCCAATAAGACATCTCAGCAAAAGAGGTCTATGTTATATATCTATCTAGTACCATTTGCCGTATGGTTGGTTCTATGACACCCACTCGTTTCCCTACTATTGGGAATCATAAAGCTAGTATAAGTCCCAAGAAATGAAGCAATCAACCAAGCCCTGGTTGGTTAATCAATGTGTTGAAGCCCATATCATCAATCCAATCAAACGAATCCCAGTACATTATGAACTATTTCTATGTTATATAATAGATCTATCCAGTACTTATGGTTGGTTCAATAACACCCACGAAAGAAGCACATGTGAGCCATGGTCAATACTCACTATATGGTTGATGGTCACCCCAGCCATAATAAGGATCCTTTTTTTATGGTTATTATAAATCCCTATGAACCATTGGATGACTAGCTTCTATTAATGGTTATTAACCATGAGTATTGACCATAGCTCATGTGTTGTTTCCAAGGCCCACCTGCATGTTGGAGGGCAATGGAGGGCCTTTGCCCTTGCCCTTGCGGAGATTCCCCTGAGGCGAAGCAGCAGGCAGCTTAGCATCGGGCCAGAGGTGGAATCTGACAACTCACCAATTGTTTTTTTGGGGATATATATATATACCCTCTGGTAAATGATGGTTAATCTGTGGTTAGTATACTGTTCATGATGGTTAATATATGGTTATTATATGGTTAATGATGGTTAATAATGTTATCTGGTTGGTGGTATACCTACCCCTCTGAAAAATGATGGAGTTCGTCAGTTGGGATGATGAAATTCCCAACTGAATGGAAAGTCATAAAAATCATTCATGTTCCAGTCACCACCTAAACCAGTATATACATAGAAACACCAAAAAAAAAGAAAATGCACAGTGATTCATCACTATTTTAGTGGTTGGTGTTACTGTTCCATCTTTTTCAGGATGACTTTGATTTTTTCAGTGGTGAGATCTCCGTGGAGGTGTCCCCGTGTTGACACAGCAGTTGCGGGCCGGACCACACTCCATAAAAGGCAATTGCCCTGAAATTATATATATGTATGCTATAGGGATGGTTGAAACATGGTTTCCATAAATGGCTAATAAATTGTTCAAAAAAACTTATAATAATGGTTCATATATCTGGGCAAATTATAATATTTCACTAACCTGAATAGTTCGGCCATTTGGGGATGATTCCCCTGATTAACCATGATTTCCAGTGAGGGAGAACAGTGAGGTCGTTATAATTTACCAAGATATACGGATGGGATAATCCTTCCCATTGACTAATATTTATTAGAGGGTAGGTATACCACCAACCAGTTGAGAATGTTGAACATACTCTCTGGTAAACGTTTAGAGTTTGCGAACTTGAAGCCATGGCGTCGAAATAGTGGATTTAGCCAGCTATAAAATGCTGGATCTTTCCAGTTATGTATGTAAACCTACGTAAAAACCAGGCCGGGTACCCTCTGGTAAACGTTTACATAACTATGGACAATCACCATTTTCAATGGGTAAATCCACTATTTCTATGGCCATTTTCAAGTTCGCAAACTGTTAAATTACCAGGGTTTAGGGTATCTGGCAAATTTCCTGGTGAACTCTGCCCAAAAAATCCACCGAATCAACCGACTTTCACAGTTCGTTCCTGAGATTCCCAGAGATCATCCAACTGGATCCAACTGGTTGATGAAGAACGGGATTCCCCGGGGATTATTGTAATATTTATTAGTGGTATTATCAGGGGATTCCAATCATTCTTGTAATAAATATTACCCCAGGGGATTCCAATCATTCATCAATTGAGGATTTTATGATTTCCAGGGATTATTGGAAGATGATTGTAATCCTCAATACTTTTTAGATTATTGAAGGGTAGTGTTCCATCCAAGAATCTAAGATGGATTTTAAATTTAGGATCTCATATTATATGATCACATGTATAATCCACAATCATCATCAATAATAAATATGTTGTATTCCATGTTATAGTTCCCTACAATCATCAGGTAGTATAATCCCCTATATATATATATCTATTGGATTATATTGGTAATATATCAAATATATTACCCTCTGGCTATTTAACATAGCCATGGTATAGATGGCCCCTAGAAATAGATGATTTTCCCAGCGTTTGAAACCTCCATTTATGGTTGGGATTTTAACCATGGCTATGTTAAATAACCAGATGGTAATCCCCAATCATCAACCAATATGGCTTTAGCATCCGCAAGTTGAATCCCCGACGAGTTCGCCACAGATCGCGTTCGCCACCGATCTGCCAAAATTGGCCTTGACGGATGTGACGGAGGCATCGGCATCTGCCTGACGCGGAAAAAGATGTGTGAGAAGTGGCTGGGGAAGTTTATGATTATATATATATATGTATATTTATAGATAACGTTGTATATCTACAAGTCTATAAGTGATATCATATCTATGTTTATATCAAATATATCAAAATGTTTAGGTATATATCATAGAAGTGGGTTTCATTGAAGTCAACAGGTGTCTTTATTTTAAAGGAAAAACACAGGATTTTTTTCATGCATTGTCTGTTCAAATTGGCACCGCATCACATTGATGCAATTGCGTCGATACCTAAATGCACCGTAGTTGCACTAAATCATATACTTTCATCTATGTCGAAACTATTCTAAAGTGATCAGTGGGAGGTGCCCATGTCTCACTTTAGGCTTTCTATGCACCTCCGAAATTTCCGTTTGAATCAAGAAATGGTCCATCCAACTCCATCTTTGTCAGTGATCAATTGATTGATTTCACGGAAAATATCTATACCAAAAAACAACAACATGGTTTTACCTCTAGGGTGTTTACTGTAAAAGTTACCATTTTTTTTCATGAAGTGAATAATATCCATCGTCAGGACTTCTTTTTAACCCTCAAGATGATGCTTCAAGAGGCGCAAACAGCTCCTTCTGTGGCTTGTTCCACCCTTCTGGAAGGGTTCGATGTTTAATGGACCTAGTAACCATGGATCCAAGATGACGTCAATCCATGCTCTGTCAGTTCTATCCTCAGAAGCTGGATGTAAAGGATTCATTATCAGCTAAGATATCAATATGAGGATTATTACCAGGAAAAAAAACATAACAATTCATGGCCAAATTTCAGGTCAAAACACGTTTTCAGGCCAAAATTTCTTGGAATGATCAAGATGTTGAGGACTGTTCTCAATCCTGAGTGTTCTGGACAATACACTCCCAAAAATTAGATAACCCCGCTTTATGTCTGCCTTATAATCCACCAAAGTGCTTTGACTGGTTAAATAGGCTATCCGCACATTTACTAATCATCAATTTTACCAATCTTCCAATAATTCATTCACACATCATGAATTTTCCTGGTTGGTGGTGTAATAACCATCTTGAAAAATACTAGTCAATGGGAAGGAGTATCCCATATATGAAATGGAAAATAATCCAAATGTTTGAAACTTTGAAACCACCAATCAGTTTCCCTATCAGAAATGCATGAATCACCCAATCACCCAGCAACATTTTCCCATGGGCCATTTGGAGGTACCCCAAATACTGCTGCAGCACCTGCAGAAAGTTGCCCCAGAGATCCTGACACCAAAATGGACAGCAGGGACCTGCCTTGCCGATTTAGGTCGTTTTATTTCACCAACTCACCAACATCGTTGGGACGAAAAATTCTTTGATAGAAACCCGGCCTGGTAAATTAACATAGCGAACTGGAAAGATCCACCATTTCAATAGGCAATTCGACTATCAATGGCCATTTTCAATAGCTATCTTAAATTCCCGGGGAGTAAGCGACCATCAAATTGCTATTAAAAACCAACCGAACATGGGATTTAACCAATCTACAATGAGGTTGAGGTGAAGACCAAAAAAATCAGACTCAGTAATGTGGCTAAAACAATGCCATGTTTACCACCCAAGACTGGGGGATGGTAAACATGGCATTGTTTTACTCACAGTATTCAATATCCCGATTCTGGTGGGTCATCCACTGTTCGTGGAGGATGCAATCCCCATATGTTCGGTTCAAAAAACCAAAGCCACGGGTTGATGAAAAATCACTGTCCGAATAGCAGAATGGCCGTGACACCCAAATATCGTATCAAGTTGGTCATATATATATACTGGTTGGTGGTTAAAAAAAAACATCTTGAAAAATGATGGAGTGAAAGTCAATGGGAAGGATGACATCCCATATCTGAAATGGAAAATAATCCAAATGTTCGAAACCACCAATAGTTATATGCTATACTACTATATACATTTAAAAAAAATAAAAAATATTCCATGATATTTGGCATGAGTTCAGCTTGAAACAATCTCCATTTTATCACCCAAAAAAAAGCTTGGCGCTCCCCTAAAATCACCCCTCTCCTCATCGTCATTCGCCGCGAATGGTTGTGAATCCGAGACAGCTGCAGCCTGGAGATGTTGCAGGGGATGGGTCAAAACCCTGGTACCATTCGTGAACCCCAAGTCATAGCTGGGTTAAAATGGATGTGAATATCCCGCTAAAAATGGATTACTATAGGTATTGACCCATACCCATATGGTGGTTTCCTCAAAAATTTCGGGCTACCCCTAAATTTCCTAGTTCTCATCCATTTATAGATGGATTTTCCATGACATAACCCACTTTTAACCCAAGGTCTCGCTGGGTCCATGAACAGCTGACTTCACAGGTGGTTCCCTATCTTTTCAAGGTCCACCATCTCTTTGGTGTTGTCTAAAAATAGGTTACCCCCAAAGCTAGGTGGTTTATCATCATGTTCCCTGTTCAAATGTTTTTTTTGAGGGGATATTCCACGATTTTCGGACACACCCATTTGAACTTCAAGCAATCTTTGGCTTAGCCCCCAGCCTGGCTAGCTGCTGAGGCCTTGCCCAATCTTTGACAGCTGAGGGATTCAACTATGGCTGACCGCTGGCCCAATTTTGGTGACCACCCCTCATTGCTTTCAATGTTTTGGGCTTTATTTAAACCACCAACAACATCCAACAACCACATAAGAGCACATGTTCACAATACCAGTTGATTGGTAGCTTATTAAATTAACTGAAAAAAGAAGCCACATGTGAAAACAATACGAGTTTACTACCCTCTGGTAATTTGTGACAGTTTGCGAACTTGAAGCCATATGGCCCAGTCGAAATAGTTGATTTACCCATTAGAAATTGTAATTTTCCATAGTTATGTTAGTTTACCAGAGGGTAAAGCCTCTAAAGTCCCCTCTAAACTCCCAGAATGGTTGATGAATCACGAGTTTACTAATGGCTAACCAACAACAAGCACTATTCTAAAAGGGGCAAATCTTACGCATCGTTTGGGGAGGACCTAGTCGTCATCCCCATAGTGATCACCTGCCTCTGCCGTGGGAGGCCCCAAAGGCCGAACTGCCACATCGGCCTTGAGAGAACGGTCGGCTGCTTCAAGGGAAAAGCTACAGGTTTTACCCCGGTGTTTGATGGTAAAAACCATGGTTTTTCCTGTAGAAAACTTAAAGTAAACCAATCCAATACAGTTTAAGTCTCACAACGGCACATTCGTTTATGAAGTCGACAAAGACAAGGAACATGTTGAACTACTTCAGTTTTGTAACCTATTGATTGCTTCACTAAGTCTCTGACAGCCTCGCTCGGTTCCGCAGCAGTGGCCGCCTGCCGAAAGGCTGCAACAATTGGAGGCACTGGCGCACTGGCGCCACATCTGCCGCCTTTCTCTGCTGCCGATTCAGCTGCAAAAAATGAGCACAAATCATGTAGCTGTTATTCTCAACGGAGGATTCTGATGGGTACAGAACGCAGGCATTTCACACGCTGATAAATCTGTATCCCATCAGAAATCAACAGGCGCTATCAGATAGCCTCAAAAGTGGAAGGTATGAACTGCACAACTGTTTATTAACCGAACAAAAAGCCTCTTGGTGTGTTTCACGAAGGCTATATTGGTATATATTGGTGTGTTTCATGAACTCCAGGAATAGCTGCGCCAAAATCCATGGAATCTTACCATCCTCACAACTGTCCTCTGAGGATCCATCCGCTGAAATCAGGGGCTGAAAGCGTCACCGTGGCGCACCATTCTGGAACCACACGTGATTGGTCATCTTTCATCATCTCAAACATGAATATACACCAATTAATTGGTTGTTGAATAGTTGTTAAATCATGTTTAGTACGAAACACCTACCCAACCATTGACATATTACCCTCTGGTAATTTAACATAACACAACAGAACTATTGAACATGGCCACAGAAACAGTTGATTTACCCATTAGACATGGTGATTTTCCAGTTCGCTATGTTAGTTTACCAGCGCGTGGTTGCTAGATCTTGACATTGAACCACGGCGACAACTGGCCCATTGCAGCCTGGGGAGGTTGTAACAGGTCCAAGGAGGTGCTCACAGCAGCCTTCTCGTAACAAAAGTCATAGAAAACTGGGAGAAGTGTCCTTCAATGTGGACCCATTTGGGAATGATTTATACCATTTTATACCTATTTCTGGTGATTTGGAGGATGGTTTGTGGCATTGTTTTACCCACATTGATGACCTAAGGCAAACCAACGTAGATGTGGAAGATTGTGAAAGTCATGCCCCACAAAAATGGATGAATTAAAATAATTGCCGATGAAAATGGTTGACGTTCCACATCTATGTTAGTTTACCCAAGGGTACCAATGAAGAAACCGTAAACCATGATACCCTCTGGTAAACTAACATAACTATGGAAAATCACCATTTTCAATGGGGCCATGTTCAATAGTTATGTTGGTTTACCAGAGGGTAACAAATCCATGGGAAAATATGTCTGGTTGGGAGAACTTAAGACCAGCATAAACTGAAAAAGCTTTATACCATGATTCTGCCAACGTGGAATTATAGACCAATGAACAAGCATGTTTTTGCCACGTTAATTTGTCATACAATGGTCATTATACAACTATCTCATTAACTACTCCTACTCACACGATATATTATGTATTACTATGTTATACTGTGGATGGAAGAAATCCTGCACCAGCTGATAGGTGGTAATCATCCCATTGTTTATAGGGTTTCAACCATCCTTTTGGTGGTTTATCGGATTTGGCAACCATCCACCGTATCATACAATCCTTTAGGAGGTAAACTTTGCGACTGGAGTTACTCATGGGTTAGATGGGTTTCGAAACAAACCGATTGATGTTATGAGCCAAAAGAGCACAGAGAATATAGGGTTTCGGTTCATAGATCTTTTTTTAAGCAAACAAAAAAAACAAAAAATAATGGTCGTTGCATTGGAAAAATAGAGCATGGCTGCCGGAGGTAAAACATGCAGGTTTCTGTCTGCAAGAAGCTGCAACGTACAAATGGGTATGGATCAAACATGGGAATACAACCCACAAGAGTCATAGGAGGCATCTGGATTTTGTCTAAAAATGGGGTGAAAATAAAAACAAAATGTCAATTCTCATAGGAAAAATGATGGGGATCCCATGAAATTGGTGTGATTTTCGAATCTACGTTTGCAGCTCAAGATTTTTGACAAGAAAGTTGAATCTTATCAGATCACCAATTTTTGGAGAGCGGAATTATGTCAAATCTCCAAGTTTGGAGGAGTGAAGAGAATATAGTAAACCCTCCCCAAAAAAGAATTTGTTGTTCCAGGGTTTGTTCGAAAAAAAGTTCAGAACTCACGGTTTCATCAAATCGCTATTCCGAACTGGGTATATATGTTGTCTTAAAGCCTTCCTATTTTGGCACAAACCCTTTGCAAAAATATATCATAACAAAAACATGGGGCAAACTATAGATAATCTATAGATGTATAAGTTTGTAGGACTTCAAAGATTTTTTCACTCACCGAATGTAACATAAAGCATTCTCCGTCTGCATCCAGACCTGCGAAGACGCCGCAGCCCAAACCTGGAACAACCAGGGAGCAATGGTTTGATTTAAGGACTTTTGTTCAAAATCCGATGGGGGGGGTCCTAAATTTCAGTGGTTTTAATGCTAGAGTAGTCATTTTTCTTCATGATTAAGGGGGGTACGGTACCCCTATTCATCACCACTTTGCCTGCTGCACGCACGCTTCCGCGCAGCGCTTGGCCAGGACCTTGAGGGCCGACATCGGTCTGCACCAAATCTGGGTTTACAATGGGGATATAAGCAGCGAAATGGCAATGTGTGATGTTTGATGCGATTGAACTGATTTTTTTCCCAGCAAATCAGCCGCAAAATTGGGATTCTATGCAAAAAAAATGGAGTATACATCCTGGGATTTTCTTGCTGTAAATGGACCATTGAAATGTGAACTCCATGACTTGGATGATGGCTGGTACACCCATTGGCCCATGACGAAACGGAAACCGGCTGCTGATCAACAAAAGGACGTAACTCACCATGGTCAAAATGGAGGGATCAAAGAAAACTCGGGGAATTTTCTCCCATAATCCCTAGTCTGGTTCCCAAAAGCCTCACTTTGCTGATCAAACATGATCAAACGATCAAAGCTACTCAGTAACTGGTAGCCAAATATGCCCAGTGACTGAGTGAACTTCCCCATTGATGTGTTGATCATTCATCCCCGGGAAGAGCCGCATGGAATCACCAAGAAAAATCCTGATGAAAATACTAACTTAGTTGATAGGTGTCCGTAGAATTGTCCCCAATTCACCAATCATGTTTCTATCATGGAACAATTTATAGGTTTTTTTTTAACCAATAACCCATCTGTTGATAGATGTTGTAACCTAGCTTTCCCGCGAATGTGTAACCTCCTTTTTTCGCAAGCCACGTTTCTTGCGTTTCCACCCTACTTAGCCCTTTTCAACCTGGGCATTGGCCAGGATCAGCTTCGCAATCTCCTGTTCCACCTGCGGAAACGGTGGAGCCCAAGGCTTCCATCAGGAGTGGGCTGCCAAAGAATAGGGAGATGTTGCGCTTGGGATAGGATAGTTATCAACTACCCTCTGGTAAGCTAACATAACTATGGAAAGATCCACCATTTTTAATGGGAAAATCCACTATAAATGGTCATTGTCAATAGCTATGTTAAATTACCAGAGGGTATTATTAATAGGGATATTTACGGGATATATCATAAACTATATTATAGGCTATAAAATATGGCTAGAATAATAGGAATAGGGAGAAGTAAAATTGGGATTCATTGAGATTCATAGGGAGAATACCATTCACAAGGCCTGGGTTAATTGATAGGAACATATTAGGGATACTGGTTGGTGGTTTCAACCCCTCTGAAAAAGATTATTCAGTTGGGACTATTATTCCCAATATATGGAAAAATAAAACATGTTCCAAACCAACATATTAGGGATATAATAGGGATATAGTAACCATGAAAGATTCTTGTTCTGCCCCAACTGCAGCGATGAGATCTAATCCAGCTCGACATCTTTTGGGGAAGTTAGGGACTTAGTCCAAGCCTCAGCTACGATGTCACAGTTGACTCCCATGGATGAACTTCCCCCCTTCATGCTCCCAAGACAACCAAGATACAAAAGGGGGGAAAACTCGGTAGATTCCTAGAGGTCAAAGAATCCATATCCCCCACCCTTTGTCGCTATGATTCACGGATAAGATTGGATCACCCGCCTGCAACAGCAAATCTGGGGGCGGCGATGGGGTCACCTAACGGCGTTTCTTGGGTCAACTGGAGTTTCAACTGGATTTGAAGGTCAATTTTTAAGCTTACTCCTATGTATCCTATGTGCGGGAAACGATTCCTAAGACAAAACCATCAAAAGAATTCCGAGTTGACACAGAACCTATGTGAGTGGGATCATTAGAACAGTTGCTGCTCATCAATTGCCTCGAGATGAGAAAAAAATACATGTTCATGTTTTTTTCCGTTCATTGGTACTCTGGTGTTGCTTGACAATTCCTGACTCTCAGAGACAGTCCAAGTTGCTGAGTGGGAAAAAAAACTCCACTGATCCATATGTACCTGGGGATGTCCCATATAGAACTGAGATATTTCATGTGGTTACTACATGTTATTTACCCACTTACGATTCCTGGGGCCCGCAGACCCAAGTTGGTTTAGAACTATAGCTAGGATTTATAGTAGATATATCGAACTAGTTGTTGTATCATGGGGGTTACAAACCAACACACACAATTGAAATGCCTTCTGGTAGTCAAAAGTGGCAACGGAAAATTCCGCCAATTGTAGATGATTCTATAGATGATTCTCCAATTGAACCATTAAAACCTCCACTTAGTTCGGGATTTTCGATTGCCACGTTTCATGACCGGAGGGTATCTATTTGGGCCCATATTTGGCCAACACGCGCTGTGGCTCCCGACAGTTCCAGTCGCCATGGCAATGAGGGACGCCCCACCAGAGTGATTGACTATGAATTGCCCATGTTAAGAGCTGGAACCACCCCCAAAAAAAACAAATCCGCAACACAACACATTTAAACTTGTAGGGCCCCGCCAGTTTTTGGGTGTAGGTTTTTTGGGGGTCTTGAAAATGATGTAGAGTTCTCATGGGAGACCAAAGGTTTGATTTCTGATCTGCAAAATAGGCCGCGTTGGGTTCAGTTGGGGTCAGAAACCCATGGAACACCTTGCAACTCACCACAGTCAGTAGGAGCAGAGTCCTGTTTTTCCACCGTCCAAAAGGCTGCAGGCACTTGAAGATCTTGGCCAAGCGGTGCTAAACAATCCCATGGCATTTGTAAATACCGTAATATAGCAACCCCAAAGTAGATAGAAAAGTGGGAAATCTGGAAATATACGACGGTAAACAGCATCTATACCATATTACCATCCCGGAAACACAATAATGGGCATCTTTTTCGGGGTTGCTAGATGTAAAACCACTTACGGTTCCTGGAGTGCACATTTCCTAGGCCCACTGCCAGGAAAATCCGCATTTTACGGTCAGCTGGGAGTGTCTGGAGGGGAGAATCCTCCACAGGGAGTGTCTGGTTGACACTTTCCCAGGTCTAAAACAATTCCAAGCGCTTCCAAACAAAAAAGAAAGGCGTTGGCATGGCGCTTTTTCCAGATCTGGTCGTAACGGTTAACCCGAAAGTCATGATGGTCTGGTCGGGGATCAGTTATTTCCCGCTTTCTCCAAGCGTTTGGATATCCCAGACATTGGGGCCCGGGGATCCCCCATTTTCAGAAAGCCCCAAATGAACATCTTGGAAAATCCTCCACTGTCACTTCGTCTTGGAAGCCCAGGGCTCATTTGTTCAGTGACCGAAGCCTCCTACCGTTGCATCACTGATGTCTCAAGAGGGATATCTTGAAAAATGTGTCCCAAAACCAGATCTACAATGCAGGTGATAGGGAAAATGAGATTCAACTCACAAAAAAAAACTCCTTTCACCATGTTTCCACCAGCATTGGATTTGGTGCTACGCATTTCGTGATGCAAACGTCATGTCAACCTTGGAGGTTGATTTTGGGGCCGTGAACAACGCTACCGCGGCGCAACGACCACGACATGGCTGGAGAGTTCAGATCCTATAAACTCCCTATTACCCTCTGGTAAATTAACATAGACCCTGGCAGATGGGGGTTGGAAGACTAGTGAAACCATGAAAAATTGGTGATTTTCAGGGTCTATGTTAATTAACTCCCTATTACATCACCATTTTTTAGCGGTTAAAAATCTCACCGTCCAATCAGCTGGTGCCGCCGCCATACTTCACACCGCGGGGTCGCAACCTGCAGGTCGAGCTTTGGGCTTCACATCACATTGCATATGTTACATACATATTATATGTTATTATACATACATATAATGTATAGTAAAGTATGATTTGAAATTTAATACATATCCACATAATTCCACATATAAGTCTAAACATACATCGAAATCATGATCTCAGCAAGGAAAAGTGGTGTTTCTACGGTTTCGACAACACTGAGGTGCTCTTGAATGGACCATCTCAACAGAAATGCCATCAAAAATGTGGACCATAGCCCCAACCTGGGGGTTCAACAGACACAACGGAAACTTCACCAAGGATTGGTTGGCTGGTTGGCTATGGGGAAGTAACAGCCACAAAGTGTCGGCTTCTCCGTGGCCTCTTTTTGTGGAATCCCGGAAAGTCAATGGATTGGGCAGGACATTTTTCCGGAAACCCTAATCTTTACGCACTAATGCTTTGGGGGTTCAACCGTAGATTTTTCTTTCAACCAGTTTCGAGAATTCGGCAACTTTGACACTTTGACACCCAGATGATCCACGAAGTTTACCCTCTGGTAAACGTTTGCAGTTTGCTATTGAAAATGGCCCAGTCGAAATAATGGATTTACCCAGCTAGAAAATGGTGGATCTTTCCATCGTTTTTTGGTTAACGTTTACCAGGCCGGGCCCAAGTCTTGCTGCACCCCGAAACTGGGGAAATCCCGCGGATGTCGATGATTTCCCAGCCAGATGTCGCGCCATTGGGATTTCCCAGCCATGTTTGCGATGGCTTGTTTCATGGCCCCTAACAGATAAATAATCCCAGTCATGGATTTCCCAGTCATGGATTTCCGCAAAAAAATAAGTCACATCCCTCTGGTCTTACTGCTGCTTAGTAGGGAATGGATGGGAATGGGGGTTGCTGGGAAAAAAATATTGAAAGTTAGCCAGTGGATCATTCCCTCATTCCCTACGTTCAGCACAAGTAAGTGGTACTAGGGATTATGGATTCATTTAACATCGCTATTGAAAATGACCATGGAAATAGTGGATTTTTGAATTGAAAATGGTGATTTTCCATAGTTTTTTGTATGTTTACCAGAGGGTATCTGAACATCATCGCGACTCACAGATCTCTCGCCTCACAGTCACATCTCCATAAACATCGATGTTGCAACACAACCTGCCGCGGCGTTTTTTACCCTCATGAAGTCCCACAGTGATTACCAGCCATCGCCTCCACCAACAACATCTGGCCTTTGATTGTATGATATTATATGATTTTATACAATATTATATCAGATTTTGTCATATTATGTATACAATTGTATGCAATTGTATGGATGGATGGATGGATGGATGCATGCATGCATGCATGCATGCATGCATGTATGTATGTATGTATGTATATATATATATATGTTTTTATCAGCAAGAGTGACTGCCCACTCGCCCATGTTGAGACAAAACCACGTCCAGCCCGTCCAGCCCGGCCTGAAGCTGGGTGGGTTCGCAGCCATCACCGCTGCCTCATTCACCGAGCGGACCTGAGTCGAAGCGACGGCACGGCAAGCCCTGTGAAATCGGTAGAAGTGTTTTCTTCAGCTTTTGTAATAAGTAGCTGCAGGTCTGTCTCAAAATTCATCATTGATCATAACAGTTAAGTGTAGTTAAGTGACCTAAGTGACCAATCATCAGTCATAACTCATCCCAGCAAAAAGCCAAGCTCTTTAAAGGTATGTCCAGGTGCCTTAGATCGATTCGACCAGACGATCTCACGAAGTTGGGAGGGAGCCCAAAATCACTAACTCGTGCAATTTCTCGATCATCAATTCCTAGTTGGTGACCTGGTGGAAAAGAATGGATATTGAACTCTGGCTTTCTCATATCCCAAAATGTTGGTATATTATATATGATCTTACCAATTGTTGGTAATTTGGTGAATATCTAATCATATCGGTATATCATATCTAATCCCAATGGATATTTGGTGAATATACCCTCTGGTAAACTAACATAGCTATGGAACATCACCATGTTTAATGGGAAAATCCACTATTAATGGCCATTTTCAATAGCAAACTGTTAGTTAACCAGAGGGTACCAATTAGATATCCCATGATGGCCACCTGAATCATCTCCCCAGCCAGTCGTCGGTGGTTTTTTTGAGACTCCCAGCTGTCAAGTTGTCTCCACCCTGGCCGATGCCAAGCATCCAATGGCAGGCTTTGGATGGGAAAAAAGACACTTCAGCTACCCTCTGGTTATGTCTAACAGTTTGCTATTAAAAATGGCCATAGAAATAGTAGATTTTCCCATTAAAAATGGTGGATCTTTCCATAGCTATGTTAGTTTACCAGAGGGTACTCGTACCCAACTGTTTGTTGAGATTCTTTGTTGAGAATATCAATGTATAGTAGATTCATATGGTTTTTCTTGAGAAAAGATCAGAAAAGTACCCTGGAGAAGCCTCAGCCAAAAAAATATATATGTCAAAACACCATCAAACACCATTTTTCAATGACCAGCCATCCTCCATCAGCACCAAAAAAAACAACTGAACATATCACTCATTGGATTGGGTTTTCTTGGAAAAACCTTCAGAAAAACCATGGGTTTTCACGGGGCGGCGCCTCCATGACGTCCAAGACGCAGGTGCCACAGAGCTGGTTGGCATTGCAGTTGAAGACGGAACGAAGATCCTGGTAGACCTGCCAAAAACGATGGAAAAAGATGCGAAAATATGGGGTGATATGATATTTCTTGGGGATTCTATGTGAGTTTTGAGAGGTGATGCTATGTACAGCTGAATCATGGTTTGTCGAACTAACCTGTTATAGGTTATATAATTATGTATATATATATATATATATTCGTATGTACCATCATTGTTATTTGTTAGGATACTAGTATAACAGTATAACCTTTTTGACACTGAATAGTATGGATTCTAATAAGTTGTTGCGGATTGGCACCAATTTTGGCACCATCTATCACTCTTTGCGGTTTTTCCCAGGGATAATTCCTTGGGGGATCCACGGGAAACTCAGCATCCTGAAAAGACAGGAGGACTTCAGGACCTCAGGACCTGGTCCCACGTTACCTTCATGGATCCATCGATATCATTCAATCATTGATCGTTGATCATGAGTTATTTTCAGTAACTGGTTTTTTTGGTAGACCACCAACTAAAAATATGCTGATTTTAAGGGACGGTTTATGATCTGGATCATAATCATCATCATTGTTATATAGCTAGGATACAATAATTATAGTTATTAAATTGAAAAATGATAATACCATAGTTATACTCACTATATACCAATAATTGTTATAACTAGTTAGTACTGGTTGGTGGTTGACCTACCCCTCTGAAAAATATGACTTCGTCAGTTGGGATAATCAAATTCCCAACTGAATGGAAAGTCATAATCCATTCATGTTCCAAAGCACCAACTAGTTATTCAGTAAATAAGTAATTGATCCCAGTAATTAACTTCATTCATCATTGATCTGGGTAAATTACAATATTTCACGAACCTGAATAGTTCGGCCACTCCTCTTCCGTTTCCCCGGCCCATGCCCCGCGAGCAGACATGAACCGGTCCGTAGTCCATAGGCCTTAGAGAATCCTCAGATCAGATCGGGTGAGACACACAAACCTTAGTAGTTATGTATGTTGAAGTCAAAAAACTAGACGACGGATAAAAACCAGGATATTCATTTTCAGGATCTGGTCATTCGGATTTCTCGTCGGCGTTGATTGTATCTTCTGCTGCGATCCGCTAACGTATTGTCTGCGGGATCTGGCAACTCAGAAAAAATAACTGGTGTACAAAATGGCAGGTCCGGGTGATTCCGGAATGTCGGAGCCTCACCTGTTTCAGTGGGCTGAAGAAACTTCATCAAAACGTCCAGAGTTTCCCTTTGTTTCAGCATGATGGGTCTGTATGCAATGCCCTGTTTCAAGTGTTTACTGCCCAGCACGCAAATCGATTTTACTTTGTGAGGAGTCATCGTGGGCATGATATCATGTTGGACCAGATATTGTAGATGTGCTAAAGAATCTCGAAAGCTGTTGACCATCCGTGTGAAGCAGTGAGCCCTCATGTCAAAGCCAGGGTTATCTTCCTCATTTTTGTATCTCGATTGTCCTTCTTCTCTGATGTTGAGCGGAATGCTCCGCCCAGTGGTAAGCAAAAAATTTACTGCAAGTTCAACCCAAGAAACTCCAGTTGGTGGTTTATTGGTGTCAGGTTCAAGTGGCCACTGTAGAGTTTGAGTCCATGCCATGAGCATCGCTGTGTACCCTGTTCCCCACCTACTTGCATGTGCTACATATTGGAGATCATCTGAGATTGTAAACTGTCGGACTTCTGCTGGATTCCAATCGTATAATAGCTGCTTAGGTCGGTCTGGGTCCACATAGTTGATTTCGTCCTTAATCAGTCGTGCTCGCATACACGCCAAGTCTGCTCGCATCTGAAGCTGCAAGAGAAGGTGTTCATCAAAGTAAAGCTGCTGTTTTCTCAATTCATCCATCTTATGTGTCAGTGGTCGCGCCAAGCGAGTTTGTGCCAGTTGTGCTGCATGGTCAGCTACTGCATTACCTAGCCTGTGCATGAAATCCGGATGTGCTGGCTCGAGCTCTTGGTGAGCTTTAATTTTTTGTACGCGCAAGCGTTGGTTTTCGCTCCAGTAGAGTGCATGCAATCTTTTTAGCAGGTCATAATTGGGTCTCTTGTGGAGAGTGCGGACATCACGATTATTCATTACCAACAAATGACAATCAACGACATATTGACTATCCGTGACAACTACTGCTGATTTTTTCAGTTCATGACTGAGGACCGCCGCTGTCAATTCCACTCTGTCAACTGTCTGTATACCCTGCACATGAGAGACCGCAACAGTTGTGAATGCATGGTCAAGCAGCCATGGTATGTCTGTAAGCTTGCTCGTGGGAAGAGCGTGCAAGGATACATGTGGGTATACAACTGCATAGGTTGCCATCCTAGTCTCAATTTCTTTAGGGTGTTTACAGGAACCATCAGTGTAGATAAAGTCCACAAAACCAAATGGTGGCTGAAAAATTTGAGGCGGCGGCATGGTCTGCAAAAGAATATGACAAAATTCAATCTCAGGATCTTTGTAGGCGAGAGGGAGCATGGTATGAATTTCATCATATGTTTCAAGAAATGCGCATGCTTTTTGGTGTGGCTCTCTGATGACCTGAGTAGCGGGACACTCCAATACTCTGTGCTTAGCTGTGTCAGTAGCGTCACAAAACTCGCACTGCAACGGTTGGTCTGGATCGAAATGCCTTTTTTGGTCATTGAGCATAAATCCAGCAGTCATGTCTATGGCAACCATCTGTTGCTGGGTCTGTGGCAGCTTGGCGATAGCTTTGCGCGATCGCTGTCTATCTGGTGTCGGAATGTTGGACATCCCCTTTCGGTTGGAGATGCTAAGTGACACATTTGCCATCCATGCATGGTCAACTGCATCCAGAATGGTGTCAAGGTTACTATGAAGCAAGTTAAGGGTTTGAGTGGCAGAAACATACAAATCCCCTTGCTTATTTATCCCCCATCCTAATTTGGAGATATAGGCGTGGAAAGCAGTTGCTGGCCCCAACACTTTGCTCGCCCTGATGTCGGTTTTCACTGCAAGGGCGAGAAATAGTTCACAATCTGAAGGATCTGCATGAAGCAAAAAGTGTCTGGCGGCTCTAATGGCCTGTGCAATAGTGTGATGTTCTGGGTCACAATTCATTTTGGACAAACATGTGCAAGCAATGTGGCTCTGGACATTGTGGTGATCACCTACAAACGCTCGTGCAATCGCAGACCTTAGTTGAGTGTAATATCTGTCTCCACATTGGTACATATGGGTACCAAAGAGTGCCTTTGTGAGTGCTGCAGCTGAGATGATATGGGATTTTTCTTCCAATGTATAGTCTGCGTGCTGTAATTTTTTGAGCCTCTTCAAGGCCTGCGCATGTCTCTCTTTCTGAGTTCCTCTGAATGGTTGCTGTCGATAATGCATGATGTAGCCCAACTCTCTGGCATGTCCTACCTGTTGGATGGTGGTGTCTGGCGGCAAAAGTGCATTAGCTGCTTGTTTTAGGGCGTCTTTATGTTGGCTATCAGTGCTCCATCCCCAAGTTTTCCCCCAATCTATGGTCAGCGCCATGGCGGCTGCAATTTTTTGGAGGAAGGCAATGGTTGGCATGTGCATGGTTGCATCAAAAGTTGCATAGGCCCAATTATCTGCGAAGGCATGGAGCCGCAAGTTAGGATGATTCAGCAAGCCTGTCCACAGCTGGTTGATGGCCAACATTGCTGTCACTGAAAGAGAATCCCCTTCTGGCACTCCCGTAGTGGCGAGTTCTACCGGGTGTAACTGGCCATGCACTTGCCAGTGTCTCTGCATGTTGTGCAGTGATTTGATCCACTGTTGCGCCAGTCTTGTTGGCACCCCCAATCTTATGAGAATGTGGCAAAGGGGTTCTTGGGGTAAGGTATTAAAACATTTGGTTAAATCCAGGGTGATGCCTCCCCAGTGTTGTTGGCAATGTCCATGCTGAGTTGCCTCCAAATGGAGTTGCATACGGTATACAAAATCAAGGGAGTTTCGACCTGGCACAAAGCCTGTTATGGAATCAGAAAGTTGGTACTTCCAGGCATCAAGAATTTTTCGTGCTAATACCCTACTCCAAAGGCGATAAATTATGGGCAAAATTGTGATTGGTCTGGTGTATTTCGGTGATGTAGCCCCCTGTTGCTTGGACACAGGCAAAACTCGAGCATCCATCATCCATGCTGGAAATCCTTTCGCATAGTGTTGGTCAAGCAAAAGCATGAGGTCTCGGATGCAGCAAGGTGGCAAATTCTTCAGTAAATAAGTAATTGATCCCAGTAATTAACTTCATTCATCATTGATCTGGGTAAATTACAATATTTCACGAACCTGAATAGTTCGGCCATTTGGGGATGATTCCTCTTATAAACCATGATTCCAGTGAGGGAGAACAGTGAGGTCGTTATACAGTAATGTACCCAGATCGATCATCAGATCACCATAATATTCCCATTGTTGTTGGTTTATAGCCTATTAACCACTATTAACCATCACTATTAACCACTATTAACCATCATCATTGATCATCAGTTAAGTAACCAATCAATGGGAATTTCAGGATCCTAAAATGGAGGTACTGTACCATATTTCAGGCCATATTTTGGGGGAATATTCCCTAAAAATAGGCCTAAAAAATAGGCCTAAAATATATGGTATATAGGTACCTCCAATAAATCGGTTCCTGGAATGTGGGGCCCCCCAGTTATAAGTTGGTTTATAAACCTCATTAACTATAGTTATAAGTACCATAAACCATAGTTATTGGAGTTATAAACCAACTTAGCCATTGTGGAATGGCCATTGAACCAATCATCTGTCATAACTCATCCCGGCATCACCTGGAAACCATTCGCCAACAAACTCTTCCGCAAGTTGGAGCCAGGAGCGATCGGGACGCGCTGAATGGGCCTGGGACGCGGGATAGAAAAATCATTTTGGACCCACATTCATATACCTGATATATCTATCCATCCTATACATACATACATATATATATATACATATCTCGTATATGGTTGTTTCCTCATAATTCTGGTACCCATGAAATATCTTCAACCAACCTCATCCCATGATTTCCTGGTTCAGAACCGAGCAGCTCTCCTTCCTCCAGAACTGTCAGGGTGAAGGGCTGCCCATCATTGGAGTCCTGCCAATTTTATGCCACCGAACCGGTGGTGTTGGGAATCGCTAAGTTATATGGTTTGTAGTAGCGACGTTAATGAAGATTAAGTAACAAAAAGTACTCAACTAAGTTTTTGGTTTTCATGATCCTTGTTCGAAATCGCATGTTGAAAGCCAGAAATAAACAATGCCCGATTTCACCAGAAATGGATGGTAGAAATCTCCAACATTTGAGGTTTGTTAGGGGTCTGTGGCATATATATCTATGGTGAAAATGGAGGGTTTCACATGGTTTCACCATCTGAAATTGGGGGATTTACAGTACTCCAGTGGCGATAAAATTCATGGGACAAAAATTTGATCCTTTTTTTTTCTGGTGATAAACTCAATGGATTGGTTGATGTTTTTTTGGGGGGAAAATGTTACTGGAAAATCCTACGTGTTTCGTTGGTGAAATCCCTCTGTTTCCTGATTCGATCCCCCTCCGTTTCGTTTCCGTTGGATAAAGCCAACGGTACATGGGAAATATATCTCCGGTGTTTCTGAATGGAACTCCGTTTATCAAAGAATCAACACAGAAATTGGAGAAACCAGAAAACTGTCTAAATCTGGTTTTTACCCACATAACCTGAGATATAACTAATATATCTGAGAAACACAGAAACCAGATATAACACAGAAAACCGTTTCTAAATCACCAGAAAAAAAACGATCAAAGATTTCCCCATGGATTATTGGGGCTTAAACCAGTAAAAAAATCCCAAAAAAAAACAATCCATTGAGTTTATCACCAGGAAAAAAAAAGGATCAAATTTGTCCCATGAATTTTATCGCCACTGGAGTACTGTAAATCTCCCAATTTCAGATGGTGAAACTCTATGTTTGGGTCTGACATAGTCTGACTCGTAGTTTCTTCAACGTCACCATGGGCCGAAAAAAAATGGGGCCACCACTCCAAATCAACTCCGCAAAAAAGGCAGTCATGGTATAGCACCATTTTTGAATAGATTTATATCCATTTTATATCTCATATCTGTGGGATATGAGCCATATCTATAGATAGATATATATATATATATATGAACCATATCCCATATTTATATATATATATATATGGAATAAGACCAGATAAAACCTCCTTTTTTGCAGGCCACTCATCACGCACCAGGCTGTGTCCTGTCTGAATTTCAGGCCGATCGTCTTGGCCAACTCATCGACCTGTGATTTCTTGGTTACACCGACAGGATGAGTTGTGAATTCAAACAATAGTACATTGTGTATATATATATATATACATATTCATATGATATGATATGATTATATAGTTTCACCAGATAGTCATAGAGATGGCGGATATGTCACAACTTCTGGCGCCTCCCCTCGCCACATGGTCAATGTGCAGCCAGGCTCGATTTCCGCCAAGTTCACCACACACCTGGCAATGGACTTCAGGCAGCAACTGGCAGCATTTTATGGGGTGCCAATGGGGATATAAGAGGATTATGATAGGATGTATTGGGGTTTATGTATATATATATACATGATAGGATGATATAGGATGTATCCTATGATAATCATTATATACATTGTATCCAATGATAATAATATGTATGGGATGTAGTGGGGAATTAATACGTTTTATGGCAGTATTCCCCATATCATGATATAATGTATATATAATACTATACATATATATATATACAATAATACATGCCCCAATGTATATAGGATACAATGATACAATGCGAAAATATCATCAAATGATATGGGTGTGTCCCAAAATATTAGATTTGCCACCCATTGATGGCAAGTTAGACGCGGAAAATGATGATAAAACCTGTGTCAGAAAAAAAACAAATCTTGTTGTCATGAAATTTCGTTGGGTACTCCAGAAAAACATGGAGGTGTCTTTCTTGTTCGCATCATGTCAGATACTCAATACGTTCCAATACAGGAAGAGGCCGCAAAAAGGATAGGTTTCTGTTGGTTGATAAGTAGGCAAACGGATTGATTTCTGGTGGATACATCTATAGCTAGATGGGCTTAAAAACCAACAAACATAACCGGGGGGCCTTCTTGTACCTTTCACAAAAGTGGCATGTGTGCAGACTGCGATGCTGGTAGACGGTCCTGTTGATTTCAACCCCCAGAATTTATTGGTTTTGGTCTCCATTGTTTTCCAGAAACATGATTTCATTAATGTCAACTTAGGGGGGTACTCCCCAAATAGTCATAATCTGATACTTAAATTACTTAAATGGTATCCCCCCAATTAAACAACCGTAAACGGGGTTTATTAATCCAGGGTTGACATGAATTCCCACAAACCATATGTTGTATTGATATTTTCCAGAAATTCATGAATCTGGTTGGTGGTTTTAACCATCTTGAAAAATATGAAAGTCAATGGGAAGGATTATCCCATATATTATGGAAAATAAAATTCATGTTTGAAACCACCAACCAGGAATTTTCAATAAATGCATATATGTTGCATGATGTTCCCATGATTTCCACAGATATGGCTGCCATCTGCTCCTGTGGCCAGATTTTATTTTTTTTCCAAGCCACTTAGTTTGGTGATCTCTGAATTGGTTCGAACCATCTCTTAGTTTCAACTTGGGTGTTATCAAAATTGTCAGTTTTTCCATGGGAAAGTCATGGGATTAGTGGTGAGATCCCGGTGCTGAGAGCCTGTTGCCCTAAAAAATAATATGATCTCGGTGCTTATCAGCCATAGATCCAGATGCTCATCACCTCCAGACAGGGACATGGACATGTTGGGACCCCGGACGGGCTCTCTGGCTCGAAGATGGAGTTGTCAAAGACCTGGGGGTTGGACGTTCGTGACGTTCCGATCGACAGCAGAGATGTTCAGTGTTTTTGTTGGGAGATGTTTGAAGCAATACGAAATATATGACATATCTAATTGAACAAGATATAGAAATGTTCATTTGATAATCATGACATATCAATACTAGAACAAGATATAGAAATGTTCATTTGATTGACAAATCGAGTATCTTGAGATTCATACATGGAAATATTCTAGATATCTATTGTATACTTGATTAAACCATGGCTATGAATCTAGCCATCGTTTGAAGTCTAGAAAAACACCCGCCTAGGATCACCTAGGATGATGGCCTCCAAATATTTCCCCAGCGTAAACAGGAAAAATGTTCACAAGACACTGTCGTCGCTGTTCCATGAATTTAGTACTTCACAAGATGGAAATTCTTCCATGATGTTTTCCTTTTTCCATTGAAACATATCAGTGTCTTGTGAAATGTTCCTGATATGTTCCAACCATTTTCCACTGATCTGGAAAATCAGGTATGTGACCTGAATGAAAATTACCATTGGATAAAAATGTCCCTGGGAAATCAGATGTGCGGTCAAAACATGGTATACCCTCTGGTAAACGTTTACATAACTATGGAAAAGCACCATGTTTTATGGGTAAATCAACTGTCAATGGGCCACATTCAATAGCAAACTGTTAGTCATTACCAGAGGCTAAATCCCGTTAAATTATCAGTAAATCCGATTAAATCACCAAAAATTACCAGTAAATCCCATTTAATCACCATAAATCACTATAAAGTCCCATTAAAATCCCATTTAATCACCATAAATCACTATAAAGTCCCATTAAAATCCCATTTAATCACCATAAATCACTATAAAGTCCCATTAAAATCCCATTTAATCACCATAAATCACTATAAAGTCCCATTAAATTACCAGTAAATCCCATTAGATGCCATTAAATGACCAGTAAATCCCATTTACCAAAGGCTATATCTAGTTTCTAGTCGTTCCATGTGGGGACTGGGTCGACTGGGTCGCCACGCCCAGCCGCGCTGATCGGCCAGGTGCAAATAGGTGAGGTCTTCCTGCCAGAAATTCAGCAGGATCTGGGGATTTTCATGGGACTTTATAGTGATTTATGGTGATTAAATGGGATTTACTGATAATTTAATGGGATTTAGCATCTGAAATATTGGGTTTTCACCATCCAAAAATGGAGGTTTTCACCTTCCCAAAGACGAGCTTTTGATGGTAAAAAACTGATTTTGACCATCCAAAAATGGAGTTTTCACCATCCAACAATGGAGTTGTTCGGGTCCCCCAAAAGATGGCTTGGTTTAGCAACATGGTCGTCAACGGGTGAAACATCAGTTGAATTTATTGTTTATAAATGTTTATAGTCTATAGTATACAAAGGCCCCAAAAAGATAGAACAAAACCGAGCAACTGACACAACAGTCGGATTGTGGCCCTGGGCGCATGTCGGCTGCAAGGAGAAGCCCTGGTTTCACACCATTGCTGGTACTTATCAATGTTCATCCCATCAAAAACAAGAAATACTGGATCCCGGCCCGTCCAATTGCAGGATTGCAGTGCTTCCAAAGGCTACCTTTATGGGTTCCAAGCCACATGGGTTCACTGGGCTCATTCTCTCCTGACATCTACATGTAGCTGAAGTGATGTTGCACAGCTGAGCTGTCACCACCGCCCTCTGGATCTCCCCAGGTGACGACAGTTCCGTTTCCTGAGATTGCAGCGAAGGCAAATGCTGCATGACAGATCTGCGTCACGTCCCTGAGCTGATTCTGAACTGTGGTGGTGTCACCACCAAAGGAAGGCTTGCCCCAGGTCACCACCGTTCCATCCGCCAAGATAGCAGCAAAGGCATATTGCGTGCTGCAAATCTGCTTGACGTTCCTGAGCTGGTCACGGACTTCTGTGCTGTCACCACCGAAGTCAGACCTACCCCACGTCACAACAGTTTCATCAGCCAAAATTGCGGCAAAAGCATAGAGTGTGGCATGAATATGCTGAACGTTTTTGAGCTCATATTGGACCACTGTGCTGTTTCCACCAACTCGAGAGTCGCCCCATGTCACCACAGATCCATCTGCCAGGATAGCAGCGAAAGCCATGGCTGACCCACAAATGTGCTGGACATTCTTGAGCTGGTCTTGGACAGCAGTGCTGTCACCACCGCCAGTTGGATTGCCCCACGTCACGACAGATCCATCTGCCACGATTGCAGCAAACGCAGTGTGAGTGGCACAAATCTGCTGAACACATTTGAGCTGGTTTTGCACAGCAGTGCTGTTGCCACCGCAGTCTGGATGGCCCCATGTCACGACGGTTTCATCTGCCAAAATTGCGGCAAAAGCACATCTTGCGGCACAAATCGTCTGAACATTCTTCAGCTCATTTTGAACTGCGGTGCTGTCGCCACCACACTCGGGGTCGCCCCACGTCACCACTGTTCCATCTGCCAAAATTGCAGCGAAAGCATTGTAACTGCCATGAATCTGCTGAACATTGTTGAGCCGATCTTTGACTGCAGTGCTGTCACCACCGCAGTCAGGCTTGCCCCAAGTCACCACTGCCCCAGCTGCCACAATTGCGGCAAAAGCACATGAAGCGGAAGCAATGTGCTGAACGCCCCTGAGCTGATTTTGAACTTGAGTGCAGTCGCCACCCCACTGTGGATCTCCCCATGTCACCACGGTTCCATCCGCCAAAATTCCAGCGAAAGCCATGTCTGTGGCATGAATTCGCTGAACGCCCCTCAGCCGATCCCGAATGCGTGTGCTGTCAGCACTAGACATGCCCCATGTAACGACGGTTTCACCTGGCAAAATTGCGGCAAAAGCAGCCCGTGCACCGCAAATCTGCTGAACGTTCCTCAGCTGATTTTGGACTTTCGTGCTATCACCCCCAAAGTCAGACTTGGGCCATGTCACCACCGTTCCATCTCCCAAAATAGCAGCAAAAGCACTTGTCGCGTCACAAATCTCTTTCACATTCCTAAGCTGATTTTGGACTGCACTGCTGTCACCACCACCAATTGGATTGCCCCACGTCACGACAGATCCATCTGACACAATCGCAGCAAAAGCACCGAACGTGGAATGAACCTGCTGAACGCCTTTGAGATTATTTTGGACAGCTGCGGTGTCACCACCAGCTTCTGGTTTGCCCCACGTAACGACAGTTCCATCAGCCAGGATCGCAGCGAAAGCCGCCTCTGACCCACAAATGTGCTGAACATTCTTGAGCTGATCCTGGATTGCAGTGCTGTCACCACCACCCTTAGGCGCGCCCCACGTGACCACTGTGCTATTTGTCAAGATGGCAGCAAAAGCAAAGTGTGTGGCACAAACCTGTTGAACGTTTGTCAGCTGATCGCGGACAGAGGTACTGTCACCGCCATAATCTGGATCTCCCCATGTCACCACTGATCCATCGGCCAAAATGGCAGCAAAAGCAAGCCCTGTGGAATATATTTTTTGAACGTTCCTGAGCTGAGCTTGGACCGCTGTACTGTCGCCACCAAAGCTAGGATGGCCCCATGTCACCACGGTTCCATCTGCCAAAATGGCAGCAAAAGCAAAGTCAGTGGCACCAATCTGCTGAACGTTCCGGAGCTGACCTTGGACTGTAGAGCTGTCCCCACCAGAGTCACGCCTGCCCCACGTCACTACGGTTTTATCTGCGAGAATCGCAGCAAAAGCAAAGGCTGTGGCATAAACCTGCTGAACTTTCTGAAACTTGTCTCGGACTGCACTGCTGTCTCCACCATTTTGTGGGTCACCCCAGGTGACAATCCTGTCGGCTTCAACACACCACAGAGCAAAGGCCCTCTTTGTGGCGGCTAACTTTGGCTGCTGTGCGATGGCAGCGATGGTGTCTCCATCTTGCAGCCCGGAAAGTTGGAGAGGTTCTGCTAGATCCAGAAGGCACCCATCAGGAGCAGCTAGCCTTAGGAAACTTTGCCCCAAAGACTGTTGCGCAGCTATTTTCAGGTCACCAATGGTGCCATGCCGCAGCACCGATACAGAGTCACACCGCCCACTTGGCAAAGCCACATGTAGATTCAAATTGCTGCCAGCTACCTCACTGCTTTGCGGCAGACACTCCATGGCTGCAGAGTTCACGAAGTTTGAGCTGAAGAGATTCCACGGGCCTCCTCCAGCAGTGGTTCTCATCCTCCAGCAATGGTTCTCATCTGGCAATGGCCACCCTATCGGTTAAGTCATTGGGGCTGGTTTCGTTATGTTTTGGCTTTGGATCTAGAAAAACATGCAATCCCATCTGCTTATGACATTCACAGTTCGCCATGGAAGTTTTCCACCCATGCTATTAAGAACGGTGTTTACCATCTATTTCGATTAGGGCCATGGTTTTTCTTCCATTTCGCTCTTCCTGTGAATGTCATCACCAGAGGCTACTTAAATCATCCTGTTGATCCACTGATCTGAACATAACTTCTTGTAGTTCAGCATCTTGATATATGGTGATACATGATGATTTATAGTGCAACACCAATTAACCAACCAAAACTTTCCAGTGATGGCTGGCTGTTGCAGATTTATTTATTTTTATCAAAATGATAGTAATGATTATTTTTGGGGAGATTTTCCAGCAATGTTTGACCAATTTTCCCAAATTCCACATCTTCTCTGGGGGTGTTATAGTATAGTCAGGCGCGCCCTCCATTTTTCTGTGCGTTGGGAAGACACAAACGAAATAGCAATAGGAATAGAATGCGATTGATTGAAATCCCAATGAAATCGAGAATGCTATTGAAATGAATCCCATTGAAATCGAAATCCGGCATACCAGCATGATATAACATACATTAGCGTACCATTTCCCTATTGAAATCCCATTGAAACCCAAATGAAGTCCCTTTTCATACCACCATGGTTTTTCATCTTGGCCCAAATTTCTGACTCGGCGCGCTCACCCTGATGTCCAATCAATGGTATAGAAACTTCAAACTTTCACATGAGGTGGTTGAATTCATATTTGTATATATGGGGTTCCATAAATGAGCGTACCTCCAAATTACGATCTATAAATGGATGAGAACTGGGAATACCCGCATGACTTAGGAAACCACCATATCTATTCATAGCCAATTTCCATTTCGAACGGCTCGGTGTCTTGTTCGAGCTGACCACGAAAAATCCTGGAACATATTACTAAAAGATTCCTCAGAGAAAAATGCAAAGACGTCTTCAAAGACATCTTTGGCACCAAGATCTATCTCTTAACCCAATCTAAGTGCATAACCCATCAAGAAAAGTGTAGATCTCCCACATTCATAGAAAAAAGATGAAGCCCACGAACCCGAATGCTCACACGTATGTTAATGGTACAGATGTCAAAACATATGGTTATGCAATCACGCACAATACCTTTCCGCAATAGTTTATTTGAACAGTCTTGTGCATGTTTCCTTGTTACCAGTCTGCAGTGTGGAGTGGAAAGTGTAGAGTATGGAGTGTAAAGTGTGGAGTAAGGAATGTGGAGTGTAAAGTGTGGAGTGGGGAGTGTAGAGTGTGTAAAGTGTAGAATGCGGACTGTAAAGTGTAGAGTGTGGAGTATGGAGTGTAAAGTGTAGAGTGTGGAGTGTAGAGTGTGGAGTGTAGAGTGTAGAGTGTCGAGTGTGGAGTGAGGAGTGTAAAGTGCAAAGTGTGGCGTGTGAAGTGTAAAGTGAGGAGTGTAAAGTGTGGAGTGAGGAGTGTGGAGTGTAAAGTGAGGAGTGTAAAGTGTGGAGTGAGGAGTGTGGAGTTTGTAAATTGTAGAGTGTGAAGTGTAGAGTGTAAAGTGTAGAGTGTAAAGTGTAGAGTGTGGAGTGTAGAGTGTAAAGTGGAAAGCGTGGAGTGGAAAGTGTAGAGTGTGGAGTGTAGAGTGTATGTGTAGAGTGTAAAGTGTAGAGTGTGGAGTGTAAAGTGTAGAGTGTAAAGTGTGGAGTGTGGAGTGTAAAGTGTAGCGTGTGGAGTGTGGAGTGGAAAGTGTAGAGTGTGGTGTGTAGAGTGTGGAGTGTGGAGTGTAAAGTGTGGAGTGTGGAGTGTAAAGTGTAGAGTGTGGAGTGTAAAGTGTGGAGTGTAAAGTGTGGAGTGAGGAGTGTAAAGTGGAAAGCGTGGAGTGTAAAGTGTAAAGTGTGGAGTGTAGAGTGCATGTGTAGAGTGTAAAGTGTAGAGTGTAGAGTGTAAAGTGTAGAGTGTAAAGTGTGGAGTGTGGAGTGTAAAGTGTGGAGTGTAAAGTGTGGAGTGAGTTGTATAAAGTGTGGAGTGTGGAGTGTGGAGTGGAAAGTGTGGAGTGTGAAGTGTGGAGTGTAAAGTAAGGAGTGTGGAGCGTAAAGTGTGGAGTGAGGAGTGTAAAGTGTGGAGTGTGGAGTGTAAAGTGTGGAGTGTGGAGTGGAAAGTGTGCAGTGTAAAGTGTGGAGTGAGGAGTGTAAAGTGTGGAGTGTAGAGTGTGTAGAGTGTGGAGTGTGGAGTGGAAAGTGTGGAGTGTAAAGTAAGGAGTGTGGAGTGTAAAGTGTGGAGTAGACTGCATAGTGTAGAGTGTAAAGTGTAGAGTGTAAAGTGTAGAGTGTGGAGTGAGGAGTGTAAAGTGTAAAGTGAGGAGTGTGGAGTGTAACGTGAGGAGTGTAAAGTGAGGAGTGTGGAGTTTGCAAATTGTGGAGTGTAAAGTGTGGAGTGAGGAGTGTGGAGTTTGTAAATTGTAGAGTGCGAAGTGTAGAGTGTAAAGTGTAGAGTGTAAAGTGTAGCATTTCGTGCAGACTTCCTCCAATTTTGACACTTTCCACACGTTATCAAACAGGTTGGAATGTCACAAAGTGCCACGCCTGCCCCGCAAAACGACATGACAAGCTGCTTGGAATCCTTCGAAAAGGAGAGGTTTTGCGGCTTCCTACATAGACACAGCGAAGCCACTGGAAAACCAGAGACTCGAGACAAGACACGTAGGAACAGCAAAACCAGCATTTCGCGCGAGACTTCCGGCGATTTTCACAGTTGGCAACATAACAAAAGGACAGGTTTTGCAGCTTCCCCCATAGACACGGCGAAGCCACGGGCAAACCAGAGACGCGAGACGAGACACGTGGGAGCACCAAAACGAGCATTTCGTACCAGACTTCCTCCAATTTTGACACTTTGCAGCTTCAAAATCGACGTTTTCCTACGAGTTTTCCTTCGAACCTGAAAATTTGCAACCTTAAAATCGATGTTTCGTGCGAGGCTTCCGTCAATTTTCAGCACATGTCACAAAATGCCACGCCTGCCACGGAATTTGCACCTTGTCGCCACTTGACGCAGCCCTGCCAATGCGATTTACAAAAAACACGCAACACGACACGTCTAAAGTGCTGCGCCTGCCACGAAAAATGACGATGGACACGTCCAAAATGCTGCGCCTGCCACGAAACTGCAACACATCTTCTGAAAACGTCACAAAAGTATTGCGCCTGCCACGCAAAACGACTTTCGACACGTTCCAGAACACGTCTGAATGTCACGAAGTGCCACGCCTGCCACGCGAAACGAAGCAACGACACGTCTGCAACCCCCAAAAAGGACCACCTCTGCAGAACTTCCCATAGGCACGGCCATACGGGGATCGCGCGGACGGTTGCGGACGGTTGCAGACGGTTGCGATCGTGAACGCAAGGTCGAGCGAACACACCCTCAACCCCCAGACCCCCAGAGTGAAACGGGAACCCTTGCTACGCATTCGGGAAAACACAGGGTTATACAAAGGTGGTCGGAAAATTGATGCATTTTTTCGGCCTACCCATGGGTGACAATCCCAGCGGCTTTCGCAGCAGCCAAGGGCCTCGACCTCTACGATTTCATCCACCTGCGGAGGTCGAGCAATGCCATTTTTGGACGATGTATCCACATGATTGTCCCCATGATATAGAGGTTTCCCAAAATTGGGGGTAGCTCCAGTTCTCATCCATTTCTTGGGATTTTCCATATCATCAAAATTTATAAACCAGCCATTGGGGTACCCCCATCACTATGGAAACCTCCAGCCATAGCCACCGAAACCGTCGCGCGTCGCGGTGCCTCAAAGACAGAGCCTCTAATCAGGTCCTCCCCCGTCCGTGGGCCATCGATGTCCGGTTCATCTCGGATCCTTGGTGCTGAACAATTGGGGAAGGTGGGGCTTCACCAAGTTTCACCAAGAATCATGAGAGAATCAAAGGTTTTCCCATCATTTTCCCATCATTTTCCCATCATTTTCCGGTTTCAACCAAGATTTTTTTCATGCCATGGGAAAATGATGGGAAAAAACTCATGATGCAATGGGAAAATGATGGGATGTCATGGGATCTCATGATGGGGAAGCGAATCAAATTTGCTCCCTTCCCCCTAATATTAAACAACCCCTAAACGAAACCATGTTTTTTTTGGGGGGAAATTCCACATTCCATTGGGACCATTTATGGGGTGTTTAATATTAGGGTGATGGGATTAGAAATGCCATGGGAAAATGATGGGATTCTTTTCATAATCTAGATCTCATGGGACAGACTGGGATAAGAATAGGAAGCTAATCATGGGATAATCATGGGATGATGATGGGGAAATCATGGGGGATAATGATGGGGATATACTGATTATTGGGATAATTACTGGGATGATTAACGGGAATAGTTCGCCAAAACTGATGTACTTGTGGGGGACATTGGACCAACAATCACGGTGGATATTGGCAATTGCACCCGTACTAATTTGGGAATAATCATGGGGTTTGATCATGGGATATGTTTTACAAATCTGATACTTGGTGGTTCATCCCACTTAGTAAGTGAGTTATAACCCCAATTATAAGTGGATTAACCCTACTTATCCCATTTATAACTGGGGTTATAACCCACTTACAAAGTGGGATGAGCCACCAAGTATGAAAGTTGGTCTTGGTCAATTTTATGGCAATTGTTTACTGTAAATGCCATTTTATGGGGAATATACTGGTGGTCTTTTTCCAACCATATAATACAATGAATAATGCATGGTTTTGTACAAAAAAAATGGATACAGATCTGAATACCAAATCATGTGGTTTAACAAAATAAACCATTCCCAATTCATTTTTGTAGGGGTTGAAACCATTCCCAAATGGGTGGTTTATTGTTTTAACCACATTATTGGTATCATTATTATTACTATTCCATTATTCCATAATCATATCCTCATTATTATACAATTTTTTACCAGTATTACCATGGATGGTTTATGGCATTGCTTTTAACCACATTACTGCACTCATCATATTCTTCATATCATTGCTATTATTATTATCGCTATTGTTATTACTATTATCATATATATATTAATATGTATTATATATAATATGTAGTGATACTAATCCCATAGATGGATACTAAATGGCGAAGATGATCACTATGATCATGAGGATACTCCATTTTATGACGCTTCGAATGATTCGAATGGGCAAAATCGCCCCTTCTTCGCAGCAAGGCACCCGATGCCGTAGGGATTCTCAGTGGTGACCTTATAGAAATAGCCTGGCGGCGTTGGCTCCAGTGTTAGGGAAAATCGATGGAAAATGACCCATCTATAGATGATTTACCAGTTCCATGGATGATTTACCTCTATTTACCTCTTAAAAATGGTGATGTTCACGTTTTTTTAACCCATTTTTTTCATGGTGATGTTCCAGTTCGCGACGTTCAATCGTCGCGAGAGTCGGTGGTTCCGGGTCCAGCCGGCTGGTCCCCGGCCACCATGGAGGATCATCTCACTGTAACGAGTTTTTCTACCTATGGCTTTAACTCGGTGATGTACTCTGTGTGTTATAAATATATATATATATATAATTACATATATAGCTATATATATATACACTATATCTATAGATATAGTATTTATATTTTGTATTATATACATATATATATACTAGACTATATATAATATAGATATATGAATATTACAGGATAACTCACTTGGGAGACTTACTAAGCAGGCTTCGTAACCAACGAGGACGATCCTCCGCGCCTGAGCCCGGTTGTCGTCCGGCAGTGGCCCACACTCGTTCAAGGACCTAAGTGGTCTCGAATTTTGTGATGTGGGGATGTATCAAATCCAGAAAAACCATATTTGGGATTGATGAAACTTGTGAACATCCATTCTTGATGTGGGGATGGGTCAATACGCTGATACCCTTCTGTTCACTGACATGAAAGCAGCTGGGATTTGTGGCTATTCTTCTGTTGGCATTTGTTTCACAAAAATCACATTTTTTTACCCTCTGGTAATTTAACATAGCTATTGAAAATCACCATTTTTAATGGGAAAATCCACTATTAATGGTCATTTTCAATAGCTACGTTAAATTACCAGAGGGTACCCCAACATCATTTTGGGGTTACGGTAAATTTGTCCCTTGAACCAATTCTTCGAGCTATGGCGATATGATTCGAACGGATGGCTTCCTGCAGTAATTGACTGACGTCAGAGGTATCGCATCAAAGTTGGAAGAAGCCCCTGACTTTTCCAAAGAACGTATCCACATCAAAAATATCTGAAAAAAAAGCATCTAAATTCCACACTTCAAAACATATTTAGGTGGAAATTCCAGGCAGAACTGCAGCCCTTTTCCAACGTGGCGTTGCGGTACCTGCGTCTGCTTTCCTCCACCTCAAACCCCGAGAGTCGTGGAGCATGACAGATGCGGAGGTCAAATATGGGCGTGTCCTCAAAATGGTTGGACCATCGGATATCAATGGATAACAAACCCATCTGAGATGGGATTTAGTCCAAAATCTCAATTTATTTAAGCAGAACTAGAAGGGGACTGTCTCTGAACAAAAATCCAATCAGAAATCTCATACGGTTAGATCTAAATGAGCTTGCCAAATGGGAAATTAAAGCTTCTGATGTTTGGAATGCTGATTTGGGGACACACCAACTCTGGAACATGGTGCTGCCGTCGAAATTGATTGAAATTTGAAGGTGAGCCAAAGTTTTGCCTCACTGAGGATGTGAAAAAAGCTCGCTGTCCCACATGCAAGCGATGAAATCTATGAAGCGGTGCCGCTTCATAGTTTCAACCCAGAAATCAGTCGGCTGAGAGATGGAGCTGATGGAGCTCAGTCGCCACCGTTCCTCACACCTCCGTTGTAGATTTCAAAGATGCTCTCACCTCAGTCACAGATCAGGCGGCAAGTGATTTGGCTATGAATCAATACCTATTAATACCATTTTTAGAGGGATGAACATCCATAAATCCCAGCTATTTTGATGTGAACTACAGGGGTACAAGGTTTTGACCCACTGCCATTTGGAAATACAAAGACAACTTGGGTTTAGAAGATTCTTCGTGCAAGAATCTTTGGGCTTTGGGCAAGCTTTTGACATCAGATCTGCATTTCGTAGCAGTGGAAATCCCATAGGATTTCCCTTGAAAATCCCATGGCAAGTGGTGGATTTTCCACACCTCCAATGGCTCGCAAATAGGGCCAACATTTGATGGTTTTTCTCAGCTTTTCCCCATTGAATGGCCCATAGTTTGGCACTTAAATCCCCTCCAAAAACATAATAAACTAACATGGCCATAGATTGCTGGAAACCCCGCCATTTCCAGACACGTTTGACACTTAAATCCCCTCCAAAAATATGGGATGGGATGGCTACTGGGAAACCCTAATTGTAGCAATAGATTTCCCATGAAAACCCCCCAACTTCTGGAGGTTTTGTTCGCTAAATCATCGAACTATTCATGGAGGATCTTCCAGCCTTTTTCATTGAGCCTAAGCCACCGGAGGTTCAGCTGAATTGACCAAATTTCAGCTGAACAGATTCCATGTAATATATGTCATGTGGTTAAAACAATCATAAACCACACCATTGTGGGAATGGTTACCACCCATCAATGGCTGGTGGATTTTTGGGGATGGTAAGAAACCATGGCGACCTTGTTTTAACCACCATGGATTTCTTCACCAATTCGATGGAAATCCACCATCGATCCAATGATTTTACCCGAAATCCCAACGGATTGCCCACAAGCTGCTCCCCACCGAGCAACTCTCCGGCAGGCACGGCGAGTCGTAGATCTTCGCCACGCGCTGCTCGCCGCGGCCCTTGCGCAACATGACGCGCGTGGTGCTGAAGTGCGCCAAAATGTGGCCTTGAGATTCTACCATCTGTGGATTTTCTGGGAGGAGATCACCCAAAGTTTTGGAAAAATGTGGATTTAATACTGCAACTGGAGAACAAAAACCAGAAAATTTGGAAGTCTGAAAAAAAAGGGGAAGCACCAGAGTTACGGAGATTGATCATGTTAGCAAAAATTGGAGGGGAAGAACCAGTCAACCAGTCGAAACATCGGCCCGAGTCAACTATTGAAAGTGGAGATTTCATCTATAAACAGAAGTAAGGGGATTTAGCGAAGCGAAAGGGTGAATTTAGGAAGAGGAATGGTGCCTTTTCCCGAGAAAACAAGGATTTCATAAATAAGAGTTTGCAATTCAAGCTTGGACTTTTTGATGTGTAACTTGAGAAAAAATAGACATTTGACCCAAAAAATGAAAGGTGATTCAGCTAATAAAAATAGGGATTCAACCCACAAAAATAGAGATTCAACCCACACCAATAGGGATTCGATCAGAAAAAATGGGGATTCAACTAGAGAAAATAGGGATGAACTCAACAGCCATCCATCGTGATGAAGAATGGATCAGAACTGCCTAAAGCTGCACCACAAATTGAAGCGTCTCAATTTTTGAGCGCAATAATCGGCCAAGACCATTTCAGGAAGAAAAATCCGTGATTTTCCATTGCCATATTGCCCAGGTCTTGCCGGAGGGGTACACACCAAAAATAACGGGATTCAAGTACCCGTGTGGTAAGCCAACAATGGAAAATCACCCATTTACTTCCATGATTTTTCCAGCTACAAACCTGCACTTAGTTCCGGAATTTCCCTGCGACTCGCCAAATGTTTGATGACACTGGAGGGTAAGATTCCATTGCAGTGATATCCCGTCATTTTTCATGGTTTCTCATTCATCTACCAAAAAAATATCCTGAAAAATCTCATAAATTCGGAATACTATCCCATTCATATTTTCCACTCATATTTTCCACTCAACTCATCCCATTCGCTCATCCCAGGCGAATTTCGCATGGTGTTTGGCATGGCTCATCCCATGGATGATCCGCGCCTCCCACTGGCTTGGGGTAACTCGGCATAAAGGCACAGCCGCCCCCAGGGTCAGCCATGACTTGATTGGACAAGACGACAGCGACGTTGAACTCTTCGCTCACCTGCCATGGGTGGCTTACTCCGAAGATATCAATGGGTGATCTTTGGGAGGCCTACCTCAGATAATCTTATGAACGCTGACTAAAAATACTAATACATCTATATACATATGTATAATATATATATATATATACATAATTACATATATATATGTATATATATTATATATATTGGTTGTAATTGGTAAAGCTCCCACTGCAGAAACTGAAAGGGTAAATGTCCAATGCCCCAAGAAATGACGGTGGCCACACCTATCAATCTTCACACAGCTTCAGACCGTTCGCCCCTCTCTGTTTTGCTCTGCTGATGTTCACAAAAAGTCTTTGCTTCACCAAGCGCAAATGGACGTCCTCGTCCAAACAGCCAGATCGGTAGCCCTGCTACCTTCGGAACCTATGGCTCACAGGCAAGCGAAATGCCCACCCTCCCACATCCAGGCTCCCTGAGCCACGAAATGCCTATTGGAGGCATGCAGTGTTGGTTGGCTGGCACCTGATGAAACACTGGAAGGTGGTGGTCATAGCAGCATGATGGAAAATCATTAAGGCAAATCACATCATGCTGCATTCATGGATTTACTTTGAACCTTCATTCTCACTCAAGCGCTTGGGATTCGGATGTGGTCTCATGAGTTTTGAGCCATCGGAGGCGGTCTTTCGATCGGGCTCTGGCTTTGAGGGTGGCTTCTTCATCATATATACGGTAGGTCCCCAAACTTAAAGTCTCACGGAGAAAGTGTGACTCCATGGCTTTGGTCGGGGCGTCTGCTAACTGAGCACCACTTGGTACCCACCTCAAATGAGTGCCTTCACGAAGAGATTCACGAATGGCTCGCGCCATGAGTTGCACACGAAATTCGGAGCATTGAGGCGGTGCGGTCTTCGTCACTAAATCATATAAACTCTTGCAATCTGTTATGGCCATGTCACTGTCGGGATTTTTGGTGGGAATTGTGATTGCGGCATGTATTTTCTTTAGGGTTTCCTCAGGATTTTTCCATTCCGTGCTCGGGTCGTGAATCCAGCTCCAAAAGAGTCTTAGCCAGGACAATTGGTCAAGTGTTGACGATAGGGCCATCGTCTCTGCCGCCAAAGTGCTGGTGACAACCTTTTGAATTTTCCTACAACCCCATGTCAATGGACTAATAGGACACTGGAAATTCTTACTGATATCCTGATGAGTTCCCACAATGATGGATCCAGCATGCGAGTCAGGTTTGGATGGTGATGAGAATGATGCATCGGAAAAGGCCAGGAAACGGAAATTTTGATGTGGAATGGGTTTGATGTTGATGGTTACATCGTGATATTTCTTGGCTTCGTGCAATACTCGATTGCCTTCCATCAAAGTTTCAACTGTGGCCTTGTTGATTGATGATTGCAAAAGTGATAATTTGCTGGAAAGGTCAGGTCGCGTGTTAATGGCAGCATATTGTAAGCTTCCTACTAATGCTCGTAATGAAAGTCGTTCTGGTTCAGCGACAGGAGATTCCAATTGTGTTTTGCGATTGGGTTCAATTGAAATGGCTTTGATCTTTCTCACATAGTTGGATTGGCTCATGGATATGCTGTGATCTCCATGTTGAGTCAATTCAATACCTGTAAAGGTAAATGAGGAAATTTTCTGTGAGCCAAACGGAAATTTCTTCTCAAGTTGTTGAATCTTGGCAACGAATAGTTCACTTCCTCCTCCAATTCCATCGTCCACATGGATTCCAAGGACCCCTTCCAGTTTGGTTTGTTGAGTCTTTTCATCATAGGATCTAAGAATCATTAAACATGGGTCGAAGGGGGATTGTTCGAAACCAAGGTTTATCAACTCAGACACCAAGGCGCAGTACCACAGGTACGGAGCATCTATCAACCCATATGCACTCTTGTTGAGTTTGCAGACTTCGGAAGTCTTCAAATTCAGCGCTCTCCGGAGCTCTGGCACAGGGTCAATGGCTGTGATTCTGTTGGCTTGTGGCTGCCCTTGGAGAAAGGCAGCTTTGATGTCAAAGCTGCGAAGTTGCCATGCATGAGAAGCTATCACCTGCAGGGCTAACATACGAGATGTCTTATTGAGTGTTGGACTGTCACGAGGTAACTCTTCTATGCGGGGATCAAGGTAACCCAAAACTACAAGTCGTGCTTTTGCTTTGTGAGTCTTAGCATTTTGTTGGATTGAATCTTCTTGACCAGCATTATCTATGGGTTTCCATGTGAGAATCCATCGACATCTTAATATCTGTTCTTCAGGTATTTGTTGTCTCAAAATGGTGCTGATTGTACCTGTTTTGATCCAGTTCTGGATCTCTGATTCCTTTGCAGCTTGAAATTCTGCCCGTTCTGACGGTGAGAGCTCGGTCAACTTGACCTCGGTCCGCTGCTTCTTTGCCGTGGTGGCCAGCATTGCCCAGGACTCTTCATCAGAGGGCATGTATTGATTCAGTGGCATACCTAAGTCCATGTCAAATTCACATTTCCAGGCCAATGTGTTCATGGCTTCTTCAGTGAAAGCATTTGTGGTCTCATGACATGTGTACATGATGGCTTCTGGCCGATCTTCATTTTCGGAGATCCCTGGTGTTTCACTGTCTTCTTGGTTTTCAGGTTCCTGGTCTGGTTGAGAAGTGGATTCCTGTCGGCTTCCTTCTTCTTGATCTTGTGCATCTGATGGTGGATGGTGTTCGGTATTTTCCCTGTGGCTTTCTGGTGTTTCGGGTGCGTTATCTGTATGGTTGTTGGATTCATTATTGATTGTTGGATCATGGGGTTGTTGGGATAGATCAAGCTCACTCATATTATTGTCGGGAGATTGCATTCTCTGGATTTGTAACATGAGAGGCGTCACATCTTCAGGAAGTTCCGGACCTTCAGGGGAACCCTCTTGGGGATAAGCTTTGCGGGTATTTTCTGGAGCACTTCGGTATATCTTACCCCCTGATGTACACCACACTACATGTTGACCATCTTGAATTATTACTCGGTGAGGGCCTTGCCATCGTAGCTGTTTGAGTGGATTGTTTCGCCATATCATTACCCATTCCCCTTTGGTGAAGTGTCCTCGGCTTGGACAGGCTCGGCGTAAGGCTGCTCTTCTGAGCACATCGCTGTTATCAGCTATGTGATACGCTTTTCGGGCGGACTCACGGACATTCAGCAACTGTCGAAACTCTTGGCTGGACAAGGGATCACCTTCTTCCATGAGGCTCTCATGAGAGGGCAATGATTCATCACTCAAAACTGACCCTGGCAACCGAGAGTGCTTACCAAACACTATGATTTCAGGAGCATAGCCATGCCGAATGCTTAAAGCGTTCTTGGCATGTGTGGCCTGGTTCAAAGCAACTTGCAATTGGTGGTAATCCTGAATTGGATATTCCAGGTCCATTTTGTCCAACATGGTCTGCAGAAAGCTACCATGACGTTCGATCTTGCCACTCTGCCAATGAGCTTCGGGAGTGGTGGTGGTGCTCTTGATTCCAAACCGCTGCACAAATTCATCCACCTGTGAGCTATTAAGTTCGGTTCCAGAGTCAACTACCATTTCTTGAGGTGGCCCTGCCCAACTGAGCCAATGCTGATTCATGATCTGGAGAAAGCTCTCAGTGGTCTTTGCGGGTGCAGAAATGGCAATGTGATAATTGGTTCCGGCATCCAACACATGGTAGAAGTGGTAATTCTTGCCTGCTTGGTTAGCCCAGGTTACCCCATCTACATAAATTTTATGGTTAAAATCCAACATGGTTTTCAGAGTGGCTGGTCGGGCATGTTTTGGTGGCTGATTGGCAGCACATATTGGGCACTGTATCTCCTGAGCAGCTTGAACAACCTCAGGTCTATAGCCGCTGTTCTGAAGTGCCTTGGCAAGTCTGTCATTTGATGGATGTCCAAGATTCTTGTGCATACGCATGAGATCTTGTTGTTCCCACTTGGGAAGTTGTTGAAATCGATATGATTGTTGTTTCAAAATTGGACCACTTGGTTCATAAGAGGTCACTTCAGGAACTGCAGGTGCATTGCGTGCATCGGTTGTTGGACTGTCAGAAAACTCTTCGGCATTCCTACTGCCAACATCAGGTTCAGCAGCTTCTTCTGCTGGCATGAATTTTGGTGGCTCATGGGTTTCAACAACGCTATCAGGCACGCTATCCTCTAGCATACCTTCAGGGCGCTGGTCACTGCTGAGTGATTCAGGTGCACTCCTCTCAGTCACAGATGACTGTGAATTTTCCTTCTTGTCATGATCTCGAGCAAAAACAGTCACATTCAATATCTGTTGCAACTGTTGTTTGACTTCATTCTCAGTGATTTCACGTTTTCCAACTCTTGGGAAGTTGGAACTGATCATTTGTATGACGTGTTGACACATTTCCAGTGATGGTGCGTCTCCCTGTTGACGGTCATACTTGGGCCGTTTGTTTCCGGGATCAGCTCGACGAATTGGTTGGACCAACTCGGATCGCTCAAATTGAGCGACTCTTCTCACTTTACTGGACGACGATGCGGCACAGGCAGCGTCTTGCTGGGCAAAACACAATATGCCAGGGCGCCAGTTGAATGGCCACTGTTTACCTCCCTTGATCAACACTTTCACAACCGTCCTGGCAAATTTTCGGGTGTATGATTCTGAGTATTGCGTTCTCAAAATGGAAGGCTGGTTGGGTTTTGGTTTGCATGACCCTTCCAAAGGTTGGTGCACATGTTGGTGGTTGCATGTCATGCCATGTAAGTGATTGTACAGAGGTGGATAGGAAGTCAAAACGGTCATTCCTTTCTTGGTCGGCTGTTGGGTCTCAGGGTCACGTAAGTCACCGGCTCTGCACATGTCAAATTGGCATGCCTGAGTATGTTGATGTACCTCACTCATGTTGGGATTCCTAAACATCAAGGACTTGAGAGGCTGTTCCCAATGTAGATGGTATCCTTGGCCTACTTGGTGACGGTACAGTGTAATACCCAAAGCAATTTGATACAAGAGCTCTTGTCGTTTTCTGACATATTCATCATGATGATGTAGTGACTTTGAGGCATTCAATTGGGACCATGATGACCAGGGGCCACAAACTGGACTGTACCAAATGTGTTGCGGCCTATGCCTGCAAACCTTTTGGAACAAAAGTGTACGGCCTTCACATGTGGAGAGATCTCCATCTTGCCGGCTGAATCGGAAGGCATGCTTGCCTAGCTGTTGCATCTGTTGAGTCAGTTGCGACTGTTCACCACACATTACCTCACCTAATAACCAAGGAGTTCCAAGGGCAGGAGTCTGTGATTTGACCTTGAGAAGTTCTTCATCAAACTGTTTCACCATGTCAAACAACTGACGTGATTCAGCATGCATCGTCGTTAAGACGTCTTCATCCCAGTCGCATGTCACTGATCCTCGGGGCTGCGGCTCAGCTGATTCATCAGTGCCTGGTCCTCGATGTGTCGAATCACCCTGGACAGAGCGTTCTCCATGTTCAACATCCGCTGTTGGATGGCATCCATGTCCTCGGCCGTGTAGATGGTCTGGTCGGGTGTAATCTGAGAGGCATACATCTCGGGTGCGATATCCCAGTCGGCTTCCCCATCTGGCAAAGAGGTGTTGATGGGAGTGCCGAAGTGACGTGTCATGGCTTTGGCCTTGGCTTGGCTTCGAAGCACTCCTTGTGGGTTGGACTTTGGTGGAACCGTCTCTTGCGACTGTTCCAAGGCCTCGACCTTCAACTCCACATACCGGAGGTATCGTCGATGGCCCTCCTTTGTGCTCTTGCTGTAGCGACTCACCATGAACTGAACCCATTCTTGGTCCTCCCAGGTGTCCCGGAAGTGGCACCCCATGTATTTCTGACCGAACGTCACAATCTCTGCAGACAAATCCTCCAGAGTCAGGTGACTGAGACTTGGCATTTCGGGCGCCACTGGTGGTCCTTGTACTCGGCGAAGGCGCTGGCTGAGCGACATGATCCTCAGTCGATCTCGGGTCCTTGGCACGGATGTTTTCACCTGTTGTTCCTTGAGCCGCGCTGCATGTTGATTGGTCGGCTTGGTATGCTTTGATACCGTGCTTCTTTCGTGTGCATTGGAAGCTTGTGGTCTCAGGGGACGGAGCGTCTCTTCCATCCTCACTTTTCACTTGATTGGTGTTGACATTTTTGACATGATTCTCTCCTACAGATTGTCTTTGATCTGGTGACTGCATGACCTGTGAAAACTGACCTGATACCTTGTCTGAAAGATCCCATGACACTGTCTTTTTCACCTTGCCATCGGACACAAAAGTCTCAGCAATGGTCTGGCGTTCGCACTTCAAATTGGAAAAACAGTTGTCCTGGGCTGCTTGTACCAACTGATTGACATCTATGAGAAACAAACCCTTGCTTGTCAACTGAAGTGAAACTGGCTTGCATAACATTTTACTGGACAACGTTTGACTGGAGCAATCGATCTTGGCTTCCATGGCTCGCATCAATGTGTTGCTCAGCAAAAAGGGTGTTCCTCCAGGCACTATGGCTACTTTGAGTCGTAGTTTCCCTATCGGTATGACTAGTGCTTGACGACTTGACAAGGTGGCTTCATTCCCAAACCTGAAAGTGACTTGGCATGGACAGCGTGTCAACTGCTTCCGGATGCTTGCATCGAGGCTACGAATTAAGTCCGGCAGGCATTCGCTACCTATCACTGTTTTGGAAGCTCCCAGATCCAAAATGCCGTATGACGAATGAGTGGCAAAACATATTTGGCTATCATCGCTTTGGCATGGTTCGGATGCTTGGTTGGGCTCTTACACCTGATTGGCACATGGGCTTGAAACTTTGACAGGCTCTACGGTTCTCTCAGGTACATCGTGTTCTCTCTGGCTTTCACATTTCCTCGGCAGGTTATGCAATGCAGGTGATGTATTATCCCTCCAAGCTAACCATGTCCGTAACCTTTCATGAGCAGTGGGATGGTCATGCTGCTTAACCCTGTTACTCCCATAAGATTCCCCATGAATCAACCCCATGTAACAGGACTGCACACCCCATAACTCGTGACATTACTTAAAAAACTGGACAAAGGCTCATTTGAGTCGGCTGTTGTGGATGGCATCTCAGGCAGTTGGACGAACTCCATGGGCAGGATGTCGTCCGCGGCTTCTCCAACAACGACGGTTGTCGTTGGCATCGCATTGTTGGCTGAGGCAGAAGCTGTCGATCCCGACTGTCGGAATGGGCATTCTGCCTTCCAGTGGCCACGACGGTTGCATAGTCGGCATGTGGAGTTCAAGATCCGATCTTGCAGGCTACGACGTGGCTTGTTTGGCCACGATCCTTTGTTCTTGCCTCCACCCTTGTTGCCACCAGATTTACCTTTGGTAGATCCGCTGGACTCACGTGCTACTGGCCAAAAGCCACGGTATTTGGACTTATCGGCCAATCGCCGATGTGCATCTTGGTATGAGGTGTATGCTGCTGCAAGGGCTGTGTCTTCCTGTACAATCTCGGATACAGCATTTTCGAAATCTGTCACCAGGGTTGCATCAGGGTCTCCCTCACTCAACAAACATTCTAACATTTCATCCTCACCCATTTCTTCCTGAGTGGCCAGATGGGCCTCATCCTCTTCGTCCTCCGCAACCAGAGTTGCTGCACTGTACACCTTGGTCTTGGTTTTCTTGTTTCCGGTCATATCATTGAAAAAGGTTGCACCCAGAATTCGGATTGCTTCAGCTACTTTAGATACGGTCAACTGACCCTCCAAAGACTGATCCGACTCCAGGATTACCTTCTTCTTCTCCTCGGGGCTCAACGTTGACCCTCGTAGTAGGATGTACGCTTGCAGATCTTTCATTTCCAGTTTGCGGCTGAGAAGCTTACTCCAGGCCACATCGGCTCGAGCAAGGTATGAATCGTTCGATTCATCGGCATGTTGGGAGGTATGAAACAAGGCTGATTCAGCATCTTCATATTGCTTTTCCAACCCAATCTTTCCCCAGTGACCTCCTAACAAGGTGATGATGCGTTGCACAGCTTTCTCATCATTCTCCATCAGCTCTGTTTGGTGTAACTGCAATTTGTCGAAGGCACTTCCTTGGCAGTTAAGGATTAGCCTCATTACCAGTTCAGTTATACGCGTCTTCGGCCATGCGGCCAACACCAATTGAACCCTTTTCTGGTAGGTTTGCAGATCATCTTTCGATGGGTCAAAGCTAGGAACCAGAGAAGCCAGCTGTGAATTCACACCTGTGCCAGATTGCCCATCGCCATCTGAAGTCGATGCCATCCTTCACGCCTATCCCCCTGGAAACTTCGGAGCTGGAGCCGGAGCTCCGCTACCAATGTAATTGGTAAAGCTCCCACTGCAGAAACTGAAAGGGTAAATGTCCAATGCCCCAAGAAATGACGGTGGCCACACCTATCAATCTTCACACAGCTTCAGACCGTTCGCCCCTCTCTGTTTTGCTCTGCTGATGTTCACAAAAGGTCTTTGCTTCACCAAGCGCAAATGGACGTCCTCGTCCAAACAGCCAGATCGGTAGCCCTGCTACCTTCGGAACCTATGGCTCACAGGCAAGCGAAATGCCCACCCTCCCACATCCAGGCTCCCTGAGCCACGAAATGCCTATTGGAGGCATGTAGTGTTGGTTGGCTGGCACCTGATGAAACACTGGAAGGTGGTGGTCATAGCAGCATGATGGAAAATCACAATTGGTATATATATATATGGGGCAATAGGGGATCTCCAAGTCACCATGGGTTAACCTATACGCAAATGGTTGGTTGATGACTTGGATGATATGGGGGGTAGCCTCATGTTAGAAAACCTTCCTGTGGGAAATGGATCCAGAAAACATTCATGGTTGTTAATTAAGCTGAGAAAGAGATGAATACATTTCAAAAAACGAGGATAGGAACAAATAAAGAAACCGAATTCATGTTTTTTTCCTAAGAAAATTCGTAAACTAAGGTCCTAAACTGAGAGAGATAGATACATAAATTCAAGCAATATGGGCCATTATATTAATATCCATGCCTTATTCAAGTAATATCCCATGATGTTGTCATGTTTACCATCCCCAAAATCCCTTCCCAAATAGGTGCTATGTTTACTTACCATTCCCAGTCAGTCGGGTGGTGCCCGTAGCATCGATGGTCCTAAAAGGTTCGGTCAGTGGCTGGTGAACCAGCCATCTGGGATGTAATGGGCTGCCTAGTCACAGTTTTGATAGATTATGTATATCTGGAGATATACATACATACATACATACATACATACATACATACATACATACATACATATATATATATATATATGTATGTATATAAAAGATATAGATATAGAATATCAATATAACATATATAACATATATAACATATATAACATATATATCATATATAACATATATAACATACATAACATACATAACATATATAACATATATAACATATATATAACATATATAACATATATAACATATATAACATATATAGCATATAATACTATACTATATATATATATATACAATTATAAGCCTATTGATCCCCATTGATTCCCCCCATTCCATCATTCCACCCCGCCTTCTGCAGTTTGTTCATCACCCGCGCCAACTTCTGCTGTCGATCCGCCAGCTCCCCGCGGCCGCTGTAGTCCACCCGGAAGCCACCCATGATGCTGTCCACCACCAGCAGCGCGAAGCGATCTTCGTCGTTCACCTGGGGAATTCATGGCGAACCAAGCAGAAACCATCGGGGAAATCATCCAATTTTTGGGATGTTGAGATCATTTCTCACCTATGTCATGGTGGGGTGGTTGTTTCCCAAAAAAATATGTGTTCGCTGGGAAAATATGGGGGAAATCCACCATTTATGGGGTGTTCAATGGGAAAATCATGGGAAAATCCCTGTACGTTGAGGGGTTTCGATGGGAAAATCATCTATAAATGTCTATAAATGCTGGCTTAAGCAGCCAGAGTGGGTTTATCACCATTCTGTACAAATACCTACACATAGAAATATTGGCCAACACATTTAGATATGGGTTGCTCTGAAAGGCAAAGATTTACCACCAATTTATGGCAATGTTGAAAGGCTACAGGACATGATCAATCATAGGGTTTCAGCGAACGATCCCAAGGGAACATCTAGCAACATGATCAATCTTTGCTATGGACAATTACCATTTCAGTAGGTCATCAAACTAAAATCAATGGGAGATCTCCAGGATCCTAAAATGGAGGTACGTTAGTACCATATTTTTGGCCATATTTTGTGGGGATATTCCCTTACATAGGCCTAAAAAATAGGCCTTATATATGGTAGGTACCTCCAGTCTAGGATCCTGAAATGGCCATTGATAAAATGGGCCATGGCTTACAAAACAGGCCATAGCGTAGGAAGCGAAGAAAAGTGGATGGTACAAGACCTGAAAAAAAGTGTTGAAGCCTTGGAAAGGGACCGGACCTTACCCTCTGGCCAAGGTACCATCAATCCAGCCGCTTCCACCAATAGCTGCTCCAAATGGTCAGAGGTGTAGCACCTCTCATCCACAGCGATAGCCACATCCCAGTATGGCTACTAGCCACATGTCTTAAGTGGAACGCAGATTCCACGACATACAAACATATTCTCTCCATGTCACATGTACCCTCTAGTAAACTAACAGTTTGCGAACTTGAAAATGGCCCAGTCGAAATAGTTGAATTACCCAGCTATAAAATGGTGGATCTTTCCATCGTTTTTTGTGAACGTTTACAAAAAAAGGGTATCCGGCATATGTTGGTCCCCGCCATGGGTTAATCCCCATCCCATCAACGGCCCAAACGCTCGCACCTGGCACAGTAGTCCATGAGATTCCAAGACATTCCAATACTGGTTGGTGGTTGAGCCCTACCCCTCTGAAAAATGATGGACTGAAAGTCAGTTGGGATGACATGACATTCCATGACATTCCCAACTGAATGGAAAAATAATCCGAATGTTCCAAACCACCAACCAGATAATGATTGTGATTATGGTTCATTGACTATGATTACTAATGATTCCTATCACTATATGTATGTATATATATATATACATATCATATCCCCATAAATCGCTTGGTTCTCCACCACCCATAGCTTTTGTCTGAAAATATCGTACCCCCAAAGTTGATGAATGATCATCATCCATATCTTCGTCATAGCCATTTAGGGGCTTTGCTAAAATAGCATCCAAGTTAGTAAACCATGTTAGTAAACCAAATCATCCATGTCAGTAAATCCAAGTATATACCCCAAATCATTCAAGTCATTAAATCACTTTAGTATTGAAACCCATTCAACCATGGTTTTGAACTACCCCCATAAAATGGGACACCTCCATTTGCACCATCCCCACCTTGAAAATCCCCATGAGATCCCTATAAAATCAGTATTTTTCCACAGCCCCCACCTGGCATAGACGATGTTATCCATGGCATCGCTGGGCGACACGCCCTTGGCCTCCGCGATTTGTCGGATGCGCTCGGGGCGGAAGGTGCCCTCGGTGTCGATGTAGACCACCTCCGGGAGAACGGGATCATGACATCGGCGTGGCGATTTGGCGATTTGTTTCAGCAATAAATACTACTTGGTGGTTCATCCCACTTAGTGGATTATAACCCCAATGATTTCAGTGGATTAACCCGCTCCTTCTCCCATGTTTTTATCACTGGGGTGATATCCCACTTACGATTCCTGGGATGAGCCTGCAAATCGATGGACACAGTCCAGATCCTCGCCTTGCCGTTGGCACCGCCCATACTGGAGGGAAGCTGCGCGACGACCGAAAGGGAATGACACAATTGGGTCCTGGGAAGCGGAGGAATCCTTCGGGTTCATGGCTCCAGCTGGCTCCAGCTGGCAGGTTTCATGGGGGTCCATGGCACTTCAGAATCGCCCCGGTTTTCGTAAAAAATTCACTTATAACTGGAACGTTTACAGTAGAGATAGAGATATCTGTGACTATAGTTGGGTTCTAAATCGACCATTTCTTTCTATCGACCAACATTTGGAGAATGATCCGGCACGAGTTTCCATGATAAATACATGAATTATTCTAAATGTTCTTTGCCATATCCGGCATTGGTTATTCGCCCAAAAAAGGTGAATATGTCCCCATCATCCAGTCGGCTTCTCCAGCAACCAGTGGAAATTTGAAACTCGGATTCCATTGGATGAAAAAAATATTTTGCAGGAACCCATCTTTTTCCTAGCCAGGTCCCGTGGTGGTCGAGTTCCAATCCAAGTTTGGTGACCTTTTTCGCCCCAGTATTTTTTTTAAAAAAATGGAGGGCAACCCCTCTAAACTCACCAGAAGTTTGGTACAATCCGGAGCCACCCCCCAGTTATGTTTCTTGGTTTATGAGCCCATGAATGAGCCCATGAATTATAGATATATCTACCATAAACATTAGCTATATCAGTTGAGCTCCAGTTGAGTATGAATCAAAAATGGCAGATCAACCAACGCTTCCGCGATTCCAACCTCACTGGCACTGGCCTAGGCCCTGCCAAGTCGCTTGCCACAACGGAACTCCCCAAAGATCTCCGTAATCGAGCAGCTCTCCACACCACCACCAAGCATTTGGTCCAACTTCCTGCCGTCCGGGTCCCTACCCTGGGAAGCTATTTTGGAGAAGGCCCACTATTGGAACTGGTGGAAAATCGCTATTTTCGGGCCAAGCGAGTACTATTTTGATAGTGGAAACATCCAATCTATTGGAATACTGTTGGAAGTGGGCGGATGTTTTTCCACTCTTGTAGCCATAGCCAACTTTGGTGGAAAAAAACCACTCGATTAGTTCAAGGTTCGGGGAAATTGGTGACTCTCCATGCCCTCTCCCTGAACTGTTGGGGAGATGTGAATCTTGATCCCAGAATTTTGGGATTTGGAGCTTACCCTCTGGCAAATTTAACATAGCTATGAATAATGGCACATTTATAGATGATAGAGACATGATGATCTACCTTTTCAAAAATTGTTATTTTCCAGTTCACTACAACCATAGGGGAAGTTCCTTATACCATCGGCTGGAGGTAGGATCATCCACTGCCATCGGCCAGCCAAGCTACCCTGCACCAGTGGCAATCTGAAATCGGCTCTTCATCTTGCTCACAAGCTGTGTACCTTGCTACAAAACCCTCACCGGACCAGAAAACCACCGTCTGGAAAGTATTTCCATGAACTGCTTTGAGGTTCTTTAATCATCTTCAATCTAGATTGTTTGGTTAAATCATGTTAAATCCATGCTTTCCTGTTGATGTTCACTGAAAAATCATGCCATTCAGCATGGTGCATGTCCTTCGGCGGTGAAACCCAAATAAATTAGGAGTGGATGTGCCCCACTCTCCACTATGGAAATCTATGGTTACCCGTTATCGAGACTCTCGAGATAAGCCCCAACAGAAAACTGCTCTCCGTTAAGTCACCACATGTCAAGAGAGGCTACCTACGAGGCAAACCCCGCATATTTCCATCATTTTTTCCATCAAAATCCCACCGAATTTGATCCTTGTTTTGCAAAATTCTCTGTTTCCATCACAAGTTTGCACCAATCAATGGATTGGTTTAAGGGAACATTTGCAGGAAAACCCCATATTTACTAGGAAAATCTATGGTTTCCGGTTAAGATGTTCCCTTAAAAACCATTGAGCCAAAAAACACTTGAGCTTCTTGCTTTCACACCACGCTATGGGTCAAGTGGCTACCCCAATTCATTGGATGGTCAAGGCCTGTGGTTAGGTCTTTCATTTTCACCCCCACTTAAAACCAAAGATGGTTAATACTAAAAATGGATGGTTAATACTTAAAACCCTACTTCATCATACTAAAAATGGATGCTTAATGGATGACACATAATTGGGCAATTGGATGGTGCATACTAAAAATAAACTAAACCATCAACGCCATCTTTCCATCTTTTTGGACCCCTCATCCTGCAAGACCCATTGGCATCCAAGGCACAGGTCACGAAGCCAATTTCGCTGGACTTCCGGGCAGCTTCGATGATCTTGTCCACCTGAAAGCAGTCGAATTCACGGCGTTGTTGAAAAAAGGTTGGGGGGTACCATGAAAATAGGGGCTCAGAGTGGGATATGATATATGAAAAATCATGAAAATTGGAATCTAATATGATTCAAAGGATATGATGATAATATTATTGGGAGATCATGGATTCCTTCTTGTGACCCCCAGTCATAGATACTGAAAAGTTGGAAACTATACTCCCATGAGTGGTTGTTGCTGGGGCTAGTAATGGCTACAACGATGGCGATTTGAACCCGCAACTTGGGATATAACACCTATACTGGTTGGTGGCTTTGGAAGAATATTAGTCAATGGGAAGGATTGTCCCACATATTATGGAAAAAAATGTTTGAAACCACCACATTTTCCCACATTTTCGTGCCGCAAGCAGGCTCAGGTAGGGAGCGCTGCAGTCTCAGCTAGGATAGGCAAACCTTGTGCCAGCTATGAAGACAACACCATCGTCTCGCGCTGGTCGATCAGCGGCAAATGTCGCAGGACGTCCGCATTCCTCACACACGGAGCTGTCAGCGTAGACGTAAGCAGCTTTTCAACCTCGTACAAGGAGCGAGGACACCAGGGCAGGGCAATCGCCTGCACATACGCTTGGATGCTGTCTGACTTGGGTCGGCACTGGGCCAGGGTGAAGGTCACATTGGCAGCGGTCAGGAGCTTCTTGAGGAATTGCCTGAACCACTTTGTGCGCTGCCTGTGGTCAAACTTTTCTGCATCAAGGTATTGACGGTGTGCTTTGTCAACCCAAAGACCTTGGACTCGCAATGGTCCTGGGTTGCCCCAGGTCATTTGATAGTCGAGGTACAACTGGGAGAACGACACCCAGACCACCTCATGAGCTCCTGGTGTTCCAATTCGCTCTCGAAACCATGCAGTTGCTCGTTGCACATGACTGTGTCCAAAAAGTCGGGCGACTGTCGGCAAAGGTTCGCCTCGCCATGGGCCCAGCGCAAAAACCGCTGGAAATTCACGCGTAGTCCGCTCGGTGGCAGCAGGAACCTCATCTGGCTCAAGGCCCCGGCGGACGTTACGTCTCCCAACCGCCAGGTGTAATTGCTGTACCTGTGAAAACAAAACTTCAGCCGCCAAAGTGGCACACACATGCTTTTCCCAAACATCCCAAAAGGCTGTGGGCCGCGCCTGGTTCGCGCAGCGTGCAGCTCTGTCAGCCATGGCATTGTAGAAAAATTGCCACACCTCATGACGCGATGTAGCAGCCTGCAAAGGTTTGTGTGCAGGCACTTTCCGCAGTTGTACATTGTTTCGTCCCAACGTATCAAGCGACTGCAATATCCAGGTCCAAAGGTCAGAGTTAGGCTTGTTCACCTGAACCTTCCTCCTTCCCAACACAAGTTGATGGAACCTGGTAACCACGCCTAGACAGTCGGACCACAATCGGACAGGGGCACGCGCACACGCCGCACAATGCAAAACAAAAGCCACAGCATAAAGTTCAGCACGGTAAGCAGTTTGGTGGAGGCCAGGCAAGTAGGACGCTCCAAGCACAGTGGCACCCTGACCAGTCCAAGAGGGAAAGGATGGAACGCACACCGCAGACCAAGCAGCAACACGATAGGCCGGAGCAGCCTGATGCAGGCATGAGCCATCAGTGAAAACATCATTCCATCGATTGGGGCAAAGTCCAATGGCTGGCGCAGGTGGTGCTGATGGCAGATTAAGGAGAAGTTGAATCCAGTCACGCCAGGTAGGGGGTAAGAGTGCCCAACCACGGAGAGCCAAGGCAGGTGGCAACAAGTCCAAGGAGCGCATGGCTGCTGGTGCCAAAGTCATTCGAAGGTCATGATGCTGCGGACACTCCCAAAATCGATGCATCAAAGTGTCCGGTTGACCGCACCACTTGCAAGCGTCTGACTGCTCAGTCCACTTTGACTTGTAACTCTCAGTGTAAAGACCCCCTGCCAAACTATGGCGGTAGAGGGCTTGGTCATCATGTGATAACTGATGCAGTGCTCTTCTGGTGGCTGCAGTGTCAACTTGCCACAACCCATCAAACTCAGCACGGTGCGACACCTTTTGAGCAACAACTTGGTGCCAAGCCCATTGGAGGCGCATTTCAAGCTCTGCATAGTTACAAGTGTGCGGACAAAACTTGCCAAGCTGATCCGAAACCCCACCATCACGGTGCACATGGAAGCCAACTTGCTGAAGGCGGCCAGCAACCACAGACGCAAGAGAGTTGGGGGGTAAGTCCAGTTCCCCAGCAGAGACCAAGGCAACCGCAGAAGACCAAAAGTCCAAGTTACACTGGTGTCGGACGGAGCGACAAGTCCACAACAACGCCACAAGTTGGGGATCTACCAAGGTTTCAACCAAACCTAAGAGCACATGCCCATTGATTCCAGGGCGGTGACAACCAAGGGCACCCGTGGCTTTACGCCGCAAGTCTGTCCAGACATTGTCTCCAAGGGGAGCACTCGCCACAGCATGGAGGCCTCGTGGCCATGTCACAGCTTTCAGTACATGTACCTTGGTCTGGTACTTGGCTTTACTGGCACGCAGTTTGGGCCACAGATCTGCAAGTTCACTGATGCGCTGAGTCAGGGTATGATTGGTGTGCTGCCGGGAAATGCCAAGGTGGCCTCCCAGTTCCCGGGCCTGATGCAAAACTTTGATGCCACTGGCCCTGAGCAAGCTGCGAGTCCGGCTGTCGGGTGACCACCCAAAGGTTTTCCTTCGGTCCACTGTCAGGTCCAAGAGGCTGGCATAGCCTTCTACCAGCTCAAGCTGTCGGACTGCAAAATTGGGGTCCCAAGACAGTGTCTGCCAATCATCTACATAGGACAGCGTGTTCACAGATGGTGCCTGGTGGTAAAGCCACAAAGCAAAGAGGTGGTCAATCAGCAGCATTCCATAGACACTGAGCCCACATCCTTCAGCCAACCCGGTGGAGGTGGCAAAACCTGCTGAAAAGGAATCCCTCACTTTGAAATGCCGATACATAGATGTCAAGGCACCCGCCCACGCGGTGGTGACCTGATGGGGGGTTCCAACCAAAACAGCCAGACACAACGCTGGGTAGCGTGGGATGCAATTGAAACATTTCTCGATGTCAGCGGAGAGCCCAGTTAGGCAGCATCCTGAGGAGTAGGCCTGTTCAATCTGAAGCATAACATGATGCCACAGGTCTGCAGCTTGGCGGCCTGGTCTGTTGCCATATACTCCATCATGGGCCCATTGGTCAGCCCATTGCAGCAAATGACGGGCATGTAGGCTTGACCAAGCTCTGTACCCCAAACCAAACACAGTGATGGGTCTATAATCCCCAACAGCCGAGGCCGATTCCGTCTTGGCTAAGGAGCGCACCTTGCCTGCCAAAAGTTGAGCTGGCCAGCAGCCATCAGTCTCTGCCCTGGTGAAGGCTGAAATCAGACTCCGCAGAGTTGCCTCGTCGGCTGCTATCCAGTCAGCGCGGCTGACCCCATCTAAGCCGGTGGCGGCTTGTTTCTTTTTCCGATGGAACTCTGCTTGCACAGTGGAAACATCGACTTGCAGGTGTGGGATTGGCATTGGTCTGATGACCTCCTTGGCAAAATTCAACAGCATGTCCCAGCGATCAAATGGTGTTTGGTCGTGTCGGCACCAGCGCTTCTTCCACTGATCATGGAATGCTTCAAAAAGGGCTGGCAGGTCTCCCAGGTATTGGGTTTGAGCAACTTGCTGCCCTTGTTGAACCCCAGCAACATCGGTGAGCCATACTTTGTCATGGTCATGATGGATAATTTCAGCAGAGGCTCCAGCAATCCAAAGGGGAAGATCGGGTCGCAGGGCAGCTGGGGCAGCAAGTACCACTGCACATTCCGTCTCGTCTACCTCAGTGACTGTGGAGTGCACAGCATGCAGTAGGGATTCTACCGGCTCGGCCGGGTTTCTGGCAACCTCTCGGTAGATGAGGTGTTTGTCATCAGCATGTTGGTGTCTCCTGTGGGAGGTTTTGGCTTGATTGAGCAACTGCTCCAAGTGTCTCACTTCAGCATAAACCGCATCAAAAATTTGGTGAGCAACCTGAGACGGAGGACAAAACTGTGGCATGGCACTCGGATCTAAAGGGCTGACAAAATGGCGCGACAGCCACCATTCAGTGAAAGTGGGCAAGAACCCTGGTGCCCGCAAAATGGAATTCCAAAGGCCAATACCATGCAATCCATCACGTTCACTATGTTCAGCACGGTCTATCCACCTACAGTAGTTCTGCAATCTGCGGAGCTGCTTGAACTGTCGGGCATGAAGATTAGAAAAACCAAAGAAGGCAGGCTGAACATCATCTCTTCGACCCTGGCGGATTGGTGCTTGTTTGGTTCTCTGCTTCTTGGGTGCAGTCTGTTGGCCTCGTCCTCTCATGGCCGGGAGCCATTCATGAGGCAAATCTTCCTGAGCAAGATCTTCTTTGCACTGCCAAAGCATGGCATATTGAGCAGTGGGGTCTGCAGGGGCCTCAAAGGAAACCGGCATTTGGAGCGTGCGGGTCTTGCTCCATGGGATTGCTTTAGGGCATGGCCAAACAAACCGTTCAAGATGGGCAGTTCCTCCAGCAAACACAGCACGCAGAATGGCATGGTCAGCGAAGGTTTCATTGCAAACTTCCAGATTGCGGAATGCAAGGGCTAACTCTGGTGAAATCCACAAGTGGTCTTTGCGGGTCGACCCTTTGCACGTCAACTGGACAGGGGTGCCAGTGCGGTATTGATGTAAGTCTTGGACCTCAGCCCATCCATTGGTGCGAAGCACATGAGCAATGGCCAGGTCATCGGGTTCATAGTTAAAGTCTCCCGCCAGGAATCTGGGGCCTGGGGTCTTGGAGAGGCGTTGGACAGCAAAATCCAGCATGTCCTCTGTGCGCTGGTGTGCCATTGGATGTGTTTTGCCCTCTGGGAAACCGTACACTACAGCTCCTAGAGTCCAAGAGTCCAAAGTGTGGAAAGCAGCAAGTTGGATGCGTCCTGTTTGGTACAAGTCATCAGGCCAGTCAGTGGCAACAGTGCGGCAAGGCATCGTGGAAGCAAAACCAACCCCGGCCCAAGCTCCTGCTTCACTGGCTTGTGAACGTGGCTCCATGGGTGCTCCAGTGATGATATGGCGATACTTGGATCCCATGGCTTTCAAACTCAGCTGGAGGCTGCGTTTTGCGGCAGCAGTCATGTGGGTCTCACTGAGGGCAAGCACATCAGCCTGAACATTGTTGAGCACATGGAACTTCCCTTGTAATCCAGACGGATTACAAACACCCAAGGTCCACTCGCATCCATTGTCAGGTCCTGGAACACGTGCTTCTCCAACCCTCATCATGAGTAGAAACATGAGAAAGACAAAAATTGCCCGGAATGGCCGAAGCGGCCATGGGGTCACCCTGGGATTGGGCTTTTGCACAGGGCCCCCACTTTTTCACTCAGTTCTGGGTTTCTTGGCAAGGATGTGCTCAATGCGTGACATCTGATCCGTCAACATTGTCTGCATTTGTTTGGATTGCATGTCCAATTGGCACATCATCTGTTGCTGGAGCGTCTGCACCTGGGCCGTGCTCTGAACATGGTGCTCATTCACCGTTGATTCCAAGGCAGTCTGCCGGCTGGCAAGTTGCTGGAATTGCAATTCCAGTTGTTGGAGGCGATGATCCTGGTCGTCCACCTCCATTTCATGATGCACTGGCAACTTCGCCATGATGTTCTGTTCCAGGCGGTCTTCCATCTCCTGCAAGGCACTGGCTGTGGATGGAGCCAGTGGCATCGGCGGGACAGACGCCGTGGCTTTCTGCCATGGATCATGCGTTAGCCATGGGTCCTGGTTGGTCTCCGCAGCCATGCATAACTGGACCGTTTGGGCAGGCCCAACCACCTGATCTGAGTCAGGAGCAACTGGCTTTGTATCTTGACCAGTGATCACCACTTGGCCATGCGACAAGGTCAGCACATTGGATGGTGGAGCAGCAACGGCCTGGATGGCCCACATCAATCCCCCGGGAACTCCATGCAAAGGTTGCAATGGGCGGCATTCCCATCCGGTGGCTTTGAGGATGCGAGCCAGTGTTTTCCTATCACTGCCATAAGGCCAAGGCCCACAATGAAAGGTGAGCCGGCTGCCAGGGGCTAGATACACTGCATCAGGTTTGACGCTTGCAAACACTTCGGCAAAGTGCGACACATGGACCCGAATGCCAAATCTCTTGCCCGCACGAGCGATGCCAAGGCAGTGCATCTCACATTTGGCCCAGTGAGCAACGGCTGCATAGTCGAGTTGCGGCAACCAGACTACCTGGTAATCAGGATGTGGCTTCATTGCATCCTCAGTCTTGGGCTCCACATAAAGGCCTTTGAGGCCACTTGCACTCAACACAGCTCCTTCCAGGACTTTGGCATATCGGAACATAACAGCAAAGTGAGATGCCTTATCCCACTTCACAGGCCGGCCCGCATCGTTGAAATACTGGCGTTTGAACACATCCAACAGAGCTTCATGTGGCAGGTCCGGCGGGGGATGCCAGAGCGGGCAGGTGCAGTCAGCTTTGCGGCACGTCTGAAGGCATGGCAGTGCACTAAGGATGTGCTTCACGGGTTTGACCGTGAAATCCTCCCATGGAGCGTCAAGCTGGTCTTGAAAGACAGTGACTCGGGCGCAGGCAACTTCAACATTGGGTACAGCTAAGGCATCTTTGGCTTTGAACTGATATACCACCTGGTGTCCAAGTTGCACTAAGAGACCTGTCATCAGCATTGGTTCTTGATTGACGGCACAGCGGACGGCAAATCGCAAGGTGGACCATTGCAAGGCTGTGTGCACTTCAGCGGGGGGATTGGTCACAATCACTGCCAAACCCTGATGCGTCAGGATTTTGCCTGCCTGCAGGAAAGGTTGAGCTTCTGCAAACGTCATCAGAGCAACACCCTTAGCCAGGGGGCCTAAAGAGGCAGATGGGATCTGATTCAATGGCTCATCTTCTCCAGTACGGAATGCACCTGCATCCAGCAACAGCTTGGTGGGGTCGAGGTCTGCAGGGCGTGTGGGCATCATGGTCATCGGTTTGGCCTGCTTGGAGCCTTTGGCAGCAGGTTGCTTAGCAAGCGGCTTTTGGGCTACTTCATCAGGCAACACCAACTGAAGAACCGGCTTTTGTTGGTTGGCCAATGCTTTCAATGACTTCCAGGGTGAAACACCGGTGACAGCTTTTTGGACATCTTGCTTACCAATGCTTTGGACAATCAACTTGGCTCTGGACATAGCTAACTGGTGGGGAACTCCATGTTTTTGCAGAAGCTCTGCAGTGATGCTATGAACATCAGGCGCTCCCCAGCCCCAACACCTAGGCATAGGCACGGAGACCTGGTCATAGATGGCAGCAGCAAAGTCGGTGCGGAGCTTCTCATGAAAGTCACTCAGTTGTGCAGCCGTGTTCGGCAGGCTGGTGTGCAACAATTTGTGGGCTAAGAAGGCTACCGCAGCAGCACCGCAGTGTGCATGACCAAAAGACCTTCTTTGGCAATCAATGGCTCCTGGAGGCTTCTTCCATGCACGGCACATAAGATCATGCAAACGGAGCAGTCCTCGGATGTCAATGGCATCATGTTCCCACATGGAGACTTGAACATCATTGGTGCCTTTGGTCCAGACCATAGGAATCCAATGCTCGTGGAGATGCACCACCGTGGCAACTCGCGTGACCTCAGGATGTTGTTCAAGCCAGGTCTGAGCCTCAGCAACATTTCCACTTCGCACCCAAGCAGACGCAATCAGCGGGTCAAGATAAGCATCATGCGGGGTGCAAACCCCGTCAAGGCAGGCACTAGCATGGAAATGGATCTCATCATCACCCATGGCTGTTTGCTGCATGTTCAGCAATTCAAGTCGCTCATGACTGGGTACTGCTTGAAAGTGCAGGCACTGGCATGCACAGGGATCGCTGGCTGGAGGCATGTTTGGCAAAGTATGGGACGTACAGCTTCTCAAAGGGGATGGACAATCCTCGCACCCATCTCTCGGCGGGTCAGCGGCGGCAGCAGCTGGAGCAACGGTAATGGGTGAGAGACCTTTGCACTCGACTTTGTCATAAACCGGGACAGGACACCAACCTACTTCTAACACAGACGCCCCAGCCTCGGATGCTACGGATGCAGTCATGAGACATGAAGGCTGGCAGTCAAAATTCATTGGAAGCCCCGCCTCGGATGTTGGGACGCCTGCACTGCTGGCATGAACACAAGTCACTGCAGACAAGGCTTCATATTGCGTCAACTCAGGGTAAATCACTTCTACGTCAGGGCAATTCAAAGAAGATGATGCATGCTCGACATGGGAAGGCTCAGGTGGGGAGCCATCTAAAGCTGGCACTCCCAATCCCCAACACCACGGTTTCGGTACTTCACCCAAATTGTGAACAGCTTCAGCAAAGGTGGCACGAAGAGCTCTGTGCAAGTCCTTCAGTTGTTCATCAGTCTGTGGCACCGCTGCATCAATCAGTTGACTAGCAAGATGAGCAACGGCAGCAGTGCCACAGTAGTCTCTGCCAAACGATCGCCTGGTGCAAGCAAGGGCAAAACGAGGCAGCTGCCAGGCTTGGCTTACAAGACCATGCAAGGGGAACAAACCACTAATGTCCATGTCATCATGTTCCCACATTGACACTTGGACTTCAGTGAGGCCTTTGGTCCAAACCACAGGCATCCAATGATCTTGGAAGTGCACAACAGTGGCAACCCTTTTGGCATCGGGATACTGCGCAAGCCAGTTTTGAACCTCAGCAACAACACCTAACTTGAGCCAGGATGATGCTAGGAGCGGATCTAGATACGCAATGCTGGGGTCATTGGCAATGGCAAGGCATGCATGAGCATGCAAGTTGATCTCATCATCTCTCATGGCTTTGTGCTGTTTATGGAGCAAGTCAAGTCTGGTGCTGCTTGTCACAGCTTGCTGACGCATGTGCAGGCATGTGGGCCCATCACGGACAATCGGCAAAATCAAGGTGGCCATGTGTTCTCCAGTGAGACTTCGCAAGCCCAGGAGTGCGTCAGTGGGTAAGCTTGTGGCAACATCGGCTCTAAACACATCACATGGGGTCGGCAGAGCAGGGTGCTCAACTCTGGCATAGGCTGGTTCAGGACAGGGACACATACCAACACCAGACGCCCCTGCCTCGGATGCAACGGATGCAGTCATGCGGCAAATCGGGGTGTGTTCAGAAACACCCGGCAACCCAGCCTCGGATGCATCAGGAGCTACGGCATGCCGAGAATCATCACCTACATGCAGACCTAGCCCTGCCTCGGATGTTTCGGGAGCATGGCTGAACACGTCCAAATCAGAAAAATCCAAAGGAATGGCATCAAGTAGATCATCTGTCAAATCAAAAGGAACAGCGTCAGCCGAAGATGACGATCTCGGATCTGGTCCCTGTGGAAGGATTCGGATGCAACGTCCTGCAACCAGTGCTTGTTCGGCAATGCAATCACCAGAGTGGGCATCACACCAGAGACCCTGGATGTCTTGTTTGGTCAGAGCGACCTCAGCCCTGTGCAACTCTGATAGCGTTGTGGATTCGGAAACCTGGACATGAACCACAGTGCCATCGGGATGGTGAATTTCTACTTTGCTCAAAGCCACCGATGCAGGCAGACTGACATGAAAAAGGTCTTGGGCAACCTGAAACAACTTCCTGCGATAAGTGGCAAGGACCTCTGCAGGATTGATCACTGGCATGCCAAATGCATGTTGCATGTGAGTTATGGCACAACCCCCGACCCAAATGGCTTGCAAAGGCGAGGCTAGTTGGCCTACTGCACACAAACACAACCTCAGATCGATGGGACCTCCCTCCAACCAGGCATGTGGTGGAATCATTCCGTTCAGCAAGGCCAATTCGACCGGGTGCACATGGCGATATGAAACCGTCCCATCTGGTGTCTGCTGCTGGAAGACCTGAGCATAGATGCCTCGTTGGCGGATCAAGGCATCGGTGAATCCAGCCTGGCGGCAGCCGCATGGGCAACTGGTAGCTTGGGATCCCCAACTGTGCAAACATGTGGGAAGCTTGCCATCTTTCTGGATAAGGTACTTACGCATGTGTGACCCATCCAACGTGAATCTTTCAACTTCAACAGGGGACAGCTGCAATTCATGTTCGGCATCGGGTCCCCATTGTTTCAATCCAGGCAACAAGTCACGAACCACTAAATGGGGAGTCTTGGGCCATTCCGGAAGGTCAACTTTGCCCAAACTGGGGTGCGTAGCAACTACCCACCATCGGAAACGCCGGGATGCCCAAACATCTTCAAGCTTCAAACAAATCTGAGTGACATGATATCCCAAGGCTGTTTCAAGAAGCTTTAGATGGGCCTGCACATATTGGTGACACCTGGCAGGGGCAACGCACTCTAAAATCAACAAGGGGCTCTGACACAAGTATCCCATGCGGATGGTGGCAGGCAATGTGGACGAACGGTCGTCTCCTGAGCCCAGCTGTGCACCTCCTGATGAATATGGCTGGCAACTGAATCCTGACATAATGGAAAACGGTGGATCAAACTGCTGAAGGAGCTCCTTGGCACTGCTTGGACAGGTGACATCAGAAACCAAGACAGGCACAGACGGGTGGCACAAACGGTGAAGGGCAGCCAAATTAGGTTTCCACTCCATGCTGGCAAGATGTGAAAAACCAACCTCAGACAAACCCAACCCAGAGCACGCAATCCCAGAACAAAGCTCCACAAACCACAGGGCGTCGGTGGCTGGCCTAAGTCCATGAGCCACCACTGCGGAAGCATCAGTGATCAACAGGTTGACACCATCAGGAGAGGGGTCCGCAAGAACGTCCAGCAAGGTCAAACGCCTACATCCACGCACCTCCCGATTGATGTCCCCATAAAGCCGCATCTTCCGTTGGTCTGGAATGGTGACCCCAGCAATCATCTCATCTGTAAATACCAGACAGTCAACAACCAGTGAAATCGAAGTACCCCGTTCCAAATGTTCCCATTTCGGTGTGAACAGGCTGTGAAGTTCAACCAAACGATCCCACTCTGAAGCCATTGCAAAAGATACGAAACGCCCGAAGTTCAGCAAGAACAAGCCCCCAAAACTGGAATGGATTCGAGCCCGGGCTTGTGTTTGAAACCACCAACCAGTATAGCTATTGTATGCTATGGTGACATATGTAATATATCCACTTGTTAAGTTGAACTGCACCCTTGAGAAAGGATGGGGAGGATAACGATCCATGCAGGGATTGAAATCCGATCTGTCTTTCCAATCGCTCTGCTCGACTGCTCAGCTATTTTCCTGCATCCCAGGAATCGTACATGGTTCATCACCATGGTACATCCGATTTATAAATGGAATATATATACCGTACATAATTTATGTTTATTCATAGCTCATTCACCACATACTAAATGGGTCTGAAAATAGGCTTTTCTTTTGCGACCACACATTTTATATAATGACATGCTTGATCATATTTCTCCAATTCAATAGCCAGTTTGCCAGGCATCTCCAGGCCTTTTGATCGGAGAGACCCTTGATGCTCAGCAACTCCTCGAGAGCTCTCGGCTGAGAAGGGGAATGTCATTATGGGTAAGTTCATAATTCCCAATGAATGAAGCAGGTAGGTCAATAACCTTGATAATCACTACTCAACCAGGCTTCCCTGCTCACGTGAGGCTTCCTTGGACCCGCCTTCTTTTTAACAATGCACATTCAAAATCCAGACTCCGGCACTGTTCAAAATTGCGGAATCGTTTACAGCACCTATTTTTATGCTCTGAAACGACCGCAAAACTCTGCAAATTGGGTATCCATCGAGCCTCATATTCTGCGAAATTTGCCATTTCGATACAGCAACCCTACTTCCTTTAGCACACAACGCCGATAATATCAGATTGTTGGCTACATATATTCAAGTATGAATATATATATATATATAACATCCCACAACAATTTATTGGCTGAAAAAACGTTGAGGTAATCTAGCATAGCATCCTGAAAAACCTTCATTGAAAAATGACTCAACGTAATCTACTTCCATGGGCCATAGGCCATAGCAAACTGTGAGTCATAACCAGAGGCTATCAACATTTTGATGGGGTAAAATCCCATCATTATCCCATTATTTACCTAATATTTCATGAAACTATACCATTAAGAGTTATATCCTCATTATATCCCTATGTATTCCCATTATATCCTTGATTTCTGATCCATTTTCAGCTTTTTGAGAGGGTACTACCAGTTGAGCCATTCAAAATATCCCATTATCCCATCTTATCCAATCGTTGGTTGATAGGTTTCCCTACCATGGCTTCTAATCCCTAAGAATCCCTCCATGCCCAATTAAGCAAGGTATGTTCTTCATGGCTCAATTACCATATTCACCATGGCTCAGTTCTACATCGATGATATACATCACTATTATAAATCATTATATAACACCATATATATATATACATATGTAACATATGTATATATATATATTATTATATATAATCACCATTATGATGACTTCCTCATGAAATCCACCATGGCAAACCCTTCTCTTCCCGTATTCCGTATAGGCTACCCCCAGCCGCGCGAAGCCGTTTCCACCGCGCCTTGCGCATGGCAAAGGCCACCGACTGCGAGGTGTTGAAGCCCGCGTCTTTCAACTTCTTCAGATCTGCCGCGTTGATTCCCGACTCCTGGTTCGATGTGTAGGACGAGGACCCAGGAATCTTTCAGGTAGTAACAACCTAGATATAGCTTGTATATGCTTATACATATATATATATATATGATCCATATATTAAGTGCTGTAGAAGATATGTTTATTAGATGTTATTAGCCACTTACAATTCCTGGGGCCCGCACAGATGGTTACCCAATCCCGCACCGATGTGTGTAGCTAACAGCTTGCTATTGAAAATGGCCATAGAAATAGTGGATTTTCCGAGCTATAAAATGGTGGATCTTTCCAGAGTTTTTTGTATACCAGAGCATTTCAGATGAGTAGTTCTCCATGTACGTCTGAAACCATTTTTTCGTCGCTCAGATTGCCACTGGTGTTTGTTTCACCTGAACTTTTCCCAGCTGAATCTGCCCACCATTTCCTTGGTGACATGGCACACCAAAGCCACCCCAAGCAAATATGGCTACCCTCTGGTAAACTAACATAGCTATGGAAAATCACCAGTTTCAATGGGTAAATCCACTATAAATGGCCATTTTAAATAGCTATGTTAAATTACCAGAGGGTATGAATCAAAAACCAAAAACCTTGGTTTCCACTTCGCCCCACACGTTGTCACTGGATCTCCCCTCCTGAAGCTTGTCGATGAGGCTGTAGGGCACCACCTCCTCACCATCATCTGCTTCCACCACGGCCATGGTACCCATAGCGCTGGCCTTCCTTTTCTGAGAGCTTTCCACGGTCACAGCTGCCATTGCAACCGAGTTTCAATAAATTCGGCGAGCGCGAAAAGGGGATGACGGCCACACTTTCAGGCGAATGGCGTGGAAGTTGTGATTTTTGAGGTGTCCTGAAATAGGGGTACCCCCAAATCATCCATTTTCCACCAAAAAAACAATCCATTTCGGGGTACCCCCATTTATGGAAACCTCCATATGTTTCGATTTTTAGTTCAGTGTTCAAACATGTGGAAGCGGTGGAAGTTCACCATGCTTTGGAAACGATTCCGTAATTCTCAAAAAAAAACGAGTCTATGAGTCTCACACCAAAACTTCACCAATGCTTCAATTCCACTTTATGAATCTTTATGAATCAGTAGTTTTTCAGAAGATTCCATAACATGATCATCGATTTTTAGTAGATGGTCATTTTTGCCTCCTTCCCAAACCAAAAAAATGTCCTTAGGACACTGTTAAAATCCCCATTTCTGCCCATCAAAAATCGTTGAATCCACAGCTTTTCCATATGGGTGGGATCAACTCACCAGCACCGTTGCCAGATTGGCTCAGCTTTCGGCCGTGCCAAAGGGCATACCCACCACTGGATCCTGGAGCCCAAAAGCTGAGCCAATTGCTTTACTGAGTTACTGGTTGGTGGTTGAGCCCTACCCCTCTGAAAAATGATGGAGTGAAAGTCAGTTGGGATGATGACGTTCCCAACTGAATGGAAAAATAATCCAAATGTTCCAAACCACCAACCTATCATTAGGATAAGAAGAACATGATTATGATGAGCAGTATATATATATGTATGTATATATATGTATGTATATATGTATATGTGTATATATACGAACATAGGTCGGATGATGGGATTTGGGGGAAGTTTTTAAGCGGCTTTCAACTTTTCAGTGGCATCCTTTTGAAAATGCCAAAAGAAAATGCGGGGAGATCACCGAACCAAATGGTGGATTTTCGCCATACCGAATGGTATATCTTTAAGGTCGGACCGGAGTGCATCTCAGATCTCCAAATCCAATCAGAATTGAAAAGGAATCCCCAAGTACTGGGAAATGATGTTTCTACTCCCAAAGTTAAAAAGGTCTGGGTTCCCTGCTTGTGAGTAACATTCTAGCTCTATCTCGGTCTCAGCATCATTTAAGATTGTCTCAAGATAGTGTATGGTTGTCATTAAGATGTTTACCTCATGAAAGTTGCCATAAAATTAGCTATCCCCCAATAATGTCCTTTTGGTAAAAATAGAGGGGCCGGTTTGGTATACCATCTATCATCAAACAAACCTGTTGTTAAAGGGGTAAACCTTCAAATCAATGGGACAAGGACATCGACATGGTACCCTCTGGTAAACTAACATAACTATGGAAAATCACCATTTATAGTGGATTTTCCCATGAAAAATGGTGGATCTTTCCATCGTTTTTCGTACGTTTACCAGAGGGTCTCCCCATGTATCCCATTTCCAAACACCAGCAGCCTGGTCGATCATCACCAGCACGTCTCCAGTTCGGATACCTGCCTCAATCCAACACGATAGGTAGGTTTTTGGACAAAGCAACGCAGTGAAAAGCGACGAACTGTTTTTCTCGTTGGGAATTTGTGATGTTTTGAACCAGAGGATTTGGGGTTTTTGACCGGTTTTTGACGTATTTTTGGATCAAACCACATTCAAAAATTGGAAATACGCAGTGATAAAACGGACACAAATGAAGTTGAACCCAAGAATAATACAGATCAAAACAACAACACAAGAAATGAAGCCAGCAAAAGAATATTATAACACCAAAACTTCGGGTGAAAATGCATATTTGGACGGAACCAACAAAAAAAAGACGATGAAGGCGGAGGTGACACAAGTAAAACCGTTTTTCGGGCGGTGAGAGAAGCCATTTGACCTTCACAAAACTGTGAAAAATTGGATGTTCACCAACTAAGATAACTGGAGGTTTCCTAAGTCATGGGGTACCCCCAAATCATCCATCTTTGAGAATTTCCACCAAAAAAATCATGTCCAGGTGACCTCAAGATGCTCTCAGAGAAAAGTAGCTAGTAGTTATGGATGTTCATCCCAAATATTGGCCAAAAAAATGGTGAAAAAAGCCCCAAATCTGCTAGAAAAAACGAACTCAGAATCAGAAGCATAAAAAAGACCTTTTTTTGTTTCACAAAGCCGGATCGCAAATTCTCGGTGAAATTGATAGTATCATCTTCTGGAGAAATATCAATCTCGAAATTTCCCAAAGTAAAACCAACCCAAGGAATGATTTTGTACACCCTCTGGTAAACCAACAGTTTGCGAACTGGAAAATCACCATATGTCAAAAGGTATAAATCAACTATTTCCATGGCCATGTTCGATAGCAAACTGTTAGTCATTACTAGAGGCTACAAGTGGATTTTCCCATTGAAAAATGGTGATTTTCCATCGTTTTCCATCGTTTTTTACTAGAGGCTACATTCCAATAACTGGATGATTTTCCCATTTAAAGAAGCCCATTAAAGAACCGCGAAGCGCCTGAGCGAGAGATGTGGCTTCCCCCTGAGCGGAGGTTGCGGGAGTCCATGGTGTTAGGACGACACTGTATGATTTTTTTGGGGAGCATACTGGGTTAATGGTGTTGAATAGTGTTGGATACTGGTAAATACTGGTTAATGATGGTTAATAATGGTTAATAATTGGAATAATGTGGTTAAAACAATGTCATAAACCACCCATGACTGGGAATGGTAAACATAGCACCTATAAAAATGGTGATGACTGGGGGATGGTAAACATGGCATTGTTTTACCCACATGAATCTCTTTCCCCTAATATTAAACATAGCTATTGAAAATGGCCCAGTCGAAATAGTTGATTTACGCTATAAAATGGTAGATTTTTCCATTTTTTTGTAAACATTTACCAGGCCGAGTACCCTCTGGTAATTTAACATAGCTATTGAAAATGACCATAGAAATAGTGGATTTTCCCATTAAAAATGGTGGATCTTTCCATTGTTTTTTGTAAACGTTTACCAGGCCGGGTATATGGTTTACTAGGGAATCTACACATCTGTGGGACCAAAATCTCGAATCCGATCATCCCATCGATCATCCCATCGAAAATCTCGAAGCGATATCGGGGGCAACAACGGTGCGTGTCTGAAGCCACCATGGCTTAGATATTTCGCCAGTCGTGACCCCGGGAGATCCCCAGTCATTTATCTTATATGAATGGAATATGAAAGGAAGATGAGTGGAATATGAATGGGATATGAATGGAATATGTGCTAATACCCTTCAGTCACTAAACATGGCTAGCTGGAAAATCCCCGAACTATATAAAAATGGAGGTTTGTACCTGAGAAAATCATCTAGTTGCTAGTCATTAGCGAAGTGGCTGTATGCTGAGGTACATCCCATCCCAGTGATGCAGTAAGGAGTTGGAAGAGAATTTTGGCATCGCAAAAATATGGGTGTGTCTGAAAATGATGGGGTATATCTCCAATTTTATGGAAAATCTCCAATTTGCTGATATAGATACTCCGATTTACATAGGGAAAATGATGATCAATGGGAATTTCAGGATCCTAAAATGGAGGTACCTACCATATATAAGGCCTATAAAAGGGCTATGTAAGGGGATACCCCCCCAAAATATGGCCAAAAATATGGTACTAACGTACCTCCATTTTAGGATCCTGGAGATCTCCCATTGAGATGAGAAACTGATAAGTGGGATTTGGGATACCCCATTTAGATAAACCCCATCCTCGTAGCATTGATGAAATGTCCGCGGACACATATCATTGCCATTTCACCTAACGGAAATTGGGATATCACATGATATCACCAACAAACAAAGTACATGCCACAAGGATATACACTGGTATAGGTCGAAATAGAAATGGGATACATTACTACAATCAACCACAACTTGGAACCCAAATATGTCAAAACTCTTCTGTTTGCACCAGTGTTTGTCCAAAAATAGGGGATGCCCAATAACTATACGAAGAATGAAGCACTTTCAGAAAAACGACACAAAAAAAAAAAAAACATATCGTATCTTTTGCCAAAAGAAAACGGAGAAGAACTTGAAGAGTTAAAAGCAATAGTTTGATACAGTTTTCTTCCCCACATTTTTTACCCAACTCACTTCTTTCGAACTTGATCATATTTCGAGAGAATTCCCTGGTTACCAAGTCCCCATAGTGTATACACAGGATATGGGTGACCCAACTGGTTTAACCTCTGGTAAACTAACATAGCTAGTGAAAATGGCCATTTATAGTGGATTTTCCGAGCTATAAAATGGTGGATCTTTCCATCGTTTTTTGTTAGTTTACCAGAGGGTAACTGCAGTAGAATGATCCCCGATGGCCCAACGAGATCAGTTCGGTCAACCGCGACTTTCGCAGAAAGGTGCCTCGTTGGTAAAGCCGTTCACCGTGCAGAAGCGCATGGTGGGGTCAGAGCCTGCTGGGTCCAGGTTGGTTCCACACAAAATGCTACCACTGTTGGGGGATACCACCGCTGATTTCCAGCTTTACCAAAAAACAAACTCTAACAGTTTATCCTATATCTATGTCTGTTTATCCCCTGGGGGTAGTTTGGATATATCTAACTCTAACAGAGATGTTGCAATGCAAGGGTAGTTTGGATATAAATTCCTATGATTTCCGACTGTCGGTTTATCCCCTGGGGGAGACCCCGGATACCAAAAATTGACGTCTGTTTGGAAGGGAAAAACCAGAAGAGAAACGGGATTTGGAGGTATCCTACTGTACAATCCCATCATCTTTGAAGAATATGGTTTATATAAACCACTCGCATCATTCAGGTATAACCATCCCCTACTATGGAAATACATATATTATATTCGATCTGAAGTTGATGGAATATAAAGAATATTTAAAAATCATCAAAGATCTTCCCATTTTTGTGGGGAAAGAATTTGAGATGTTCATATGGGTTTGTCTGAAAATAGGGTTTTGATATAATCATTGGATTGGTTTAAGGGAAAATTTATAGGAAACCCCTATATTTAATGGTAAAAACCATGGTTTCCTGTAAATATCTACTCCAGGATGACTTTTCTGTCGATCATCGTCAAGTGTCTCCAGGCGATACCATTGACGCCATCAGGGAAGGCAACCTGACGCCACGGGTGCGAGACCATTGACGGTTAAATGGTACAGCCAATGGAGCAAAACTGCAAATAAGATGGGTAGATATGTGAATGTGTCTGAAAATGTTGTGTACCTCATTGTACCCAATGGTTTTGTCTGATCATTATCCCTATGAAAAATGGCTATTTCATTGGGAATATACCCTATTTTCAGACAAACCCATGTGATGTTTCCAAATTTACTATAGAGATTCCTAAAGATCGCTAAAGATCACTCATATTGTGATATTTCCATCTGATTTGCATCTGTGAAATAAACTGGGCCTTCGAAATGTCACTGGTATGACAATAATATTGGTAGCATAGAATATCATAGAATATAAGATGTAAAAGATACCTCAAGAACATGCGTTGTGTACAAGATACTCGGATGACTTCTTATGTAACAAGCTGTTTCCAAAGCTGGTGATTCTAGATCCCCAATTCCTGACCCTGCTGACCAACCAGTTACTAAGAGCTATGGCCATTCAGCCATACTGCTGCTAAATGCACCATAAGACTTACGATCAAACGTAAATCCGCCATGGCCGCCGACACGGCGTTTAAACAACAAGTTACACAAGTTCTCAACTCGATCATTTGCAGCAAACCCATATATGGTAGGCCTTACATATGGTAGGTACCTCCAATTTAGGATCCTGAAATGGCCATTGATTTGCAGCAAACCCTGAAAATGCTTTGGTTTCCGACTCCAAGACGACTTGTCTCGGTGCCAAACAAGCCATCGCGAGCCCGGCTGGGGATCCGAACTGTGTACAGTTGGGCCGCCAACCTCAGATGGAAATCGATCCCAATTTCTGATTAGATCTGATGCATCATGGCAATGTATGGATGAAAAGTTCAGATGATAAACTTTACCCATGTTGGGTATGGTAATGTTATAGAATGTTCATGTGATTTTACCCAGATGATGAACTTTGGAGACATGTCTCCAAAGTGAAACCTTCTACACATTGAAAATCCGTTTTTTTCTTCTCAAGCCCACTTTGAGAACAAAGTAGAATTGGAACGTGTGGAATGGATGAAAATCAACCATTCTGGGTGACATCTTTTGACCCATACTGGCAGTATTTTCACGAGAAATGTTAAAGGTTTTAACCAGCAAAGACCAAAAAAATGCTTTCTGAAGATGCACAATGATGAGTAAACCATTGCATTTCTGTGTATTCACCGCAATTTCAGACAAACTCATTTCAAGTCCAAGTGATGTTACACTCCGATGGTGAAATATCTGGGGGCTCCAATAAGATATCACTAAAGTTTCCAGTACATAGTACTTAAATATTGGCAAATCATTATGGAAAATATAGCTAACACAAGGAAAATCAACTGCCAATCCCCGTTCTTGGCTTCTTAACCTCTATTTTACTGACGAAATCTCCATTTTTTTCCTGGTTAAACCATGTTAAAACCCCATTTCATTGAGTTAAATCATCTTAAATCCACCATTTTCTGTGGGTTAAATCCCCCCGTCAAGTCGCTCAATGAGGTCCGTCCGCTCGCCGTCAATCTCGGTCCTGGCTGGGGTGAAATCTATGGGATTCTCCGGAAAAATCCTGGTGAAAAAAATGGAACACCTGGAAAATGGGGAAAATATTTATGGTTTTTTAATGGAAAACACTCTGAAGATATCAATCTATATGTCTGGAACATATGGAAAAATCTATATCTTTTTTTATGCGGATACTAAAATGGTCTGATGACTTGGATGATGGAAAATGATGGAAACTATATGGGTTTGTCAAAAAATGGGGCCCTTAAAATCCACTAAAATTGCAACTTGGGGAGTACCCTGTTTTCGGACAAAGATGCAACAAAAATACTAGAAACATCTAACATGGAAAAATCGATTGGACAACAGTCTATAAATATGAAAAACATATGAGGGACATAGATGGGAAGACCATCAAAAACTGGGGGATTGATATGTATTTCTATCACAGGCCCCCTGGTGACTAAAGATGGGCGGAAAGGATAAATTGAAAAATCTGTGTCCGAAGACAGATCGTCTTCCAAATGTTCGTAGTTCTCCTCAGGGAGGTCAGACCTTTGCTTTCGCCATTTTTCATACCCTCTGGTTATGACTAACATAGCTATTGAAAATGACCATAGAAATAGTGGATTTTCCCATTGAAAATGGTGATTTTCCACAGTTTTTGGTATGTTTACCAGAGGGTACATTCTTCGGAAGATGGTATGAGCTCTGACCACTGTTGGAAGTTCCATCTTGAGTTTCCAAACGTGATTTGCAGCGTTCGGAAAAGCTTCCATTTACCAGGAAGCGTATCCTCTAAGAATTTTATCCGAGGGGTATAGCCCATTTTCAGATACACCCATATGAAGTTGTTTCTTTTCCCCAGTATATCCAATCATATCCAAGTATATCCCATCAAGTATCCCATCAAATGCATTCATAATCATCCAAGTATATCCCATCGAGTATCCCCATAAAATGTTGTTTTTATCATCAATCAAACAAAGCTTGCTGATAGGATTTGCTTGGTTATTGATTGATGAATCAAGATGATGTATCCCCATAAAATGCTCATAATATCCAAGATGTACCATCTGGTTATTTAACATAGCCATGGAAAATCCCTTATAAATGGCGGGTTTTAATGGGAAAATCATCTATTTCTATGGGCCATGGCTTCCATGGTGAACTGTTAAATAACCAGAGGGTATCAATCAAAAATCCTCAAAGTTTGCGACAGTCGTTCTGTATCCCAGAAAATCCCTACCACGAAATCAATCAGATCATCACACCCAACAGCGAGTTCTTCGTTGGTTGCTGGTCAAAATACCCCAAGTCCCCCAAAAAAAAACGATAAAATCCCATGTCTTTCTCTTGAAGTCCATGAAATCCCATTCAATTTGCTTATAAGTACATTAAGTCCCATTAAAATTCATGGTTCATGTTTAATTTCTCTCAAAATACCATGAAATCCATCTCTTGTCCATTAAAGTCCATTAAAACTATGGAAAATCACCATTTTTGATGGGAAAATCACCATTAAAGTCCATTAAAATCCCAATTCCCAAGGGACCCAAGGGACCCATCAACTGGTCCCACAACTTGCGCCAGCTGGACCAGTCGAAGACCCATCCCCTACCGTCCAGGAGCTCGAAGTAGCGTCGCCCCGCACGGCGAATCTGAAACAACCGCCCCGTTGAAAAAAATGGGTAGAAAAGCATCAAAAATGGTGGTTTAATATGGTTTAATATGGTTTAATATGGTTTGATATGGTTTGATATGGTTTAATATGGTTGATTTCACTATAGCTTGACCATGCTTTACTTACAAGGTGAATCCTATGGTTCATGATGATTGTAGCTATAGTTTCCTATGGTTCATGGTGATTGTAACCATAGTTCAATGGGGGTTCTAAACCAACTTGTAACCAGACCACATTGCGGGAAACCCTTGGTGAGAATTCATCCAAATATGGAGGTGAAACCGTTTTTAAGTGTAAAAAAACTACCCTAAACATCTCCCCCCATGACAATTCAGGTATGGATAGAGCACTGGCCATTGGTAAACCCCCAAAATGTTCTGCACACAAATAGCACCAAGAAGCATGGGAGATCCTGTAAGGTGGTACTATGTTGGGCATAGTTTCACTGCACTACTTCGATATATTTTGGGAAATCGTGTACCCCTAAACCCAATGGTGAATGATCCTAATGATCCTCATTCCTATTAAATGGCTATAATTCATTGGGGTATAGCCTATTTTCACACAAACCTATGATTATACTTGGTGGCTCATCCCACGGCTCGTAAGTGGGTTATAACCCCAGTGATTTACATGGGACAAGTAGGGTTAATCCACTTATAATTTGGGTTATAACTCACTTACTAAGTGGGATGAACCACCAAGTATCTACCATAAACCAGCTTGAATTCACCGTGATCATGAACGAACTGCACCAACTTTGCGAACGAACTGAAGCATCACCGGCCGGCTATGGATTGTACGAGCGCAAATTTCGAAAACGATCTGACCAAAGGTGAAAAATTAATTCCAAGTTTTTGACTGCAAGGATGATAGATTCTCATCTTTACAAGTTGCCAAAATCTGACAAGTTCATAAAAATCATGTGGTTTAATATGGTTTCATATGGTTTAATATGGTTTGATATGGTTCGATATGGTTCGATATGGTTTCATAAAAATCATAGGTCTTAACCCATCCCCGTCTTCATAAGTAAATCCTCCTACTTCTGCTCCAATTCCCCCATTTTTCATGGCCGAAAAATGGCCTCAGTTTTGACTTCGAAGCATTCGCCCATCAGTAGATCTTCGCCCGTTCGTTTGGCTGCGATGCTGGCTTCCTTCCGGATACCTCGACGCGGTATCAGAAATGGAAAAATCTGGTGGATCCCCCACCATTAAGAAAAAATCTGCAAAAGCCGATCTTTGGGGTAGAGTTTCTACCATTGTTTCCTGTAGATTTTCCCATAAACCCAGTGAGAGAAAGGGAACGGCATCCGAAAAATGTGGTGACACTAGTTCTGGAAGAACTCAGCGGCGGTGGGTATGAGTCCTTTTTTTAACTGTAGCGGAAGGTGGAAAGTGCTGATCTACATGCAGTATTGTCATGTCAATAAAGAAGATGATGATAAAAACTATCGGATCTTTGGGTGTTCATTGAAAATTTGATTCTCAAACAAACCTGCCTGTCTCCAGGTTGTGCCCCATCAATTTCAGCTATATCCATGATGTCCTATTGTTTGTTGGTCACATATCCCCATCCTGAAACGTTAAACCCGGTATGTGTTCGATGGTTTTCCCAACTGTAATTTTTGCGTAATCACTAATTTCATGACTACTCTCTGGTTATTTAACATAGCCATGGAAAATGGCCCATTTATAGATGGTTTACCTGGGTTTACCTATTAATAGCATGGTGGATCTTTCCATGGCAAAATGTGAATGTCATAACCAGATGGTAACTATTTTGATGCTGGTTATTGGATGGTTACCCTCTGGTAATTTAACATAGCTATTGAAAATGACCATTTATAATGAATTTACCCATTGAAAATGGTGATTTTCCATAGTTTTTTGTATGTTTACCAGAGGATATCCTATCATGAGTTATCATGTGCTTGGGAAACTCGATTCCCAGCACCAACTGGCGATACCACTGGCTCCCCATTTAAGGGAAAATGGTGACTGGTCACTTTTTCTGTCACCGTAACCAAGCACCTAAGCAACAAAAACCTATAACCATTAACATCCATTAACATCCATGAACATCCACTAACCATGGATAACCATGGATAACCATGGATAACCATGAAAAGGTCCATACCACTGGATCACCATGGATATCCAATTTCTAAGCTGGAGACCGATGCCCAAATCGTAGCAGACTCGGTAAACCCTGCGGCATGGGATGGGTTTCAAGGGAACCTACAGTACAAGGTGGTGCCCCAGTGAGCTAAATCGCGAAGTTGGTGCGGTTATAACTCCAATTTCACAACTTGGTTTATGGTAGATATATCAATACGCCAACTGTGGTTTATAAACCAACAAACATCACTGGGGGGCACAATCTTGTATAGACAGTTGGGGGAAGAATGTCGCTATGAAAATCGAAAATTCCCCAAGAAACCCATAGAGATTTTCCCCATAAAAATCGTGATGTCCGGAGTCCCGTTCCCTCTAACTCTAAGACCTGGCCACTTAGCATTGGATGACAGTCGGTTGGGGGCCACATCAAAAAACATTTGGAAATCGATGACGAAAGAGTGGCTCGAATATGCTGCCATAAGCACGCGCATCTTGGGCTTTTTTGGGGTGGAGTTACAACACTTTGAAGATGGCAGAATGTATTTTTGGGATCATTCTGATAGTAAAAAAAACTCTATCTGATAGTTAAATTACTATCAGTTAATGGATTAAGTTATTGAATTTTGATATGATGTAGTAAACTGACTAGTTAACAACTCCAGAAACCAACCACGGCCAGGGTCATTCTGCATGATCCACGAGGGGTGTAGCCAGGATCATAGAGTAATAAACCCCAATCCAGGATGGTGACATTGGGTTTGCCTCATGGCAAAAAGTGTATGGTTAAAGACAACAAATGTCATGATTCGTTTAAAAAGGGTCATTGGTGCACCATTGTTTGAACCATAATCATGTGCATTTGCCTGGTTGAACTCCTCAATGTGGTCAGCTGTTGTTAGTTTTGGCTGTCAAAGTGTGTCTGGCTCCAGATCCTAAAGAGTCATTTAGAATAAACAAATCATTCTCAAAGCCCTGAAATGACCAGTCAATTGTGTTGTTTGACCAGTCAATCACAGAAGCACCTGGAGGTTTCCTAGAGGTTTCCTAAGTCATGGGGGTACCCCCAAATCATCAGATAGTTTCAGACTTTCCAATACTTGGTGGCTCATCCCACGGCTCGTTTTTGTGGGTTATAACCCCAGTGATTTAGAAATGGGATAAGGAGCGGGTTAATCCACTGAAATAATTGGGGTTATAACTCACTTACGAGCAGTGGGATGAACCACCAAGTGCCTACCAGATATTGGGGTACCCCCCCCATGATTGGAAACCTCCACCAGGTCCTCCCACCGGATCCCCAATGGGGATCCCCTCAGCCGGTGCGCCTGCCATCGCCAGGTACTACTTCCTGCGGATTCAAAAAAATTACAGATTAAGGGGATTAAAATGGATTAATATGGTACTCACAGGTACCTCAATATGGTTTAATCTACTTTTAATCCATGGTTCCTGCGAATTTAAGGGAAACCATGGATATTTAAATATAAAATTCATGGATCCATTTCCCCTAGGGAAAAACCATGGATTAAAAATTCATGGATCCTGAAGCTGAATTTTAAGGGGAACCATGGATTAAAATCAGCTTAAGGGTTTCCACCATCCAGCTGATGTGAATCACTGGATTAAAAAAATTGGGAACATCGGAAAGCATGGATTAGAAAACCCCGAATTGGCGATTGTCCTCTGGATTTTCCCTTGAACGAATCCTGGGATCCAGGGAAACAACAAAAAATCGCATGAGTTGAAAGTTCAACACCTCATTTGGAGGTTTGTAAGATCTGGGGATGGGTCAAAACCCTGGTACCTTTTGTTCACCCCAAGTCATAGCTGGGTTAAAATGAATGTTCATCCCACTATAGTAATGGTATCTATAGCTATTGACCCATACCCATATGGCTACCCCCAAACCGACCATGGGTTTTCTCACGGAATTCGGCTCCTCAGTGAGGGTGTCCAGTTCTCCACCGATGCCTTATTTCAGCTTGGTGAATTATGTCGAGTTTGTCCAGAGGTTCAAATGCATAGCAGGATTGTATATATACGCACTTAATGGTCACCATTATACGTCATTAGTATATTTAGTACACATACTTTATATCTATATATATATACACCAGGATCTTCATTTGTAGCGCAATTTTGGGTACGTGCACTTTCAGGCAAGTTTCAACAAATTTCTGCGCAATCCTGAAATTTCAGGACGTTTGCACCGAAAATGTGCAAATTCATGCGCAACACCTTCAGATCCACCGCATTTATACCTTTTTTTGGATTTGTGTGCATTTTGCACATTTTTGTGCACTTTTTGCACTCCGATTTCCAAGCGTTTTGTAAGTGGAACTCGCCCGGGCATCCAAAAAAGTGCCTTTTCGTTTTGGCAACAACGAAATTTGAGTTTCAAATGGAATTGCACACAAATTTCAGGTACGTTTGAAGGTCCAGGTGATATGTGTGTGTGTGTGTCATATGTATTAAATACATAGACACTGTACATATGTACTTATAAGTGGGGATATCCTGATTGAAATAGAGTTGTTATTCCTACACATTTATGTGGGGTGGTGTTTAGCTCAAAATGGGTGTTGGACCCTCCCATGGGATTTCCGAACATGTAGGCTTTTGCCTACATAGGTAGTGTGACATTCCCTGAGGTGATTGCATCTTTGCTAACACAGCCCGCGCATGTGGAGATTCCGGGCTGTCAAACTAATATCAATTCAGATTCACATGAAACTGATTTATGAGCTGCACGTGAAGCTCACTGGTGGAATGCCATCTGTTGCTACAAGATCAATGATTTGAGCATGAGGTCAATGAAATACCCTCTGATAAATATGGAAAATCACCATTTTCAATGGGTAAATCAACTACAAATGGCCATTTTCAATAGCTATGTTAGTTTACCAGAGGGTAGCATGAATGAAGCAGGTGGCTACATCAGAGTGCCAAACCTCGGGTTTTCCCTCTTAACTACGAATTCATGAGGAAAAAAACTACTGAATTGTTACTAGTCTGTCTGGTATCCCTCTTCGTTCTTACAGTCAGCACTACTTGTTTCCCCAGTCGTGGACTTCTGGGATGTCTGTGCGACATCCTTCCAGTCTTACCACCAGCCTGGAATGATAACAAAAATATTGCTTACCTTGTTGCTATCACTTCCATTATCCCTTCAGTAATCATCGATAATGATCAATAACTAGCAAATGCACCTCAGAAATAATCAATTTATAAGCTCAAGTGTGACTGTGACACATGTTAATCAATAATAACTACAAATATCAATAAGTGATCATCATCTAATACTTTAGTAATTCCTTAAGATTAGCTAAACATGTTCGCATTTCGTGGGCTGTTCCCAACCTCAGCCGGACGTGGTTTCACGTCCAAACGCTCCAGCCGCGCCTTTGTCTGCCACCATGAGGTCTACCCCACCACCACCGTCTGGAGCCTTAGGGATGGCCCAACTTCTGCGGGCATTTAAGTGTAATAACTGTGTATGCGCAAAAATACACTAAAATTAACTGTGTGATCAGCAGTTAAGCGGCCTAGAGTTGCACGTCACAGCACGAGTTCCGACTAAAACATGTGTATGTATGTATGTATGTATGTAGGTAGGTAGGTAGGTAGGTATATATGTATATGTATATATATATACGTAGATATAATTGGATAGATATATATATATATAATATTAGAAATTAGACATATATGGAACAGTAGTTTCAAGAGGTTAAGGAAGCAACATATTTGACCTCTTCGACCCCTTACCATACAGCTTGACTATCTCGCCGGCCGGGCCAAGTTTCGACACTGCGTGAACTGACATCCCGACTTGAGTTTCCAAAATGCCATCCTATGGTTTAAATGAACCGTCAATCAAACCACCACTCCAATGGTTTATCAGCATGCCCAATTCGGAAAAAATAATCTGAGATCCATGACTGAGCCACAAATTCAGAGTTTTGCCCCATTTTCAAGCCCACAAATAGTTGGTTGATAAAAGATGATAAAAGTATCTAGTTGGTCAAAAACCTTCAAATCCATGGTTGGTACGTGTGTAGCCTCAAAAAAAGTTGGGGGGAAAAATCATCACCATCAATTTTCCATCTGTGCCAAACAAATGGGACCCCATAAATCCCCACGTTTCATGGATTGAGGATCATCCCGCCCAAAACCACAAAATTTCGGGTGGATCCATGATTTCCACGACACATCTGGGTCTACTTGGTCTCCGGACCCATCTGGGCACCTTCCTCCGCACCATCTGTGGGCCCGTCTTCACCCGGGCCAGCCCGGCTGGCGCGGGACGGCGGGGTGCCGGCGCAGCGGCGGTGCTATCGGTGAGGTCGCGCACGTCGTCTTGAGCGACGGGGTCAGCGGCTTCCTCCTGGTCTGGAAAGGACCCCAGGGTACCTCCAAAGTCCCCATTTTGATTGGGAAAAAGATGCTGATTTTTGAAGTCCATGATGAACCAAGGAAAAGTGATAGTCAATGCTGATCAATGGATTGGTTGGAGAAACTTCGAAACCAGTTCTTTGCCCAACGATCCCTGACCCTTCCTATCGCCAAATATGTGAGGAATGCCGGCAAATGGATGGAAACAAGTTGAAATTGCTGAAAACAAAAAACATGACAAAGAGGAGGTTCAAGGTCAACAAATTGAAGAAATTAAAGCCAAACGCTTCAAAATCGACCCTGCAGCTGGTTGATGGCAGCATGTGAAGCCATTGGGATTGCGTGACTGAAGACTTAGTCTTTCAATCTTGATATGTATAAGACCTATTATTTGTATAGTAGCCACCAAAACAGATAGAAAAAGACCTATCACTATTCTAGGGGTTCCTATCTTATATATATATATAAATATGTATATTTATATATGTAATTTTTCTATCACAGCAAGAATAGTCACGGAGCACTTTTATAAACCCTATCAATTTGAGGTGTGCTTTCTATCTTTTCTTTCACTCTTATAAAGAGTCCCCTAGAAAACATAAAAGTGAAAGGGTCATAACTTTTTAGAAAAAGTGCAAGGATTGACTATTAAAAGAAAAATCTTTTGGCGAAACTAGAATCAAACAATTCGGATCCCTCTACTTGGGCCATGTGCTTTTCGTATTTCTCCGGCCAGGAAAAATTCCCGCTGCGCCGAGCCTGCCTTCTTTGGTGTGTCTGGGGCGAACCTGTGGAGAAATGATCTACATTTCTGGTGGAGTTTCATGGTTTTTATATGAGATTTAGTGGGATTTTACCATCAATTCGAAAGGTGCTCAAGTTCAAAAAAATAAGGTGTTTTGTCGATCTACTGGAGGGCATGGTGTGCTTTTTTCCGCTGCTATTAGTGTGTTACAAAGATCAATGACTGGGAGGTTTTCTGAGGAGTTGATTGGCACGGCTTCTGATTTCCATTGGTTCATCATTGGAATGGCTGCGTTAAATGAACCCATTGGTATCTTACTCATTCCATTGCCAAGTCAACATGAAGGTCCATATGAACAAAAAAACGTCTACCCTCTGGTAATTTGTTACATAGCGAACTGGAAAATCACCATTTTTAATGGGAAAATCCACTATTTCTATGGCCATTTTCAATAGCTATGTTAAATTACCAGAGGGTATCTCCATTCAATTTAGATCTTCAGAAAAGATTTTGAGATGTTCAACCCTTCTTCTGATGTCCCCTAACTCGGCACATTCAGAAAGCCGCCTAGGTTTCGCACGCCGACGCGATGAACGCCTATAAGCCTCTCGTTGACGGATGTTGGATGTTGACATCCCAATGAGGAAATGTCTGGGAGCCGCGGCTATGAGTGTGGTATAATTTTCCAATCATACTGTGTATATAAATCATCATGGTATCTCCATATCCTATGTCAGCTATGTGTATGGTTGTATTCCAAGGTACCCAGAACTGCTGGGTCATATCCCCATATCCAGTCATTATAGCAATACCAATAACATTATATTGACCCAATAACACTTTCCAATAACATTATAAGTTGAATTTTAATACCAATTATATCCCAATAACATTATCCAATAACATTATAATACCAATAACATTATATTGACCCAATAACATTTTCCAATAACATTATAAGTTGAATTTTAATACCAATTATATCCCAATAACATTATCCAATAACATTATAATACCAATAACATTATATTGACCCAATAACATTTTCCAATAACATTATAAGTTGAATTTTAATACCAATTATGACCCAATAACATTATCCAATCAGATTATGATACCAATAACATTATTTGACCCAATAACATTTTCCAATAACATTATAAGTTGAATTTTAATACCAATTATGACCCAATAACATTATCCAATAACATTATAATACCAATAACATTATATTGACCCAATAACATGTTCCAATAACATTACAAGTTGAATTGTAATACCAATTATGACCCAATAACATTATCCAATAACATTATAATACCAATAACATTATATGATCCAATAACATTTTCCAATAACATTATAAGTTGAATTTTAATACCAATTATGACCCAATAACATTATCCAATAAGATTATGATACCAATAACATTACATGACCCAATAACATTTTCCAATTACATTATAAGTTGAATATTAATACCAATTATGACCCAATAACATTATCCAATAACATTATAATACCAATAACATTATATTGACCCAATAACATTTTCCAATAACATTATAAGTTGAATTTTAATACCAATTACGACCCAATAACATTATCCAATAAGATTATGATACCAATAACATTATATGACCCAATAACATTTTCCAATAACATTATAAGTTGAATTTTAATACCAATTATGACCCAATAACATTATCCAATAACATTATAAGTTGAATTTTAATACCAATTATGACCCAATAACATTATCCAACAACATTATAATACCAATAACATTATATGACCCAATAAAATTTTCCAATAACATTATAAGTTGAATTTTAATACCAATTATGACCCAATAACATTATCCAATAACATTATAATGCCAATAACATTATATTGACCCAATAACATTTTCCAATAACATTATAATACCAATAACATTATATGACCCAATAACATTTTCCAATTACATTATAAGTTGAATTTTAATACCAATTATGACCCAAGAACATTTTCCAATAACATTATAATACCAATAACATTATATTGACCCAATAACATTTTCCAATAACATTATAATACCAATAACATTATATGACCCAATAACATTGTCCAATAACATTATAAGTTGAATTTTAATACCAATTATGACCCAATAACATTTTCCAATAACATTATAATACCAATAACATTATATTGACCCAATAACATTTTCCAATAACATTATAATGCCAATAACATTATATGACCCAATAACATTTTCCAATAACATTATAAGTTGAATTTTAATACCAATTATGACCCAATAACATTTTCCGATAACATTATAATACCAATAACATTATATTGACCCAATAACATTTTCCAATAACATTATAATACCAATAACATTATATGACCCAATAACATTTTCCAATAACATTATAAGTTGAATTTTAATACCAATTATGACCCAATAACATTATCCAATAACATTATAATACCAATAACATTATATTGACCCAATAACATTTTCCAATAACATTATAATACCAATAACATTATATTGACCCAATAACATTATCCAATAACATTATAAGTTGAATTTTAATACCAATTATGACCCAATATCATTTTCCAATAACATTATAATACCAATAACATTATATTGACCCAATAACATTTTCCAATAACATTATAAGTTGAATTTTAATACCAATTATGACCCAAGAACATTTTCCAATAACATTATAATACCAATAACATTATATGACCCAAGAACATTTTCCAATAACATTATAATACCAATAACATTATATGACCCAATAACATTTTCCAATAACATTATAAGTTGAATTTTAATACCAATTATGACCCAATAACATTTTCCAATAACATTATAATACCAATAACATTATATTGACCCAATAACATTTTCCAATAACATTATAATACCAATAACATTATATTGACCCAATAACATTTTCCAATAACATTATAATACCAATTATATTCCCATTTTTAGAATTTTAAGTTGAAGACTTCTTGAAATGTCCAGAACTGCTATCATTCTCTCCTCCAGGATGGCACTCAACCACAGTGCCCGGTGCCCCCTCTGTTAATATCTGTTGCTTGAGAACTCACCCTATGAACTAGTTCGATTTATTGGTTATACACCAACTTAGCTTTCCTGGTTGGTGGTTGAGCCCTACCCCTCTGAAAAAAAAAAATTGAGTTCGTCAAATGGGAGTATGATTCCCAATATATGGAAAAATAAAAAATGTTCCAAACCACCAACCAGATAAATATTGTATCGCTCCCCTTTTTTGGACGGCTAAATCCCCATCTTCAGTGGTGAAACCCTTGATTTAGTGAGTTAAATCACCAACTGAACGATTTCAAACCCCATCACATGGATTTACTATCAGTCCCATGTTTGATGGTGAAATCCCCACAATATGATTTGTTAAATCCAAACCTCTAGCGGTTGAACCCCATTTTGGCAGTTACTGTAAGTCCTTGTTGTTGACGCTTACAGAATATTCCTGTGAACTTCAATATCAAATCCCCAACAAAATCCCCAGTTAATGCCATACACTATCCCCAATATTACCATCTTTATGGATGGTAATGTCAACCCCAGATGAGACTAAACCATGGTTTGTTAATTAGGGGGAGTACTCCCCAAATAGTCATAATATGATACTTAAATCCCCCCAATGAAACAACCGTAAACAGGGTTTATTAATCCAGGGTTGACATTATACATCATCCCCAGTCATGGCAGGTTGCCAGGGTGAATCCCGAACAAACATTAAATCACCATAAATGAACAGGGTAACCATTATTAACCATCATTAACCATGTGGGATATGATGTAAATGAACAAACATTTGGGCACTGACCGCACCCACCCCCAACGCACCTGGGCGATTCCCAGTGACGCCCCCGCGAGGCACGCCGTGGAACCGCTGCTGTGCGGCGCCGATGACACGGCACGGCGGTGGCCCTGGTCGCGGCTCACCTGTCACGGTGGCACCGCGGTGGGAACAATGATGGAAAATAACTTACATCTACCATCTGGTTATTTATGGTGATTTAATGGTGATTTAATGGATTTTTATGGTAATTTATGGTGATTTCATTGGGATTTACTGGTAATTTCATGGGATTTACCATCTGGTTATGACTAACATAACCATGGTATAGATGGCCCATTTATAGATGGTTTAGCTATTAATAGCATGGTGATTTTCCATGGCTATGTTAAATAACCAGAGGGCAACAGATTTGTTGGGGTTCAGCAAAAAAATGGTGACTTTTGATTCCTGGCCAAGGGAATACGCTTCCGCAATAGAACGACTTTCCAAGGCTTCACACGGTTGTTCCACCCTCCACATTGTATGTCCGGTCAGAACCAATGGCAAAAACTTCATCCTGCCTCGACCCAATCTTTGTCTATAGCCCATTCCAATGGTTCATCATCTTCCCCATCTCATTAAAATGATCAATCGGAGCTATAGCTCATTTTCAGACAGACCCACATCCACTATATCCACTATAGGTCAAATCCCCATGTTTCATCGTTAAATCCAGGTTTTTGATGGGCGTTTCTTCCATCCTTGCCGCGCCTCAGGTCGGAGCCATGGCCTGACGAGCAGAAGTTTCAACGTTAAACGACAAGATTCAAAAAAAACAAAAATATTTGAATATCAACTAAAATAGGGTTCAGTTTTAAGCATAAAATGTATATGTGTGTCTATCTATGCATGCATGGATGCATGGATGCATGGATGCCTGTATGCATGTATGCCTGTATGCATGGATGCATGGATGCATGGATGCATGGATGCATGGATGCATGGATGCATGGATGCATGTATGCCTGTATGCCTGTATGCATGTATGCCTGTATGCCTGTATGCATGTATACCTGTATGCCTGTATGCATGGATGCATGTATGCATGTATGCATGTATGCATGGATGAATGGATGCATGGATGCATGTATGCATGTATGCATGGATGCATGTATGCCTGTATGCCTGTATGCATGTATGCATGTATGCATGTATGCATGGATGCATGGATGCATGTATGCATGGATGCATGGATGCATGGATGCAAGGATGCGTGTATGCATGTATGCCTGTATGCATGTATGCATGGATGCATGGATGCATGGATGCATGGATGCATGGATGCATGGATGCATGTATGCCTGTATGCATGTATGCATGGATGCATGGATGCATGGATGCATGGATGCATGGATGCATGGATGCATGTATGCCTGTATGCCTGTATGCATGTATGCCTGTATGCCTGTATGCATGTATACCTGTATGCCTGTATGCATGGATGCATGTATGCATGTATGCATGTATGCATGGATGAATGGATGCATGGATGCATGTATGCATGTATGCCTGTATGCATGCATGCCTGTATGCCTGTATGCATGTATGCCTGTATGCCTGTATGCATGTATACCTGTATGCCTGTATGCATGGATGCATGTATGCATGTATGCATGTATGCATGGATGAATGGATGCATGGATGCATGGATGCATGGATGCATGGATGCATGGATGCATGGATGCATGGATGCATGTATGCCTGTATGCATGTATGCATGCACGCATGTATGCATGTATGCATGTATGCATGTATGCATGGATGCATGGATGCATGGATGCATGTATGCATGGATGCATGGATGCATGGATGCATGGATGCATGGATGCATGGATGCATGGATGCATGGATGCATGTATGCATGTATGCATGCATGCCTGTATGCATGTATGCATGTATGCATGTATGCATGGATAAATGTATGCATGTATGCATGTATGCCTGTATGCATGCATGCATGGATGCATGGATGCATGTATGCATGTATGCATGTATGCATGTATGCCTGTATGCCTGTATGCATGTATGCATGTATGCATGTATGCATGTATCCATGGATGCATGGATGCTTGGATGCATGTATGCGTGTATGCGTGTATGCATGTATGCATGGATGCATGGATGCATGGATGCATGTATGCCTGTATGCCTGTATGCATGTATGCCTGTATGCCTGTATGCATGTATGCCTGTATGCCTGTATGCCTGTATGCATGGATGCATGGATGCATGTATGCATGGATGCATGGATGCATGGATGCATGGATGCATGTATGCATGGATGCATGGATGCATGGATGCATGGATGCATGTATGCACGGATGCACGGATGCACGGATGCATGGATGCATGGATGCATGGATGCATGGATGCATGAATGCATGTGTGCATGTATGCATGTGTGCATGTATGCATGGATGCATGGATGCATGGATGCATGGATGCGTGGATGCATGTATGCATTTATGCATGTACGTACGTACGTACGTGCGTACGTAGGTGTATATAGATATGTATATATATATATCTATATCTATATACATTACTAGTAGGCACATATGATATTGTTAATAATAGGGTTTCCTGAAATGGGGGTACCCCATGAATAGATGGTTTATTTCATGGAAACTCCCAATCTAAAATGGATGATTTAGGGGTACCCCCACTTCAGGAAACCTCCAATGACTCCATGTGTGCTTTAACACACTCTGTGTGTGTTGATACTCCAGTTCTTTCGCACTCGTCGCTCGCCCCAAAAAGCTTTGAAAGATGCCAAAACAAAGCTCTGAACCACACAAACCATCCGGGTGGTTCTTAAAGCCCTCTTGAAAGTCATTAGTCGTCAAGTGGAATTATAATCCCTTAACCCTTAAATGATGTTTGGTTTTACCACCTTACTCAATATTCAAACCACCAAGCAGATATTTATTGGTGATGTAACCATTCTCCCATCTTTATTGGTTCAATCTTCACTTTTGCAGGCTCCCAACCTGAATTTCGTTGGATTATCCACATGTCATCTTCGAATTCCCATGTTCCCCTTTTGTCATGAATACCAGTAAATTAACATAGACCCTGGCAGGGGGTGGTTCCGGTGAGTTTCCACTTAAGTGGTTCATGTTCAGGGTCGAACTGCTACCAGAGGATAATTTCCATTTAAATCCAACGAAATGGTACTAGAGTAATAGAGTAGTACTAGAGTAATGGATATATGGGAATGAACCCTTCCGTTGCATTAAGAATGGATTCATCCGGAGAATTTCCCTTTAAATCTCCATTTTCACTCACCGGTCATCGCCTGGCTCCGGGCGTCTCCAAGGTGATGGGAACCTGAGCAGAACTTGGGGAAACCGGGGTTTATATAATTGGGATATCTATATGCACTATATATATATATATAGGTTTTATAAAATATAGGTTTACACAAGATTACTTGGTTTATAAAAATCTATAACTTTGTATATATATATATATCAGGGTTACTTTATCTAAGATTATGTTTTTCCATCCTTGGCTATTTTGGTGGGATGTTTCTGAATTCTATCTAGGAATTTTCATGGGATATAAAATGAACCTGAGATATGTATCATGATTAATTTATTATATATATATATTTATTTATAATGGTGTATACATATAATGGTATATATGTATATAAGAATATATATTTATATTCGTCATGTATATGTGTATATATAATAGGATCTTATGGATCAAAATGCTGTGTATTTCACCAACGATGTGATATGGTTTTGCGCAAAGAAAAATGCGTTTCAACGCCACTGAAAATTCCCCAAACAATAAGTGGGTTCAACCCAGTTATACTACCAATTCTGCATGGAATATCACTGATCACCAACAATCAACATCACCTGACACAGCAGAGAGGCCAGAAAATTGGTCGCCATGAATACAAAACTGGCTGGAAAAATGGTTCAGCAAAGATTACGTGATCTTGCAAGTACTGTTTGTTCTGTTTGTTCGGTTTTTGGTGTCCACGAACCAGTCGTCTCCAAAAATGTTTCTGGTGTCCGGTGGAGGTGTCAGCGGTTTTTTTCTCGGTTCCCTCGGGATGGAATCGAATCGATTGCGTTACGGAATGGAATCACCATCGACATGGAATCACCATGGAATCCTAGCATTTCCCAAAAACTGATCCAAAAAGCTGCACCAGATTCCCATGAATCGATAATCCAAGATAATCCAAGGTTTGAAATGCATGTTCCCAGTGGAAATGCATTGTGCGTGTCCACCCCCAAAAAAAATAACGCATGCTTAGTGACACTCCGCCAACAGAATGTGCATCGTATTTTTTTCAAGATGCCATCCATGGCACCAAGATTTGCAACACGGATTCCCTTTCACAAGAAATTGTTCACCGTATATACTGAAAACATCACTTGAAAATGTGTGCCGTGGTTCACCGCACTTTTTTCGCCCTGCCACTCTGTTCGAAAGTCAAAACTGCTTTCCAACCACTACTAGTGGTAGGAGGAAAGGCCTTTGCAACCTTTTTTCCCTTGGTTTCATCTCCAGACAAACCCAAATTTTTGATGTCAAGTCCCAAACGCCCGATTCCCCCTGTGGTCCTGCTTGCAGCGCGGCACGAGACACTGTCAATTGAGCACGATGCTGCCCAATCAGCAGGTCTTGGATGTGGTACAACCGCGCCAAGAAAACGGCTAGAAAACTTACCCAGCCGTTGCAGAACATGAACGTTCTGACGACAAAACATACAAAACATCGACACAGGGTTCAACTTTCTTAGTTGTTTCATGTTGCTGAAGCAAGCGACGCATCAATGTCAACCAATTCAATGATGAAAGGAAACATTGTTCGGTTCAAGTTTTGATGGCTAGCGGCTACCCTGTCAGCGTCGCACGATTTGGCGCACCACGCAGCTCTGGGACACACCATTCAGCAAATGGGCAAACAATCGGATGGTTCTTTACGGTGTAAGTACTGCCCCAGTACGGCGAGCAAACTCAAATCCAAACCGACCGAGGGCTGCACACACACGTCACTCGATGGTCGAGAACAGGACAGTCCACATTCATGAAGGCCAAACAGTCATGCGAAAACTCGAAAGGTTCAGTAAAGGCATTTGGTTTCTCATCTGGGCAGTGACCTACACCCAAACGTGGCCCTTCGATTGCGTCCCCTCCGCCTGTTCGGAATGCTCTGCACTACAAACGCACATGCCGGGCACAATGTCGTGTGTAATCGTTCTGCAGGGAGGTTACGATAGAATCAATTTGTGTTCAAACGTTTCAATCACACTTGCGCTCAGCTTGTTTTGGAATAGGAAAGCATATTGGGGCCAACAATGCCTGATGTGGGACAAAAAGGCTGGGCAGCACACATGAATCCCTTAACGATGTTTCAAGTTTCGCAGTGTTGGCACCCTAATTTCTGCACTTGCCGTTCAAGCACCAAATTGAAAGCCAACAGCAACTATCGCTAGGGAGTTCAAGGCCAATTAAAGGACCGCATAACCCCACAAGTCAACTTCTTCCAATAAACAAAAACAAAAAATGAAGCGAGACGGGGAAAGAAGGGAAGACAAAGGAGGTGGTGGAGGATCGATAAGTTTAAAAAGTTGTATGTGAAGAGTTGTGTGTGAAATGAAAGCGAGCATGCAGTTTGGTGACAACTAGCCTCCCACTTGACGCAGCCTGAACACATCGCACATTGCTTTGTACTCGCGTCACCCCGCAACCCCGGCCAAGGAGGTGACAGACGACAACACGTCGGTCTACTTGGTACAGGAACACATGCACAGTGAAGCACAACTAAACGGTGCAAGGTCAAAGCTACCACTGCCGCAACCAAGATCGGAGAGCACCATGCTGCATTTTAGCTACCCAGAGAACCCAAAAGCCCTTATATAATTAAGAAGTTCTACCCGGACTTACATTTGAGAACATATGCGAAAATGCACACTGAAGTATTGAAATGTGAACGTGCACACTGAAGCATTCACAAAGTCAGCAATCGATACCGCTCTCTCCATTTTTTCTGACGCTGGAACATTCGAGTATTTGAAGCACCAGTTCAAATGGATTGCATTTCCATCTGATGGACCGAACCACCCATATCACTATCAGACTGAAATCCTTATCGCCAAATCAACCCCAAAAACTAGTGATAAGGGTTTCCAGCTGAAGAAAAAAGGGGAAATCTATTTGGGAATTGACCACAGCAATTGCGACGTTACTGGATATAGGCGACATGACAGGTTCGGATGCCAAAGGGATGCAAGGCTGAATCGGATGCGATCATGACTGGAAAAATCATGAGGTATGGCAGAAACGAAATCCCAACGACTTAAATCGTCAGCAATGACGTTGTCGGGGCCTGGAATATGACTGACGTCTAGTTCAACGCCAGTCACGGATGCTAACATCGTCAATTTTTCCACGAAAAACCAGAGAGGTTTTGTGGTTGTGAAACATTTGTTACTCACTGACTCGGCTCCTGAATTATCACTTAGTGATTTCAGGCAAATTGGCATGCGAGACCCAGGAGAAAAATTTGACACCAAATGAATTAAGGCGATCTGAGCAAGCGCTTTGAGAGCGGAAATGCTACGTTGCATCTGCTGATCCAACTTCAAGGGAAGAGCTGCGAAATCGGCATGTGAAAACTTTTCGGAAAACCATAAGGATTGGCCCGATGCATGGTGGATGAAGCCACCAATCTGGCAACATTCTCCGGCTGCACAGGCATCTGCTGCTGCTTGGCCTTGCCAATAAGGTTTCGGACTCATTGAACGCATGGGAATGATGAATGAAATCCATGATAAAAACATTCATAAGATCCGATGGGAATCTTCCCGAAGTGTTCTTCGTGAAGAACTAGGGTCACGAATCCGGAGCCAGATTCTTTTCTCGGTCGAAATGCGGACATTCTGCAATTTGGATTTCGATTGAATGGTGTTATGTTTGACTGCTAGCAATGTGCTCCCAACCGGGATAGCGGTATTTTGGGGACGCGATTCGAATCTTACATCATCAGAAAGATGGTTGGACAATTGGGGCCCAATCCCCCGGGTCGACACTGAAGTGAGTAGCTGGGATGCTATACAGGTCTGAATATAAATAATGAATCCAAATACGCAAAAGTGGAAAAAGCTGGGTAATCCACATGAGCAAACCAATCGTTTTTTTTCAGTTGTTTTCTGGTGCATCTGCTGGATTGCAAAAGCTGCTGAATATATTGCTTCAACTTTTGAATTTTGGATTCTGGGATTTGCTCTGTGCCTGCTCGAAAATTAAAGTTCCACCCAATCCAACTAATCTGAGAGCCCAATTCGGATTTGCGCCAACTGATCGGGATCTGGGTAAGTTGGCAGAAAATGCAACAAAGCGTCGCTGCCAACGGCATTGATTGTGCCGCCATGTAAAAAAGAAAATCGTCAACATACAAAAGCCCGCAATGTGGCCACCATATCAAGTGATGAAATAGTCTCAGCATCCAACCACCTAATCCACTCCACCAGGATGCAGAGAAGGTGGCCCCAAACGGGGCGACATAATGAAAATATATGTCACCATTGAGGCTGAAGCCCACCAAGCCTCTTTCCGAAGGGTGGAGCACAATTCGCTTGTGAGCTGATTTGACATCTAACGAGAAACCTGCCAACGGCCCAGAATGGTTTTGCAATGGGAAGGAACGCAGAACTTCCTTGGCAGTGGGAAGTATACTACGCTCTGGGATGTGGCATCTGGCATTCAATCCACAGACAATGGAGTCTACAACCAAGCGAGGAGGGCGATTATCGGAGGTGGCTATGCCGAGCTTTCCAATTGACACTCCCAAAGAAAATTCCTGCTGAGCATCTTCTACAGTCCCAGGGTATTTAAAGGCCCAACCTTTGGCCACTTCCTCATCTACCAAAGATTGGGTGAGTGCTAGATCTGCCTCTGCACTCTGCTAGTTGGTCAAATGAATAGACAAGGCATTATCCACCAAATTGGGAGATGTCTGGTTTGGAAAAACACCTGAAATGGGGATGTCACGACGAAAACCAGTCTTAACCCCTTCTTGCAGTGAAGGGAAAAGGGACGTATCGCGATCTTGCATGGTGCTTTAGAACGCCGCTAATATGCCCAGAAACATGCGTTGATGGTTTCGAATTCGCCAATCTGGGTCATGTCCGTGCTGACGGAGAAACTGTTCTAAATCCTGGCGGAATGGCAGCAAAATTTCTTCAGGAAAAGGGGGGTCTGCATTGTCTGATCCCACATGTGCCATGAAAATTTTGTCGGGGCGACCATCAATAATACATTTAAGACATTGTTTGCGAAGGGATCCAAAGTGATCCTGTTCCTGTCGGTCAGTTCTACTCCAGTCCGGTGTGGAGAAAAGCCCCCACCATCTTCTTGAGAAAATGGAAAATCAGCAAATTGTTTCTTGGCTTGAATTGTGAATCGGTGATTTCATTCAAGATCCTGAGCGGGTCCGGTCAGGAGTGGTATTATCAAGGAAACAAATTTGTCAGCTAAAAGGCTGGGGTAACAGGCGGTTTTCCGACCTTCAAAATTGCCCCATTCATCTACTTTACCTTGAATGGATTCATGAGAATTGGGTGGATGACTGCGTTGTCCACCCATTTGTTGAAGGTGTGGGAAGCTTGAAGCAAACATCCATGTTTTGTAGATGTCCCATCCAAATCAACATTCTGGCACAACAACGCATGAAGCTGCTATGGCTTGCAAAAAACGCGTCACTTGGGGTTCCAACCAACTCATGGCATTCGCCGGTTGTTCAAGGTGACAATGCCCCCCTGATTGGAAATTAAAAGCAAACATGTAACACATCGGGTTAACATCCAGAAACTGTCTTGGAGTTTGGTGGCTTCAGCTGCAGTTAACCCAGGGCGACCCTGAAGCTGTTCAGGAGTCCA